AACAAGTACTTTTCCTTAGTAAAAAATCTTCTATTACAACTCCCCAGTTCACAAGCACTTTCACCATTCCACAACAGCTTTCTTCTTGAGCCCTGCCTATGAACTCATAGGTTTAGGGCTATGGCTAAAGTTTTAAGGCTGCATTTGTTTAACAAAGCAGAGTTAATGTGTCGTATGTATTAATTCTTTCATGAATTAATTAATCTCTCATTTGGTCATACATTGTGTAAACATCAACACTAACACTGATTCTATTACTTTGTGGGTTTCATAGCGCAAAGTGATTTATAACAAAACAATAAATAAAAAATTGGGAAAGGTAGCTTTTCCACCTTTTGACCACAAGATGTCGTTAGTGTGCACCGTGATGAACAGATTTACCATACACTGGAGGGAAAGCCTCATTGCTTCACAAGGATTCATTTCACCATCACTAGATACATGCACGTGTTGAATTATGAGTCCATCCACAGAACATCAGTGCCTAATTCGCCTAAAACAGTAGTACTTTATTTAAAATGTTGATTCATTTTTAGAGATTAAGTTCTTTTTAACTGCTTAACTGTGTATATACTCATTCAAAAGTGTTAGAAATATTTATTTTTTTATTAAAGAAATTAATTTCTTTCAGCAAGGATGCATTAAATTGATCAAAAGTATGCCACAATTTAAAAAAAAAATCAAATTTGTCTAAATTTGAATCTTCTATTCGTTAAAATAATTCTGAAAAATAATTAATCACGGTTTCCACACTAAAATTAAGCAGCACTGATAATAATAAGAAATTCTGGTCACACTTTAGATTAGGGTCCAAATCTCTCTGTGTTCAATAAACTCTTAATTACTGCTCATTAATAGTTAGTAAGGTAATTAAGTTTAGGTAATGGGTAAACAGACAATAATATGCATGCCAATAAGCAACTAATTAATAGTGAGAATTGGACTAAAGTGTTACTGAGATGTTTCTTGAGCAGCAAATCTGCATAGAATGATTTCTGAAGGATCATGTGACACTGAAGACTGAATGCTGAAAATTCACCTTTGCTATCACAGAAATGCATTTTAAGAATAAATGCAACCTAAACATTTAAAAAAAATTCTTAATGACCTCAAACTTCCAGTTCCAAGCTCACGATTATTTTGTTTGGTTTACAAATGTAAATTGAATGTAACTTATTCTAAACCTCCTAACAAGGTAACACAGATTTTGTGTCTGTCTCTCTAGTGCTGAAGAGACAATGCACTGTAGGACATTGGACATGGACACAGACTGACAATCTTTCTTCTGTATGGTAATTGAAACGTGGACAATCCATACTTTTTTCAAGCCACTTGTATAGGGGATTCGAACCACACCTGTGATCAATGACAACCTGAACCAAACAGGGCTGTCATATACGGCATTTAGTGCTACTTCAACACAATATAGTTCGAACTATTGTTTCCGTTTATGCCATAATGGGCCCATTTACACTGCGTGGTTCAAGTGACCCAAATCCGATTTTTTTTCCTCTCATGTGGCACAGATCAGATATGACGGGTGAATGTGTAAGCAGGAAAAAAGTGCATGGATTCCGATTTTCCTCAGATCACATTCAGGCCTCACTCATATGTGGTAATAAATTGGATATGAATCGGATACGTGCATTTGCGTGTGCCATGTAAGCAGACAAATCGGATATTCCCCAGTAAATGTGAGTTGTACGTCATTAAAAAAGTGACGTCGACTCAGATGGACACCACCAACTGAGATAACATGACTTAATATAGGCGCGATGGTGGACGAAGGATATACACAGCGGAGCAATGTGGAGGTTTCGTGTCTTTTGAGTGTTTGGGGCGAAAAATGCCGGCAAAAATGCAGGGTTGTTACAGAAATAAATCTGTGTTTGAACACATTTCACAAGATATCCATGTCTTTCTTTCTTCAGTCGAAAAGAAATAGTTTTTGATTAAAACATTCCAGGATTTTTCTCCATATAATGGACTTCAATGGGAACCAAACGGTTCCCGTTCATCAAAACGAACGAATCTTTTTCCAAGTCAACTCGTTCATTTCGTTCGTTGAATGAACTAAATGACTCAAAAAAAGATTCGTTCATTTTGATAAACGAGTTCGAAAAGGAGAGTCACGAACGTGCATCACAGAACAGAGCAAGGCGAGCATTTGAGCGTACTTTTTTTTTTTTAAATGAGCGATCGTTTCGCTTGATAAGACCCTTATTCATCGTCTGAAATCGTTTAAAGCCTTTTGAACAGTTTGCACTGAAACTGTCTTTTGGACCTTGAACCGTTTGGTTCCCATTGAAGTCCATTATATGGAGAAAAATGCTGGAATGTTTTCATCAAAAACCTTAATTTCTTTTCGACTGAAGAAAGAATAAAATGGACATCTTGGATGACATGGGAGTGAGTAAATTATCAGCAAAAGTTTTTTTTGAAAGTGAACTACTCCTTTAAACGCTTGTGGCTACAGTGCCAACAAGGGCTATCCAATTTTTCTCCGCCGTATGAGACCAATGTTTTGCTGACTTTTTGGATGACTTTTCAAAATATTGTGGAAAGCAAAACACTGCATAATTTTATTTGCATCCGCATCCATTGCATTTCGTGTTGTTTTACTCCCTTTTCCGGGTCAGAACGTCTACATTTGGTAGTTTCAGCAGTTTATAGTGTAAATGCAAAAATCGGATACGGGTCACTTTTAAAAGATGATGTAAGCGGGTCGTCAAAAAAATTGGATATAGTCAGAAAATCGGATTTGGGCATCAAGACCTGCAGTGTAAATCCAGCCTTAATCTCATCCAAACCTTTTTAAGGCTGTATCTAGTTTTGTATAATGTGAAGTGTGTTATTTCTGTGTCACTAATAAACTGTTTTTAAACTAGATTGAAACACTCCCCCTTTCTACCATAGCTCAGGAACCAGGTAGCTCCACCCCAAACTCATGCCATTGGTTGAGCCAGTGTAAAGTTGTCTCCTTCTGAGCCATTCAAACTCTCTGCAGAAATGACACACTGCACATTTAAACGTTTTGTTTGTCAACCAAGATCTCTGAGAACGTTTGATTCAACATGACTGTTTCTCTGAAGACTGGTCAAACTAAAGGAAATGGTACGCACACTTCTAATAGTTTATGCATTTTGTACTCTGTGTCTGTATAAGTGGTTATTTTGCTGTCCTGTGGTGCTTTTCGTGGTTTATAAAGTACTTGTCATTGACAGTGAATGTGACGCTTATAAAAACGTTTGCAGCTGTACTCTTAAAGCCTGGATTACACGCACGATCAGGTGTATCATCCTGGAAAAATGGCTTTGTAATGTGTTATTTCCTGGTGCTACTAGTGTTAATAATGGTGCATCCTGAAAAAATGTCTTGTGTAATCACAACCTGCACCTACATTTTACTGGGGAAAAGCAGTTGCATTTAAGCTGGAGTATATAATTGCTGTACGTCACCAAGTAGTATTGCAAAAAGTCATTTTATAATAGTTTTTTCCAAACACTCCCTCATTTGCCATTGGTTGGACAAACTCATGCCATTAGTGAGTCAATGTTACTGTACTGAACCGGTACAGATGCTCAAATGGCGTTTTAGCTCTTTCCCCACCTTTGAGGGAATTTTCTGGGAAGGTTATTATGCTGCAGTAAAGTAGAGTATCTCAGGTGCAGAAACATTCATATTTTGCCTGGTCAGATATTCAAACAACAAAATAATCTGGGGGCCATGACATTTTTGTGAAACTTTTTTTTTAAAGGAGCTGTATGCAAGATTGTGGCCAAAACTGGTACTGCGATCACTTTCAAATTAGGGTGTATCCCCGCCTTCCCCATGACTCGAGGTTGCCAGATATGCTGCAGGATCCAGCAGGAATGTAGGCTGCTGCAAGAAGCTGTGCAAGTGACAAGTCCTACACAGTGAGTTTTTTTTTTTTTGTTAATTATTTATTTTGGACTTTGTCACAAAGTATTTTGGATTCATGTCAAGTTTTTTGAGGTTTCGCAACGTTAGAATTTTTTTTATCCGAATCCGACACATTTGTATCTGCAGCTGTGGTAACTAGAGAAGAGCTGGCAACCCGAATAGCCCTTAATCCTGTAATTGTGGACAAATGTGGGCACAGAGGACTCAGGTGTGATCCTAATTTTTATTTATTATAAATGTTATATCACTTCGATAAAGTTTTGTCTATCCATTGGTGGGTTTTTTTTTATTTTGGGGGTATTTTTGAATTTATTTACTTTAAAAAGTACCATATTTTCTATGTAAATTATTTCTATGTAAATTAATTACTATGTAGTTTTATTTTTTATTTAATTTTTTTTTAACTACATTAAAATATCATTCCAATAAGTTCTTAGAGCTAAAACCTGCTGTCACCTGCTGTCTTATTTTGGCTTATTTCTCTATGGCTGCCCATTTTTGACCCAAATACAAGATTAAGGAGTTTTTTTCACCAACTTAACATTGTAGAATTGAGGCAAAAAAAAAAAAAAAATTGTGTGTGTTCAGGTGGCAAACTTAGGAAAAGTCGCCATGTCATGTATCGCTCAGATCAAGGGAAGTATTTTTAAAAAAATAAATCAAAACTATTTTGCCCACATTTGTCCAGAATACGGTTTTAGGGTTAATTGACAATATCCTGGTTGGACTACTGTTGTCAGTGATATAAGTATTTGAAATGAACATGATTTCTTAATGTCTAGTGACATATCAGGCAAAATTTATGATTAATTGAAACAAATTTCTTGCATACAGCTCCTTTAACATTGTCAGGGAAAGAGTTAATAGCTCCACTGTTAACAGTTTTTGGGATGTTTACTTACAAACAGCTTATAGTTTTCTCATTAAACTGAGGTAGCGGATGGTATTTTCTCAAAATAACACACTTCAGATTTAAACAGGAAGAAATATACTTGATAACACAACACTAAGTTTCTAAAGGTAGCGAAACTGTATACAGCTGCAAAATAAATGTGGGAATTAAGTGAACACTTGTGCATATTTGTATTTGATGTTTATTTGTAGTAAAATTGACTTCAAACGCAAAAAAAAAGCACCAAAATCACATCTAACTTTCTATTCTCTTCAACCAATGTTTGACACCGTCAGTGCAAAGTTTGCTGTAAAATAAATTCATAATAAAGTAAATGTTTTTTCTGTGATTAATGAATATTTATATCATAGTCTATTTCAGTTGACCCATAATGTAACTCACTATAATAAATCAATTAAAAACATCAAATGAACAGCATAAAAAAAGTAATATGAAGTCTCTGAGACTTTGGCAGTTAGTACGAGCAAATGATTGACTTTTTACCATGTAATTACTATCACAACTGATATTCAACTATGTGGGTAAATAAACATAAAAGCCCATGTGGATACATATGTGTATCTATGGGACGTTTTTGCAAAACAAAAAAGTCTCCAGCCAGAGAAATTCTACCGATGAACATAATCAGATGTAATTTAGATCTCCAATGAGATAATTTACCAATTATAATAAAAAAATATCAGCAGTTTTGCATTATTCACACATGCACAATTGAAAACAACACAAGCCACCAAATGTTAGACTGAATAAATTAAAAGACTATTACATTTGCACACACCCTGATGCCTCTGTCTCTTCTCCACGGCTTTAACCAAAGAAACGGCAGCTACAAATAAAATATATTCATCATTGACTCCAAGAAACAAGACAGTATGAACACAACTGATATTCAAGAAGTCCCATCATCTCTCACACATATACACTGGGATTCTAGTTCAAAAATACAGGCCGTCAATGAGCGAACTATAGGTTCAATTATCTGTCATTTACATTTAAAAAATAAATACATTTGTTTAATGTGCCCTGCTACATCTAAAAACAGTTAGAGCGCACCTTCAATGAGGGACCCTTGCCGTCAGTGTTCTCCAGGAAGACAGGTTTCAGATTGCTTCAGAAAGACCTTCTCCTTGAGCGACAGATTCGGACACTAAAACCTAAACTCCAGAGCTACAGGTTCTGCAACAGGAGAGTTAACCCGGGACAACATCCCAACTGATGCCATGTGTTCATGCTCATGTGGGCGGGGGTCCGTTGGTGTAGAGGAGCATGGGGTAGAAGGATCGGGCAAAGTTGTTGGAGAGAGTGCAGCTGTAGTCGTCCTCTGAGAGAGGCACCAGACACGCCACAACCAGCAGCAGCAGGAAGAGGATGTGGAGGGGAAAAGCTGCCCGCAGGACACGATACAGGAACGGCCTCGCCGGGGACCAATCAGCCTTATCGGCCCTTCAGAATGGACGGTTACACAGTCAAACATTTTTACAACACCACTCAGAAGTGTGGCGTTAGCAATTGATTTTTTTTTCTTTTTTTTTTCTTTTTTTTTAGATAAAAGATTGAGTGACAGTAAAGACTTTTACATTGTTACAAATTTAGCAAGAATTGTCATTATCATTACCATTTGTATATATATATATTATCATATATATCATTTATTAACACAAAAATATTACGCAGCATATTAGAATGATATCTAAAGGATCACGTGACACTGAAGACTGGAGTAATGATGCTGAAAATGAAGCTTTATCATCAGAACAATATATATAGAAAATTCTAAATAGGAAACAGTTATTTTAAATTGTAATAATAATAATTAATACTTGTAATTGTGTTTAAATTGTCACTTGATTTTTCGGTTCATTGCCACTGTTGCCTTTGGCATGCTCAGTTGGAGATATTCAAATTAATTAACCAATTATTACTACCCTTGATCAGCTCTACTAAACGTGGATGTTTTTACACTAAGAAACGGACATTGTTATTATGTTTTGATTGATACTGTGAAGCTGCTTTATTCTATATTGAAAAAGCGCTATATAAATATACTTGACTTGATTTAAATAAATGCAGCTTTGTTGAGAGACTACCGCATAAGAGACTTCTTTCAAAAATCCTAATGTAGTGTATACATTGTAATGTAGTGTATACATTGTTGTATGCAAGACATTTATGTTACATAACATTTCAATTCCCTAAATGATGTTTGGGAACTGTCACTTGATATAACATGTTCTTGTTCAATAAAAGTGTTAATTTCTATAAAATGTTTAAAAAAAATCTTACGGACCACAAACTTTTGAAGGGTATTGTTTATAAATTGTAACTTAAAATGTAGATGCTGCTTTAAGAACATTCTTAAAGCTACACTGTGTGATTTTCACCCCCATCTAGCGGTGAAAAGGTATATGTCCATCCAGTGAATATTAGTTTCTGTTCCTCTCAATTCCAATTTCGTTTGAACTCCTACGGTGGCCAATGTTGTCCAAGATTAACATGGCTTCCAGTTCGACCTCGTCCATGAGTGTTAACTCAAACGTAAACGCGAAAGGCGAAGCTTGAATTAACGGGTATGTCCCTCTTTGGCTAATGTACTTTCAAGATGGAGGGTCAACATGTATGTATTTTCAATGGCATATTATACACTCACGAGAAAGCTTTAATACTTGAACGAAGTAAATATACATTAACGAGCACATATATTTTTGAAAGAACTAAGTGTTTTTAGCTAAGAATAAACTAAAAGAGTTACACAGTGTAGCTTTAAGTGTCATGTTATTTGTCACCTAGTCATAAAACAACATTAAAATGTGAGTTGTACTTGAAAATGCAAAATATGTTATGTTGAGTGGTGAAAGTGGAGCAGATGTGTGAAAGTGAGAAGAACCAGAGAGTGTGAAGAGAGCCTAGAAGTTCAGCAAGGTCACAAAAGCACACGACAAACAAACGCAGATGCATAGAAGTACTATCAGTGTGTACCTGACACTCGCGGGAGATCCCCGTGGAACATCCTGAGCCTCTGCGACTTCCTAGAGAGAGAAGAAAAACGAGTCGGTGTTTGTTAATCAGACTTTTCAGAGATTTATTGCCAGTGTTAAAAATAAAGTTAGAAGACGAAATAAAATTATCATGAGCTACAGCTGCAATCATTACCTAGTACTTTTTAAAAAAAATCCATCTAATTTATTTTTATTTAAAGAGCTTGTGAGGATTCAACCTTTCCTTCATATTTTGAGACAGAACTCATTGTACAAGATCACTTCAGACTAGGACTGCACGATATTTGAAAAAGTTGGCTATTTTGTTTTTCTGCAATAATATATATATTGCTATATGAAAACAGTTTCACCAGACAAATGGCTCTTTTTGTTAATAATATACATTAAATTACATTAAATAATACACATTAAATATACATTATATAATATTATATATATATATATATATATATATATATATATATATATTATAGCGCCTTTCAAGAACCTAAGGTCGCTTCACAAAAAAAAAAATACAAAGAGACAGACAAAAGAAACAGGCAGTCAGCTTAGGCTAGGCTATAGGCTACAGTATATCAAACGAACAATTAAAGAATGAATCATTCTAGAACGAGTGGGGTGATTTTGTATGGAAAATAAGTATATATAAATACAATAGAACAAAAGTTACAAATTAATTAAACAGTGCTTTATGTTTTTCAAGTAAGTCTAACAGTATTCAGATATTCAGAAAATATAATTAATCTGTTAAAGCTACAACAGAATTAGATTTTCTCTGACTTTTTTAGTTTGATTAACATTAATAACACTGACAGCAGCCTAATATTCCGTCTCTTAAGACAAAATGCACGGATCAATATAATGATGCACATCTGTTTTCTTTCTCAGCTGTTTATGGTTCTCATAAGTAGAACGCTACTGTGTTTACAAGGATATTCAGCCAGATGGGCATTTTGAGTGTGTCCGCTCAAGCACAAACGCAGAGGAGAACAGAATTTGGTGTTCCGACTTGAGTTCTCTTTCGCATCTTCTTGTGCTTGAATGGTTTAAAATGGCTTGAATGTTTAAACTGACAGGATCTAAAACATGTGCAAAAAATAAACTTGATCTTTGATGGTTAAACTTTGGTTAAAAACTACACTGGACATGATGGCAAACCCACAGCACAAGGCTGTTCATTTCACAGACAGAAAGAGGAAAAATTGAGAAATTGTTTAATTATGACTATATACTGTATATTAATCATTCTTTTGCTTCTATATAATTCTTTTAAAAATATATATTATTCAAGCAGACCTCAGGGCAAAATTAACAATAATAATATATTAACAATAACATTAATCTCTTAACTGTCAGATAAAATGACATTTCCAACTTAAATAATAAAAAAAACATACCAATATTATTAATAATAATACTAACATACTTTGTAAATAGCATCAATTTATAACACCAGAAACTAAATCAGAGCCTTTTACTTTCCAGTGTGAACAGGGTGTGAGGGGAAAGGTTTAGAGATAGTGTTTCTGTACCTGGTGTTGTGTTGATCCTGTCCCGCCCACATTTGGACCCGACGAGTCCTGCGACAGAACAGCAGAGATCAAAACATCAGTGTGTGTGAGACTGAAACAGAGCCTGCAGAGAAAGCAGTGTGTGAAACATACCAGTCTGCTCTGCAGTGTGTGCAGGTCGTGAGCGATCTGTCTGATCAGCAGCCGTAACTTGTTGCTGATGACGTGAACCTTCTCTTTGGCCTCCAGGGTGTCTTCTCTCTGGTCCTGTAGCAGGATCTGTGAGGAGATCTCCTGCAGGGAGTTCACTTCCCCCTCACGAGACTGCAAGTCCTGCTGAACAGCCTGTGCACAGACAACAAGCCCACAATTAGTCCCACAATGAATCAGGTTTATCATGTTTTGTGGGGAGATTTACAAGAATAGCAGAATTTGTCTGCAAACACACACACTACTCTACCTTGAGCGTGTCTCGATGCTCTTCCAGGATGTTGAGGTCTGTGTTTGTGTCATGGATGTTGACCATGTAGCGCTGGCTTTCTGCTTTAGCTAACCACAGCAGCAGAGAGTGAAGAGTCTCATGAAACTCCTGGGAGAAAAAAAAAACATCGGAATATGCAGATGAGTCTGTGTTTTTCACAGGTCTTCATTACATGAGGTGTGTGTGCTCAGTTTAGACCACTATACCAGGGCATTTCCAGGAAAAAATGGCTCACAATCTTTAATAAAGTCCTGAGAATAACCTCTTGCACAGTAAATCAGGGTTATTATTAACTAAAACTATTAAAACATTTCGGTTTATTTGAATAAAGCTAAAATAAAATATAAATTAGTTGAAAAACAAACTAAACAAGAAATATAAAATGTTGCCTTGGCAATAAACAGCTCTAAACTTATTAATTGGAAATAAATAAAAATATAAAACTAAAATAAAAATAAATTAAATGTAAATTGCAACAAAATAATAAAATGACAAAAATAAAAATACAAAAGCCAATTCATAATATAAATAAACTATAATAAAACTATAATAACGCTGGAGTAAATCTGACTGAAATCTCAAACCTGACTGAATTTTATTTTCTTTTTTAAAGAAATGACAGTTCAAGAGAGGTTATGATCTTGATACGACTCTGTCCCCAGTACAACAACTCGTTTAGCATTTCTGCAACCTTTAAAAAACAACCAAAATAACTAAAGTTGTGGTTTTTTATCCAGAGATAAAATCTAACTTCCACAGAATGTAAAGTGCACATGTGTGAACAGAAATGTATGCGTCCACAGAAATGTACTAACCAATTGCATGTTGTGTTGCAGTTGCAAAACAAACAAAACGATCAAGGTTCATTGCACTCTTGTCTCAACTCGAGACTTTTAAAGCACTCACCTGACACTCCATGAGTGCTTGATGCAGTCGGTGCTCCCAGCTGTCCAGGGCCGCACAGGCCTGTGCCCATTTCTGATTGGCTAACTGCAGATTCTCACGCAGTTCTCGTAGTTCAGTGCTGTCTCCATGCTGGAAGCCCCGCCCACTGAGATTGACACCAATCATCACCGATTTGTAGCCGTTAAAAGTCCTCTGCATGTCCTAATGAAAAAAAAGGAAAAAAAGAAATGAACCTTTTACTGCATATTCCTTATTAACATACACTGCCTTTGAAAAGTTTAGGGCCTGTAAGATTAATTTTCATGGTTTTGAAAGAAGTCTATCAGGCTTTTATTTTTTTATAAAAACAGTAATATTGTAAAAAAAATTATTACAAATATTACAAAATGGCAAAGCTGAATGTTCAAATAAATTATAATAAAGGAAGGTCCACTTGCAATGCACAGCTTCAAGTGGTTTATTGACTTTCAGTTTTTGCATTCGATTCTATATCACTCTCTAAATGTCTCTCTCAGTACCTTAAGTTTGTGGATATTGCTCTCCATGTCTCTGATGGTGATTTTTGGCTCTAGAGTTTGAAGTTTCTCTAGCTCAGGCATCACAGCGTTCAGCCATGTCATCACATCGCTGAGGTCAGAGGTCAGTCTGTGCCACTGCTGAAGATCCTGTGGCACGCCGCACGACTGCACCTGCAGGAGCTCCCATCGCTCGATCACACCTGAAGCCACATGTCAGAGGGCAAAGGTCAAATATATTTGAATGAGTATGCCTGTAAAAGTGTGTACACATAATACAAACAGCAGTACCTGTCTTATCTCCCGCAGAGAGGACCGTCAGTCCCTGATCCTCCTGTTGTTCTTCCTCATTCAGAATCAGCTTCACTCGCTTTATACTGTCTATACTGCCAGCACACTCAGACATGAGTTTATCCTGGAGAGAGTGAGGAAATACAACACAAAAATGTGTTTATATATGTGTAAGCCAACGTTAATGTGTGTGTAGCCCAATTGGAGAAGTGTGTGTGGGTCCTCACATAGGCCTGTGGGTGGTACTGTGTGCTGGTGATCTCTCGGTTCACTCGTGTCCTGTCCGGCGCATCAGGAGAGTGCCACGTCTCCACCACTGATCTTCCCCCTGAGCAAGAGACAGAGAGATATTTGAACTCCTAAAATCACTCGAAACAAGCATGCAGGAAATCAACACACAGTTACAGAGCATGCTACTGAAAAAATCAATCAAAAAAGAGGCATTGGACCCTTTTCACAGACTGTGATTATGAGTTTCCATAATTTTTAACATTGTAAATTGAGCAAAGGTTTTTCATATTTTTATTAAAAAAATCTAAAGTACATTTACAACACTATACTTAGTTTTTTCTTGCCTTGTTATTAAATTACAGAAAGCTGGTTAATGCCGCCGATTAAGCGGTTGACGGCTTATGTTGTAGTTTCCGCTCACCACTATAGACCATTTTGCAAGATGTAAAAAACACTGGTCCAGAAACACTTCGTTTCAGTTTGTAACTGTTTTCTTTATTTCACATGTAAAGAAAACATCTTAAAGATGTTTGTTTAACTTTTTGATTAAGTTTTATATGTTCTGTTGGTGGTATTTTATCCCAGCTTTTATGTAGTGTTAAAAAACTGAAACAGGAAGTGCTTCTGGACCAGTGTTGTTTACATCTTGCAAAATGGTCTATAGAGCCCGGAACACACCAAGCTGACGGTCGGCCATCTGGCAGATTTTGTGCGTTGGCCAACTAAGTTTCCTCGGTGTGATACGCACGGTTTCGTGCCATTGGCTGAAAATAGTCCTCGTCGGCTTTGTTTAGCGCGATTCGACATGTTGAATTGGCGTCGGGCCGTTGGGGAAAGAGAGAACTCTGATTGGCTGTTCAGCTTAGTGAAAGAGTCAGTGCATGAGAATAAACGCAAAAAAGCAAACAAAGAAGTCAAAACGGTAAAGATAGAAGGCTGTTCTTATGTTACGTCTTCTTACCTGAGTGGTCCTTGGCGAATATTTCAATATTAACATGAGTGGAGTGGAATAAAGAAAGTGTTTAGCAGGATTGATATTCAAAAAGGTAATCATGTGCTGCTTTGTTTACATTATGTGTATCTGCAGCCAGCAGCGTCGGTTTTCCTTTTTGAATGACGAATATAGACTAATATATCTGCAGAAATAGACAGTTGGCTCATTAAACACAGACGCAGAACGCACATTATAGCTGACAGTCGGCTGCAGTTTTCTCGGTGTGTTCAAGTGCAGCGGCGAGAGCGGACGAGAGGCGACAACACAGTTGGCTTTCATCAGCACTAGTTTGTTGGCGTTGGCTTGGTGTGTTCCGGGCTTAGAAGTCTACCCAACTATAACTACCTTACCATCCACAGTTTTGAATTTAACTTATGCAAGAAATTGGAATTTCGCATAAAACTTTTGCGAATAAAGGCCCGATCCCATCCCAAGTTTTCAAAAGAACAAAATCGGCACTTTCTAGGTAATTGTCACAAAATATCTGTAGTAAAAAAAGTAAAAATAGTTGCTGCAATGAGGGAAGCCACTGTGGATCTTTTTTCATACATCATAAATGACTTGAGAGCATGCAGACGAAACATTATCATGTTATTTTGTGTATGGAGGTGAATGCCTGGTGTTCAGGAATGTGGATAATGACAACTTCGGCTTCTGAGAACCCTGGAAATGTGAAAAGGGTTGAAAAGTACTGCAACACATGCCGAAGAAGGTTCTTGTCAAACATTAAAACATACACCAGAGGAATTTAAAGGGTTAGTTCACCCTAAAATATGAAAATTATGTCATTAATGACTCATCCTCATGTCATTCCAAGCCCGTGACTCCGTTCATCGTCGGAACACAGTTTAAGATATTTTAGATTTAGTCTGAGAGTTTTCTGTCCCTCCATTAGAAATGTATGTACGGTATACTGTCCTTGTCCAGAAAGGAAATAAAGACATCATCAAAGTAGTCCATGTGACATCAGTGGGATAGTTAGAATGTTTTGAAGCATCGAAAATACATTTTGGTCCAAAAATAACAAAAATTATGACTTTATTCAGCATTGTTTTGTCTTCCGGTTCTGTTGTGGATCCACATTCAGTGACGCTGGTGATATAAGACGCTGCTGACATGTATCTGGTGCGTCCGTGTATTTGGGTTCAAATAAACATGGCTGGGCAAAAAACTGCAAGTCTTCCTTTGTGTCAAAATCCTTAGACATGTTTGCGAAGATTATTTTGTTTACTCCCTTAGACTGTAAAAGAAAGCTCTTTCGCACCAGATACACGATACACATCCGCAGCATCTTATATCAGCAGCGTCACTGAATGTGGATCCACAACAGAACCTGAAGAGAATGCAATGCTGAATAAAGTCGTAGTTTTTGTTATTTTTGGACCAAAATGTATTTTTGTTTTGCTTCAAAACATTCTAACTAACCCACTGATGTCACATGGACTACTTTGATGATGTCTTTATTTCTTTTCTGGACAAGGACAGTACACCATACACACATTTACAATGGAGGGACAGAAAGGTCTCGGACTAAATCTAAACTATCTTAAACTGTGTTACGAAGATGAACGGAAGTCTTGCGGGCTTGGAACGACATGAGGGTGAGTACTGACATAATTTTAATTTTTGGGTGAACTAACCCTTTAAGAGCATGACATGGAAGCTGCTTGAGTGAGGAAGCAGTGAGCAGCAGGCAGCTTCTATTTATTAAAGACAAATGAAGGAAGCATGTAGGATGCATTTGGGTTAATGCAGATATTGAATGCATGCTAAAACACATTTGTAATGTGCAGTGAGTGCTGACAGCATGCAGCAGGCTGATGCCTACCGGACACAGCTTTCAGAGCTTTAGATGTAGCTTTAACAAATGACTGAGAGCTCTCAGTGACCTCTACATCTGCAACAGAAGAGCGGCAGACAAACAGATCTAGAAACGCTGTAACAGACAGAATTATCTGAGTCTAATAGAATAGAGCAGATAACAGACAGAGATCTAAATACACTCTAAAAGAGCGTTATATAAAAGACAGCAGGATATAGATATAACAGAGCGGCAGACAACTGACAGGAAAGATGTACTTTAAATACACCGATAGAGCATTGTATTACAGAGATCTAGATACACTAACAGTTAATTACATGGCTCATTCTATATAAGTGTTTTTTAATCTTCAATATTTATAGAGATTGTTAAAAAGGGAATTTTAAAGGGGTGATGAACTGAGAAATCAAATTTTCCTTGAGCTTTTGACATCTAAGAGGTCATCATATTATAAGAATATCCTCTAAGTTTGAGAACTGAAAACGTCCTTGTTAGTCCAATAAAAGCTTTTATTGACACCAGGCTCTGCAAATGACTCGTTTTTCAAAGTGGGGAACTATGACGTCAAAGAGGATAAAACACCACCCCCGCAGGTTTAGCCCCGCCCACCGACTTGCCCATTACACGCAAAGCTAAATAACATAGATGCCTACCTCGCAGTGTTGTGCAAGTTACTTCCAAACTGTAATACATTAGGTATTACTTGTTACTGTTATTTAAAAGTAATTCATTACCTTACAATATTACTGTCTCAGAATTGTAATGCGTTACATTACTCATGTATTACTTTTGAGTTACTTTCACCAAAATAACTAAGTAGAACTTAACTTTGGGGCTGTAACGATATGCAATATGAAACCAAAATCGCGATTCGCCACACGACTCAGATCCACGAACCTACAGAATCGCGACACACCTCTTCCAACTTCCAGCGTTATTCTCCTTACCGTCCAGATCCAATGCTGCCTTATCTTTAAATTAGGCTATTAGTATTATTTGAAGTTAACATTATAAAATACGTAGACCTACACCACAAAACTAGTTGAGGATAAATTATTTAAAATTGGGTCCAGCATTATGGATATGACATTTGTAGTCAAAACTTGAAATAAAAATTCTCAGAAAATACATGTATTGAAACGTATATATATAGGCTACTTCCTTAAAGGACTCCAGACATTAGACAAATATCAGTCTGTTTTATTTTTAATATTAGGGAAAAGACACACATTCATGCGTGACAAAAAAATAGGAGGCAAAATATATTTTTTGTAATTCTGTTAATTACACTGCGCAAATCGGATGAGGAAGGGTTGGCTCTCCAGTCTCCATAGAACTTAAAATATTCATTTTATTTTAGTTTTCGTGTTCGCATTTATGAGGAAAAAACAATGTTACAGACACGACCGCTCTGAACTGGCACTAAAAGACTGCTTTAAACCTTTCACATAGTCTGTTGCCTTTAAGAAGTAAAAGCAGACAATACACTGTAATACAACTGTAATACAAGCCTCACTGAACATGTAACGAGTAAAATATTACTGAAAAATGATTAGTAATGCCTTACACTACTGCGTTACAGCAAAAAGTAATGTGTTACTGTAATGTATTACTTTTGTAATGCGTTACTCCCAACACTGCTACCTCGTGATGACAAACCGGGTCAAGAGTGAAACTCATTATAATATGCAAAACTGTTATCCACTCACAGCAGTGGGCATTCACTTCCAAGTCTTCAATGTGAGACGCCCATAAAAACCGAGCGTTTTTGAGCTGGGCTCAAAATTAGGGTATAAAATAGCTTATTAGTTATTCATTTTGATGTTTTTGAATGCAAAAACCAAGCGAACGTCATAAGTTGACCTCAGACAACAATCAACAATTTAATAAAATTTAAAAAGCCAGTTTATGACCCCTTTAAGAATTTTTTTTTTTTTTGCCGGAATATCAGGGGGTTTAAAAAATGTTGTTTTTTTTGTTAACTATTGCACACATTATTAGCTGATCCACACACAGTCTGTTCTGACAGGTAGGTTAAATTAGGATAAAAACCTATGGCAAACAATTCATCATCAGTATAGTGTCACACAGTACACTACTATGTTAACTAAGAATTTGGTTCTACACGGTAACTTAGTTGAATGGAAACATTTGACTCAATTTCAATGGCAAACTCTGCCCTGCAGCGAGTCAATCACAGTGCTGATTGCCTACACAATGATAAAACAAATGCTAAGCCCTAACCTACACCCTAACCTTTACCAATAAATTTGTCTGCAGAGCGGGATTTGTGCCTAACCCGTTTGAAGGAAAAAATCTTACATATAATGATGGTTGATAACAATCTCTTATTTGCAGGGGATTGTAACATAGTTGAGAACTTTAAAGGAAATAAATATTTTCTTTAATTATGCACACATTATTTGTGTGAGATTATAATATGCTTTTCACTAATTGAGAAAATTGTTCTCCACTAATGGAGAAAATGACTCATCATAATATATAAAGAGATCTAGATAAAGTATAACGTAGCGAGAGGATCTTTATCTTAACAGACAGGAAGATCTTTATACACTAATAAAGCATTGGATAGTAGAAACAAGAGAAAGCGAGGTCTAAATTAGGTCTACCATTGTGGCAGATAGCAGACAGCGAGGTCTACATTTGTAAGATATGTAAACATTTTTTTATAAAACGGTTACCACACAATAAAAATATTAAAGTAAAAAAAAAAATGTATTACTGCAACTTTCATGAAGTAAATAACTAAAAGCCTTCCTTCCGCTAGAAAAAAAGTCCCTAACCATGGACAGCAACAACGTTCCAATGTGTAATATGCATGAAAACTCAAATAAAAACAGCATAGGAACTGCAGTGTTGCGCAGTGAGAAATAGAACCGTTGGGTGAAGCGGTCATAGCCATGTTTTATCATGAATAAAGCGCTGCTTTTGACCAATCAGAATCAAGGATTCAAACTAACCTATTTATAAACATTAATACGGCAGCAGATTACAGATAGTGAACTAGATATACTCTAACAGAGAGGTACATAACGGACAGAGATATAGACACACTAAAAATACACAGAGAGATCTATGCAGACAGTGTCATGTAAGAGACAAAGAAATATAGATACTCTCTAATAGAGTTGCAGATAACGAAAAGATCTAGAAATGCCAACAGTGCAGCATATAACAACTCAAGATATGCTTTAATAAAACGACAGAGACCAGTAAGTAAAGAGTTACCAGATAGGGCACTGTAGTACGTCAACTCCTCATCATCCTCTGGAGATGAAGATCCTCCCACATCAACGGTGTGGTCCCACTCCAGCGGAATAGAATCCACACTGACGGGCGTCTCACGCCCTGAGCGCTCCAGAGCAGGTGGTAACAGGTGGGACACGGCTTGACGCACTGTCAGTGAAACATCGGATCCCATAGCAGCCTCATCTTCCTCCCTTTCCCTCTCCCACACCCCACTGAAATCAGCCGAGTCTTCCGGATCTGTGTCTCTGTCTGAGAACTCTCGGTCCTCCTCAATCACCTATGAAAGGTTAGGGATGGAAGGGTTCATGTCAGTACTCATTCTTAGTATTTTGTTGAGCGTTTGTGAGATGAGTCTTTTCAAACTGACCGGGCGTCTGCTGATAAGACGATAGTGGAATCGGGAGACCCTGCCAAATACTTCCTGGCAGTAGGAGTGCAGTTCCTCTAGTTCATCTTCGATGAGTACAGCGTCCAGTGGAGCGCTCTTCTGGATCAGGTTCTCTCCAAACACAATCAGCGCATCAATCTTATTTGTGTTCAGAGTGATCTCTTGCTGAAATGCCTGCAGGAAGTCAAAGCACAAGATATGCTGTATTCTGACTGCAGTCCAGGCTCATTAAATATGTTGTTCGGAGAGTACTTACGTTTAGTTGACGCATCTTTTCATGGATATCGCTCTCTGAAAAGTGCTCCACATTAGTGAGCTGAAGGTCCATCTCAGTCAGCCAGACCAGAATCCCCTCCCTTGTTCCTTCAAAGTCTTCCCGCTGAGATGTGAAGTGCTGCACAGAGGAGCGTTTAGATTTTACCAACATTTTCTTTTCAAATTCCCCCCTAAAAATATTATACTTTGTTAGCATGTAAATGAAAAGTGGAGCACATTTCTACCAGGACAGGTGAGTGACAAAAATGTAAAAGTCAGATGCAGTTAATTTTATAAATTTTTTTGGTTTATTTACTTTAGTGTCATTGCCAAACCACTCAGTATTTGAGAATTTAAAATTTAATATACAGTACTGGTCAAAACTTATGCTCACCAAGGCTCAATTTATTCCACCAGAAATACAGTAATATAGTGAAATATTATTATAACTTAAAATAGCTGTTCCCTGAGAAGTGGAACATCTGGAGTGAAACGCTATGGTGAACACCCTTGGTGTGAGCGGTGTCTAAAAGCTTTTTACTCAAACAGACAAGCCTACTAGTATCAGAGGGTGCCTGAAAAATACGCCATCAGCTTTATCAGGCCGACCTGCTCAAGGACTTGGACCCGGAGCAAGGGTTATCTCCTGAGGCGGTGGTGGAATTGGACCAGACCATAGGCCTGGCTCTCCGAGCCATCAAACATACTGCCTACAGTATCTTGGTTATGGAGAGGCACCTGTGGTTAAACCTCTCAGAAATCAAGGAGAAAGATAAGTCTTTCATTCTTGACATCCCAATCTAGCTTTTGGGTTCCTTTGGCACCTTTGTTGAGACAGGGGTTAAGAGATTCAAGGAGGCGAGGGTGCAGTCTACTGCCTTCAGAAGACTCTTCTCCTGCAAGGCCGAGTCCAGACTCTCTGCCTCTTCTAAGCGATCTCATGTTAATTCATTCTCCATCAGATACTGGCAGTGTGGTGAAAGGTCACCACTATAACCCATTTATAAACCACTACAAACCCTCACTTTCTAATTGGGTGATTACTGCTTATTGAAGCAGTTTAATCTCCTGCCAGTGAAGCTCAATTCTACCAACTACTGGTATCGGTTGATGTAAATTATCTGTCGACAAACTGATGACTGACGATCACGTCCTACATTCAGACTCATTTGTGCTTGATAATAAAATGAGGAAGCTCCCCTCTCGTACTATAATGCCCTCAACTGGACAAAGTGCTCCTGCAGGCTAGGGTTGATGCAGGGTGCCTTATTTTGTCCTCTTCCTGATGTCAGTTGGGTTAGCTCCCCTTAGCAAGGATGTACAGGTGTGGCTCCATTTCCAGCCAATTTCATGGGTGAGGGTTTAGGGCTTTCCAGGATGGGAAGAAGGTTATAACCTGTAATGCTAAAAGCTAGCATTTTGCATGCTGCCTTTAATATTTGCTTTAGTGTTTTATAGGAAACAGTAAAGAGGTTATGACCAGACTACAGCATCCTTCCTTGCTCTTCATTTACTCTCTAAGGAGAGAAGTTGCCTCCTGTGGAATCTCTGAGGCAATTATGTGGAAAAATCAGGGGTAATCCTCATAGGCATCCTCTTCAGAGGCTTAGTTGATGTTAGCTTGGATACACTTGAACAAGCCCTGCTTTATTTTTTTCTACAGTCAATGGGCCTCCCTTTAGAGGAAGAGAAAGATGAGTGGGGACTAAGCCAACTAATACTGAGTCTCATTTAATTAACAGCAGTGAGTCATTTTCGCTGTTACCTTTGTTTTCTCCTTTACCTTTTTTCAACATTAATGACAGACAGCATTAGTGGCTGCTGTCACTTTAAGACCTGCCACTGCTGCACCTGATGCGGATCTAAACATACATCCAATTTTCCCACAAATCGTTAAATCCATTTAAGACTTAGCTAGGTAACTCAAGACTGCTCTTATGAGGATACTAGACAAAACACACAGTTTGGCATAATTGTTTGTTATTGTTCGTTCAAGCGGGAAAGAGAACTCGATTCTGACGCGCATCTTTCTGTGCGTTGTGTGTGTGTCAGGACTTCTCTTTGTCTTGTCATGTTTGCCTTTGCGTGATTAAGAGCGTGATTATCATATAATGTAACTTAGCTTCAGAATGACAGAAAAATGGATGCTTTGTTAATTGCGTTTAATATTTTTGAAGTGTTAAACTGGTTAGTGTTAAATTCACGTTAACAGCACTAATATATATATACAGTATATATATATATATATATATATATATATATATATGCAGTATATATATATATATACACACACACACACACACATACACATACACCCGTATGATAAAAAATTCTGGTGTTCAATGTTCAAAAGAACAGCATTTATTTGACATTGAAACCTTGACCTGTAACATTATAAATGTTTTTACTGTCACTTTTTATCAATGTGTTCTTGCTGAATTTATTAAATTTATTACTGAATTTTGAATGGTAGTGTATGACCCAAATCTGACCTTTAACCTGCGGAGCAGAGCAGCAACTCTCTTCTGTAGCAAATCCCAGCGCTGGTTTCCTTCATGAACCATCAACTTCAGCTTACTGGCACCGTCTGTCCGGTTCTCTCGTGCCAGACGCCGGTATTGTTTATTCACCAGCTCCAGCTGAGTCAGACGCTCATGGACCTGACGCTGGAACGCCTGCATGTGTGCATGTTTTTAAAAGGGTTAATGTCCAATAGATCTAATAAAAACTGCAAAGCCACTACTTAAATATCCAATTTTAATTTGTATAACAGAACTGGTGCTATTCTCATATGAACAGGCTACTATTACAGTTAGTGAAAAAAAAAAAAATCAATAAACAGAACTAAACAGAATCAGACCTCAAACTTTTTGAGTTCCTCTTTAGCACAGGTGTAGAGTACATCTTTAGTGGCGGGGTTGGCCACTGTGCGCTCTGCCGTGTTCAGCCACTCTTCAAAGTGTGCATAGTCGTCCAGGAACTTGCACCACAGACGCCATGTCTCCTCAATCCTGCAGGGGGCAGTGTAGAGTCAGGGGCCCGAATATAACCAACAAAAACAAATTAAACTTTCGAAAGTGACATTGATGCGGTCAAACAAGCAGATTTGGGTGTTTGTATTGACCTCATCCTCCTTTCCATGGACATGGCACATATGTTCCTCCAGCGACGGTCCAGGCTGAGCGTGGTCTGCTGAATGGAGTCGTTCTCTCCATCGCTGCCACAAGCGTCCGCATCATGCAGCAAAACATCACACAGCGTCAGAACAGATGTCACACCCTCTGTGTGCTGTTCAATGTCTCTCTGCAAGTCCTAGTGATAAAAATCAAATCAAAATCTAAGACTGACTTTTTGCAAAAAAACTCAAAACTACCAGTCGTCCAAGAAAGATAGCTTTACCTATACATTAAATTGATGCAAAGGCATCCCATATCAGGAGAAAGCTGATGTTGTTTTTAAATAATAAAGGAATATAAAAGATAGATGGTGCTCAGATAAATCTGTCCCATAACACATTGTGATATTTAAAGACAAAATATGTACTTAAAAAATAAAGTTAGGATTAGATATTCACACATATTAGCTACATATTGTGTTTTTGTTAATGAATGCAGTGATTACCTGATGCTCTGTTAGTTTACGCTGTATCTCATCATTGTGGCAGATGGTGTAGATGATAGGTTTTGCCAGCTCACCCTCAACACGGGAAAGCCAGGTACGGAGATTACTCATGTTCTTATCCAGCTGTTGCACTGTCACCAATGTCTCCTTTAGTTTCCTCACCCTGAAACACAATTTGTCAGTCTGTCATTTGCAAAAATTTTTTTGCCGGTATTTAAAAGAACAGTGTAAGAGGAGACAGGAAGCAATAGTAAGAGAGAGAGAGAGAATAGAATATGCGAAGGACTCAAACTCAGGTTTGCTCAATCAATCAATCAATCAATCAATCAATCTTTTACTCAAGTCAGTCAATGTATGTCAGTCATTCAGTGAAGCTAGAGCTATTATTACAGTACATGAATTACAAACTATAATATTCTAAACAAAGAGTGAAATAAACACTATTCTAACAACGAGTCCTTGGTAGTACATTTGCCTTCCAATAAAACAGTAGCCAATAACAGTCATCTCTCTCTCTCTCTCTCTCTCTCTCTCTCTCTCTCTCTCTCTCTCTCTCTCTCTCTCTCTCTCTCTCTCTCTCTCTCTCTCTCTCTCTCTCTCTCTCTCTCTCTCTCTCTCTCTCTCTCTCTCTCTCTCTCTCTCTCTCTCTCTCTCTCTCTCTCTCTCTCTCTCTCTCTCTCTCTATATATATATATATATACTGTAGACGCATACACACCTATACCTATATCTGTTTCACTGATTGATGGAGATTTCTCTGCAGCATTATGGGTAATGTAGTTTTTCAAGCATTTCTGGGATTAAACACGATTATTTTAAAAATAAATTGAAATGATGTGCACTGATGTTTTCAACAATATGCATATGATATTGTTTCACAACCTCATCGGTCTTTCTTTAAAGGCTTATAGGTTATCGCTAAAAACCAAGAAGACATTGGTATATTCATTTACCTAATATAATGTTTATCTATCTAGTATATGCGTTTTATTCTGTGGTGCTTGAGTAACATTTCACATAAAAAGTAAACATTCCCTGACCTAGTGTCATTTCTACACATTTAGCCTATCAGCTGAGTTATACGCAAAGAAACAATACAAGAAAAAGGGCATTTTGCTCAGTCTGAGTGTGCGCGGTGACCCATGTCATGTAATATCAGTCTGTCGCAGTATTCAAACCACACCAGAACACTCAGTGTTAAGACTACTCTAAAAGTGACGTCATGTGACTAAGAGGATGGGGACATTCCTCCACAGTCACGTGACCATTGCAATGGAGGTCCAACCAAAACAAACCAGAGTGCTGATGTGGAAGAAGTGACATCACACAACAACTCAACTGCACGTGACAGCACTGCATTTGTGACGTTTGTTCTTATCAGAAGGTTTATTATTACTGTCACATACATAACCGCTATAGTCATGGGAAAATAATAGATCCATGCAGTCACTCAAAACTGTTATTGTAAAAACGTACACTGATATAAGCTTCAATTAGCAAATGAGACAAGATGTCCTCTATAGCGCATGAATATGAACATGAAAGCTGTAGAAAATGTATAATGATATACAAGGGATTAAAAATAATGAAAAACATACAAAATAAATCTTGTTGCATTTATTGTTCAATGCATTACTATTAATGCTTGATTCTATGCATAATGCATGATTCTAGACGCATGCTCTTCACGCAGTGCCTATCTGTTTGCACCATGCACCATCAGCACATCAGTAGTGTGCACGTCCTCCCTAGAAACAAGTGTGTTTCCATGCAAAGCAGATTATCATCAGGCTAGTGCTACACACACACTCACAAAAGCACTGCCCATCCCCCTCTCACACACATATGAATGCATGCTTATAAGACCCGTCCGTGTGGTGTGCGTGCAATTAGAAAACACTTACTCACAAACCGGTGAGGCTCCATGGCTTTCTCGTGTTAGTGTCAGCATGTCTGTCTGAACGGCAGTGGCTGATCACACAAACACTCTTCTCACAGACCGTGAGCTTCAGTACATTACTCCCACCCTCCTGTCCCTCTCTCATATCCCTCTCCCCCCCATCCCTCTCATTGAATGGCCAAGAGACATGTCAGTTACAGTGGGGATAGTAAGGATGCTCAGTCCACATCAATTTCTTCAATTGAAACTACTGAGATCTATTAAATCTGATCAAAATCAACAAGGCATTAAAAAGACTATTTATCAAAGCAGTATTGTGGTAGTTTAGCTTGGTAAATGTTATATAGAAAATAACAAACCAAGTCACATTTGTGTCCAAGCAAAAACACACTAAAAAAAAAAAAAACTCAAGAAAACAGTATTTAGACCGTTTTTGGTTGTATACTATAACTGAACCAACTGTCGAGCGACCGACAAGTGAATGTACTCACAAACACACATACACACACATGTATTCTATGTCTTCATATTATCTGAACTACAATCAAGGTCAATGATAGATGAGGAACTGAGAAACAGACAGACAGACAGATGTACAGACAGATACTGTAGATGTCTTGTATTCCTCTGTGGTCTGAGATTATGTTCCATGGACTAAAGCTAATTAAATCCAAACCTAACCTGATTATCAATCCCAGAAGAACACTGCGCTGTTTCTCTAAGCAACAGGTGAGAGAACTTTACAAATGATCACATGAAAATAACAAATAATACACAATTGCTTATAACTAGGGCTGTCAAACAATTAATTGCGATTAATCGCATCCAAAATAAAAATGTGAGTGCACTGTGTATAATTATTTTGTATGTATATATATATATATATATATATATATATATATATATATATATACCTACACATGCATGTATATTTAAGAAAAAAATATTATTTAATATTTAATATATATAATAATTGAAATTATATATAAATCTTTATACAGAATATACATGAAAATATTTCTTAAATATATACAAGCATGTGTGTATTTATATATATAAAATAATTATACACAGTGCACCCAAATATATTATGTAAACACAAACTTTTATTTTGGATGGGATTAATCCCGATTAATCGTTTGACAGCCCTACATATAACCTAAAACAATACATCTGTCCCTTTAACACACACACACACACACAAACACTAGCTAGCAAACGCACAACAAACACTCAGAGCACCTTAGCAACTGTATAGCAACACAAAAGGTGTGTATCAATTTGCATACTTATGCTCTATTTTAAGCCATTTTGTTGTATAAACCACTTATTTAAACGAGAAAAGTTTAAATAAGTCAGTTTATGCACTCAACTGTCAAACATTTCCTTGCGCATCAGAAGGAGAGAGGCTGTCAGTATCTGATAGATAACAAAATAACCGTATAAAATTCACACTCTAGGCAGAAGAGTACACAGTATGAGTGTAGTGTATATAGTACACAGTCCATCATTTGGGACACTTGTGGCATCTTTGCGGCACGTTTTTAACAGGCAAGCACCAATCATATTTAAAAAATAAAATTAAAAAATAAATAGTTAACATTATTTGCATTAATTGTTCAAGCTTTAAAGCAGTTCAGCCAAATGAGTTGATAAATCTGGGCCACAGCGAACCACGTTGGTGGGCCTCACATAGATAGAGCCGCTTTCAGTCTTTAGAAGAGGGCAATTCACGGGTGTTGGGAAGATTCAGAGCACACTTCAAACCTCTGAAGGGTTTAATTCTACCGTCCCACTTTACGGTTAGTCAGTTTTTCATATCCATTCAGGATGATAGTCATGGTGGATAAAGCTTATGTTAAAATGTGGACTCTTTGTAAAGAGACACAAAACCACACACACACACACAAACATACAAACAGGCAATGCTGTCACACACAGTAAAATAAATTTGGTGCCTTAGCAACAGTTTCAGCTCAGGTGTCTGAGTGTCGGACAAATGTCCGGGAAAACAAAGCAGAATAAAGAGTCCTTGAAACAGTGAGTAGAGAGTTTTAATGAACTTTCCAGAGTGGGATTGTTCAAAATCATTTATGTGTGTGTGTGTTCAGAGGGGCTGTTTTCAACATAACATCAAAGTTGGCCCTTTGTCCAACAATAGTAGGTTTTGCAAGACACCAAGAGTTCAATAATATAATGGCTGCCATCAATCAGCAAATAGCAGAAGAGCAGAAGGACAGAGCTTTGATGCTGATTGGCTGAGAGACACAATAAGTGGAGACAGAAGACTTATGGGAGGGTGAGTGGACACAAAGGCCCGTGCAAGCAGACGGCAGCTGGCCCGTGTGCAGATGCTGTGAGGGTGAGCTCTGCTGTGATTTTAGGTGACAAAAGAGTCGGATGCGTCAGTCAACTTCTGTAATCCTGTTTAAAGACTCGTCTCAATCGCACACTCCTATTTGCAAGTTGTGTGAGTGACACACAAAATCATACACTGCTGTTTGGGTCTCTTAAAAAAAAGTATCTTATGCTCACCAAGGCTGTATTTATATGTTAAAAAAATCATTAAAAACTGTAATTTTATTGATATTATTATGATTTAAAATAAAAGTTGTTCTATTCTAATTTATTTTAAAATGAAATGTATTCCTGTGATGAAAAAGCTGAATTTTCAGGATCATTACTCCAGTCTTTAGTATCACAGAATCATGCTTCAGAAATTATTATAATATACTGATTTAGTGCTTAAGAAATCAATGTTGAAAATAGTGGTGGTGCTTAATATTTTTGTGGAAAACGTGATACATTTTTTTAGGATAATTTATGAATAGAAACAACAGCATTCATTCCAAATAGAAAATTGTTGTAACATTATACATGCCTTTACACATTTGATCAAGTTAATGCATCCTAGCTGAATCAAAATATTAATATCTTCAACAAAAAAAGTAAATACTACAAATGGTACTACAAACCATCTCATAAGATGGTTTTAAAAACAGATCTAGTCTAAAAATAATGTCTGAAATCACTCAATAGTGTCAATGAAAACAGAGCAACCAGCTGAGACAGGCTGGAGTCACGCCAGTGAACTTTGACCTCAGACACAGAGAAAACAAATGACTTCAACGGAATTATCAATACACATTCAGCCTGTCACTAAAACACTCTCTGTATGTACACAAAGTGGATTTAAAGGAAGAGTTCAGGCCTCAGTCCTCAATAATCAAAAAATAAATCCTGACAGGGTAAAATTACATCATACTGATAATGCATGTCTTTTCGTTTGACTTGTGCTCATGGAGTCTCAGTGGTTGATGGGAAGGAATATGACAGGCGTAAAGCTGCAGCTCAAGGAGAGCCGACAGACAGACTGGTCTCGTGCCTGGTTACCTACTGATCTACAAAGCTACTTTTAGTGTCTACATGCACCTGCAAAGCCAGTTTTAGCTCTAAAACCTTGAGCCAGAGCTAACAATCAAATCTCTTGTAGACGCTCAGGAATCTGCTCAGCTTGGAACTATATGATATGCCTGTCTAAAGCAAGGTATAATTTGTCTGTTCGCCTGTTTGCAAAGCAGAAAAAAAAAACATGTTACGCAATAACGACACTGGTTTTTGATAGCCAGCTACCTGCAGTTTTAATCACTGTCATTGTGAATGCAGAGATTTTTGCTTGACTGCACATGTGAAGATCTAGAACTCTCCAGGTGAATTTATCTGTTGTTATGAAGCAAGAGGAAGCTGCAGTTAAAGGGTTCAATGGGTAACAAACTCATTTCCCTTTTAACCTCCTCCATCCTCTCTTAAAGGGATAGTTCACCCAAAAATGAAAATTCTGTCACTATTTACTCACGCTCAAGTTGTTCCAAACCTCTATGAGTTTATTTGTTCTGCTATACACAAAGGAAGATATTTGGAAGAATGTTTTAATCAAACAGATCTCATTCCCCATTGACTACGATAGTAGGAAAAAATACATACTATGGTAGTCAATAGGGATTGAGATCTGTTTGATTGATCCACTGGAACTATTCATTCAATTTATGCATATAGAGGACCACAACGGAAATAAGCCTGAGGATTTTGTAAAATATTTTATCCTCAATAAATTGTATTTAAATGTATATGAATTGCCTCTGGCATGATGTTTATGATCATTGTTGAATAAATCAAATCAAATCAAATTCTTTAAAATAATGGTTCTTTTAAGAACTGACTATTCACTGAAACGTTCTTTGGGGAACCAAACATTTAACTTCTATGGCATTGCATTTATTATTAAGAGTGTAGCTGAAAGGCAGATATGGTCTAATCTCAACCTCTACAGGCTGATATAAGCTTGCATACAATTGAACATAATGCACTTTAATATGATCTCAGAGATTCAGAACTAAGGATCTGAGAAAATGCGAAAAAGAAAGGCAGACTTGGAGACAAGACGTCAACAAGCTGGCCATCAATGTCACGTGAAGCTACAGCCACCATCTGTCTAATCAAAGAACTGTCAATCAAACGGAGTGCGGGATAAACCAGCCCTCTCCATACACTCTCCCCTGATCCCACCCACCTGGACTAAAGCCACACACTCGTTCACTGTGCTGATGTTTACTCTTCGTGTCTGTTAAATAAAGTGTGACTGAAATGAATAGGATCAATGTCAGATTGTGTTGTCTCGGATATATCTTAGAAAGTTCTATATGAGCAGTTCATATCACATGACCCAAACCTAAAAATCCAGCTAAGTTATTGATGTTTGACCATTTTATGACCATGCTCAGGGTTACATTAAGGTCTCACCTGGCCTCGATGTGATCAAACAGATGCTGCCAGCGGTCGTTGATGTCCTTGATCTTGTCATTTATTTCTGTCTCTTTGGTCTTGTTGCTAGCAGTGATGAGTTGTTCTCCCAGTTGTTTCAGATGTGTCTTATTCTCACTGAAGAGGTTGATCTCCTCCATGCAGTCCTGTAGAGTGAGTATTTGTTTGAAAGAGGGCGAGAAATGAGTTTATTTACGGCCGTACTCTTGTTTGCTTGCTTACATTCGACTAGGAAAGGAAGCAATCTATGCAAATAAATGTGGAATGTCTGCTCTTCAAAGTTAGGTTTAGCAAAACACAGTAAAATGCTAGAACAGAGAGTATTGTGTATCTTAGGTGTTTTGGGCTGGGTGTTGGAAGACATTTGTCTCACCTTCTTGAGTTTCTCCACCATCTCCTCGATGTTGAGCTCGGCGCTGTGCGCCACCTTGTTTTCCATCTGTGTCAGCCATTCACACAGCTCCCGATTCTTCTCATTGAATATGATCCAGGCATTCAGCCGGTCAGCAATCTCCTGCTTACGCAGAGACACCTGAGAGAGAGAGAGAGAGAATACATAAGAGATACTCTATGACAGCATCACACACAGAATAAGAATCTGACTAAAACCAAATGATGTGCAGGTCATGTATTTTACAACAAAATGAAAATGTATAAAAATGTACACTAAATTATTTCAAATGTTTTTTGCAATCAAATAAGAAAATTCTCAGCACAGTTATGCAATTAGAAAAAAAATTAAAAAATGTAAATGGTAGTATTAATACTTGTTGTATCAAATTGTTGTACTGCTTTTAATACTGATTTAAATCAAATAGAAAAAACATTGTTTTACAGTTCACTGGTGTCTTTACTGTAATACAGAATAACAATCATAGTAATCTCAGTAATGAGAAAACAAACAAATAAACAACAACCCTCAAAATAAAAACATGTTGAGAGTGTATTTCTGGGAATATATATATATATTCCCAGAAATACAATATATCAAAGAATATATCAAATAACTTTGATATATAAAATATAATTATATATATATATATATATATATATATATATATATATATATTTCTGGACCAAATGGGATGTAAAAAGGGTTTGCAAATACATTAATTAATTCATTAGTTCTAGAACAAATAAGTTAATTTTTCTTTTCAATTAATTAACTAATTTATTTAACTTTAAAGTAAGTAAGTGATCTAAAATATACTGTATGTTTACAGGTTCATATTAATAAATTAGAGACTAAATTTAATTTAAAACAAACAGGTTAATGTTGAAAATAAAAAGGGTATTCCAGTTACAGAGGAAAAGAATCAGATCTCCAAGAAAACATCTCTATGAACCTTGTCAAAAAGAAGCTTTTAAAGTTTCAAAATCCACACTAACTCAACAGCTGTGGACTTCATTGTTACCAGGCAACACCTCCACAACCACCACCCCCTACAGACACACACTCACACTCCGGCGTGTGACAGACACACTGAGGGTGATTTCCAAAACAAAGAGCTAAAGACTCCTGCTTCTATTCACTTCTCTGTGTCCTTCACTCTCTACCATCTGCTCTCTCCTTCCAGTGTCAAAGTCCCCTACCCACCCCAAAAAAACATGACCCCATGAGACTCCAGCTGACTGATCCAGCACCATATACAACAGCAGCGAGACCTCATGGGAGTGAGGCACAGGTTCAGAAAGTAAATCAATATATGGATCATAGATACCAGAACATGATACATCAGTAAACTTCACAGGAACAATGACTCCACCTGAATCAATGATCACTGCTTAAAAAACATTAAAACAAATCTTCACATCTGTTTCTTGGGTATATTGATGGTCTGCTAACATTGTATTTAACATAGCTGGAATTCCATTGAGCATGTTGTCTGTGTGTGTAGGTTTACTTAGCAGTAAACAGAGCAGTGTCCAAAAGTTAAATATGACAAAACATCCCTTTGAGGACATCCAGGATATTCTCAAATGTAAAATGTTTAAAGAATGAATGAAAGATATCAAATAATAATTATAATCAACTTTAGAAAACAACAATAAATTGCATGTCTTCATTTAGATAACTAAAGATGTTTTTAAATCAGGATGTTGTGTAAGGCAGTGGATGCTAAATATTTTAACTTTTCCACCTCAAAAATACATACAAATAGTACAGATTCATTCAACCCATTTTACTGTTAAAGATGTCCTTCAACAAGACACACACAACAAGATTTATCAGTCGGTTTAATGAGTGACAAACAGCAGCCAATGTTTAGTCACAAGATAACTTTAGGCTTTATATTTGTTTCCTCCATCTCTAAATGGAAGTGTACAAAAATAGTATTCAAATTAACTATGTGCCTGGGTTTACTTAGCTATCCTTTTGTGATAAACTAGAAGTTTGCTACATCTTAGAAAACCTCCTTTTGAGGACAGATGGGGAGCTCCTCATAGATATTGTATGTATATATATATATATATATATATATATATATAGTTGTATGGTAGAATATACAAAAGTCTATGGTATGTTTGTTAGGTAAACATGTTTGTGTCTTACCTTGAGGCAGAGTTCTTCCCACTGACAGTGCAGATGGTCCACTTGCTCCTGCAGGAGGAGGACGTCATCAGTAAGGATGTACTGGGACAGGTCCGTCTTCATGGTGCTGAGCTCGGAAAGACTGACGGCCCAGTCCTCTAAACAATCCTGAACCTCCTGCATAACATAACACGCCACCGTCACACACACATTCACGGAAAACACTGCCGCAAGTCCCAGTTCTGATTCATACAATCTCTCTCTCACCCTCAGGCCCAACAAGATTAAAGCCCACAGGACAAAGGGGGAGGGGCAGAGGAGACAGAGAGAGAGAGAGAGAGAGAGAGAGAGAGAGAGAGGGAGGAGGATAACAGCTGAATAAGCCTATAGCAGGGAGGAAGGGAAATCCAAAGTGTCATGCAACACAAACAAAAGCTGCTATGTGGGATTATTGCACAGGCTAACAGCTAACTGTTACCATAGGTAATTGGGTAACACTTTAGAATACGGTTCCTTCGTTAATGAATAACTACACAAGAACTAATGAGTAATACAATATTAACAATCTAGTAACTATTATTAACTAACAAGAAACTCTGATTAACGAACTAGTAAGTAATAGCGCACAGACGAAAGTGGTAGTTCACTATTAAGTAATCAATAACTACTATTTTTTTAATACTTCCCAGAGAACTACTGAAAAAGTTTATTAATAATCTAGTAACTACTATTAACTAAAAGAAACTCTTATTAACGAATTAGTAAGTAATAGCTCACAGATGAAAGTGTTACTAGATACTTCTGTGGGAATTACTAATTATTTGGATTCGTATTATAAAGTGAAGATCATTGGAACTAACTAGTAATTACTCAAGTGTTACTACATGATCTAGTCATGATTTGTGCAAATGTTTGAGATTTTTGGTGAACTTTAGTAACTTTTAGAAAATGTCTTTAGTAACACTTGAGTAATTACTAGTTAGTTCCAATGATCTTCACTTTATAATACGGATCCAAATAATTAGTAAGTAATAGCTCACAGATGAAAGAGTTACTAGATACTTCTGTGGGAATTACTAATTATTTGGATCCGTATTATAAAGTGAAGATCATTGGAACTAACTAGTAATTACTCAAGTGTTACTACATGATCTAGTCATGATTTGTGCAAATGTTTGAGATTTTTTGGTGAACTTTAGTAACTTTTAGAAAATGTCTTTAGTAACACTTGAGTAATTACTAGTTAGTTCCAATGATCTTCACTTTATAATACGAATCCAAATAATTAGTAATTCCCACAGAAGTATCTAGTAACACTTTCATCTGTGAGCTATTACTTACTAATTCGTTAATAAGAGTTTCTTTTAGTTAATAGTAGTTACTAGATTATTAATAAACTTTTTCAGTAGTTCTCTGGGAAGTATTAAAAAAATAGTAGTTATTGATTACTTAATAGTGAACTACCACTTTCGTCTGTGCGCTATTACTTACTAGTTCGTTAATCAGAGTTTCTTGTTAGTTAATAATAGTTACTAGATTGTTAATATTGTATTACTCATTAGTTCTTGTGTAGTTATTCATTAACGAAGGAACCGTATTCTAAAGTGTTACCGGTAATTGTTGAAGTGTGTTTTTATTACAGTATTTTATGATCATATTGCTCTTTTATAGACAAAATTATGTACATTTACAGTATAATATACTGACAATCACAAAAAATGTGGTAGAGAGAAAGCCACATGATGTATCAAAGTTCATCACAAGTAGCTTTTACACAAGCTGAGATAATACTAATATTGTATAGAATGTACACGCAGTGCCATGCACACAAATACAAAACACTGCTGTGGTAACAATCATAACACTAAATTAATGTCATAAATAAACATAACTTTAAGTATATGAAGTAACCCAGAGTACATAACTGCTAAGAAAAAACGGTAAGACGATTTTACAGTGTCCTTGTTACACATCTTGCATGTAGTTACTACAGTAATAACGGTAACACTTTACAATAAGGTTCATTAGTTAACTACATTAGTTAACATTAACAAAGAATGAACAATACTTCTCCAGCATTTATTAATTTTTGTTAATGTTAATTTCAACATTTCCTAATACTTTTTAAAAATCTTGTTAACATTAGTTAATACACTGTGAAATAACATGAACAACAATGAACAGCTAGATTTGTATTAACTAACGTTAACAAAGAATAACAAATACAGTAACAAATGGTTAGTTCATGTTAGTTAATACATTAACTAATGTTTAATAAATGAACCTTATTGTAAAGTGTTACCGTAATAACTATAATTTATGCATAATTACACGCAACTAACCATACAACAAACCTAATCCTAACCCTATTATAAGTACACGTAGTTAATTAAAGCTGCAGCAAGTAACTTTGGTAAACAATTTTTTGTTACTTGTTAAAACTGTCATTATGTCCTGGAAGAAGTTAGTCAGCCTGATAACATTTACCCTGAATTACAAGTGTTCTTTGAAACAGATGTAGACATCCCATCAGTAACTGATAAGCATGTACATTCAGTCAAGGTGTGGGGGCTAGGAAAAGAACACAGGGAATAGAGGAGATGGAAAGTGTTTCTACCAATTCTTCTGTTGTCCAAATACAAACTGTTGCCAAAGGACCAAGAGATATTGAGAGAATATCGCAGAGCTTACCCCCAGCACGCACCAATCTTTCTGAATTTAGAAGAGCATTGATCAGAAAAATGCATCTCTACAACATGTCATGGGCAGAAGTAACACAGCTGATGTCACAAATTCTAACTGAATCTGGATTCAACAGTTTTGAGTCTGCTGTTACTTCTGAACTGCAACATGCCAGTAAAGATGAATTGAGAGAGGGAGTTCTGAGAGCGTTAAAGGACACAATGGGACCCAAAATAGACTGGTCTAAAATCTCGAACTGTGTGCAAATAAAGGAAGAAACTGAGAGTGATTACCCTGAAAGGTTTTGTTAGTTGTTAGTTGATGATTCTGAAAGTGTGTTATTGGACAAAGCACATCTAGTCCGCATCTGGTCAGATGGCCTTTGTAGCCAAATACAGAAAAGCTTTGCCATTCCTAGATCTAACTTGGTCTAACAGAACTCTCAGAAGTCATTTAGACTGGTTGGCTGCATGGGAAAGAGATGCTGATGTTAAAGCCAAAGTCAACGCAGAGAAGCAACAGAGGGTTGTTATTACTGTGGTAAGCATGGACACTGGAGAAAAGAGTGTAGGAAAAGCAAAAAGAACTTTTGAGAAGTTAAAAATGTTGCTCAGCTCCTTCTCAGTCGGCTTGCTACTCTGAAGCAGCCATTCCCCAAGTCATTAAACTTGTGAGGCAGCTTGTTGAGTGCTCGTTTGGGCTGCGAGTGCTTGATTTCCCCAGTAACTTACTGTACACCAGACAAAAGACTTATTTTTGTTTAATAGAACAAAAGGAAAGTGACTGTCTCAGCTTTCTTTTGGGGGACACTGATTAAGTAGACTCACAGTCTTAAATGTTAATTTAATTAATCCCACCCCCTTGAAGTGTATATAAACTACAATGTAAAATTCCCTTAGTTAGACTTGGCTTAGATTTTTGGATGAAGCAGACTATAGCAATGCAACAGCAATAGAGAACCCTGCTTAAAAAGATACTTCTGAGTCTCCTGGTTTTTCAAACATGAAATGTCCAGTTTGATTTTTCACCGTATACAGTAAGGGAATTTACTGTTTGCCAGTTAACAGGTTATTACCGAAGCATTTTTGGACTTTTACCATCAAAATTAAGACTAGTAACAGTCTAGTTCTCTTCTTGGAGTTAGTGTACCTTCACAAGGAGGCGTTCTTCTTCCATCTCCTCTTGCTGATCTGGGATCAACTGCTTTAGTCTGGCTCGTAGCACATCCAGGCGCTGCGCCTGATCTGCTAGTCTGGTCTCACAGGTCTCCCACTTCTGTAAAATAATAAATAAATAAAATAAAAAAAACATATGCAATAGAGGCTGCTATAATGCTCTGACAGGTTCTTGATTTAATATTGTATCTGTAAGCCTCTTTTGTTTTGGTATGGGCTTGACCAGAGTTCTTATCAGTCAGGGAAAGCCAAAAATAATGCAGAGAAAACAATGAAAGCTTATGGATATGTGAAGGAAGAACTGGACACACAAACATATGGACAGGTGTCCAGATATCCACTGTGGAAGGTCAGTGTGCACTACATCAGTCCAATGTCTCAGATCAGATACAAATGAAAAGTTAAGCCAACACTAAGGGCAATAAAAACACCATACATACATGCACAAACACACCCACACACACGTGTGGGGTTATCAAAACAAACACAGATCTACATGTTACTCAGCACTGCACTGTACTGGAATACAAGTTCACTGATTCAAACCCATGTGTCCACACAAGACACAACTTACATACAGTATAATACATGTAAAACCCTATTATAATAACACATACTGCAGAGAGGAAAGTGCAGTGAACTGGCCTTCATTTTATAAGGTGATACATGAGAAATGAAGACTGACTAGGCACTGTGAGAAAGAGATAGAAAGGCATGGAGAGCTGTAAATCCCTAGACAGGCTTTATTGTAAACCCTTGAGCACATGACAAGTGAATGTACTCATGAACACACACACTGATTATGTTTTATATGTCTTCATATTATCTGAACTGCAATCAAGATAGATGAGAAACTGAGAATCAGACAGATAGACAGACAAACAGACAAACAGATAGATAGATAGATAGATAGATAGACAGATAGATAGATAGATAGATAGATAGATAGATAGATAGATAGATAGATAGATAGATAGATAGATAGATAGATAGATAGATAGATAGATAGATAGATAGATAGATAGATAGATAGATAGATAGATAGATAGATAGATAGATAGATAGATAGATAGATAGATAGATAGATGGAGATAGACAGACAGACAGACATAAAGACAGGCAGGGAAACAGATGGATGGATGGATGAACATTTTATGACTTATTGACCTGCATAAAATGCATGAAGACTTTTCAGGTCAGGAATACTGATATTAAAATGAATGTACTTGTGTGTGTGCGTGTGTGTGTTTGTAAAGGTCTGATCTGGATTAGTCCAGCTGTAGAATCAAAGGGAATGTAGGTCAAACTCAGCTGGACTCATTCCTGCACAAAACCAACAAAATATATAATACAGCATCACCTTTTTCTACACTCAAAAATACACACAATCCAACATTTTTGTTGTCCTGTAACTTTCTGGACTGGCATGTAATGGCGAAGTTTATTCCTGGTGAAATGAAACACATGGGATGGACAGTTAACAGGCTCTGAGCAGGTGTTTATCAGGGTGACAACCCATGACCTGCTATTTCCATCTAAATAAAATCGTAAAAACTCCAAGGGCGGGATTTACTTAGCTGGAGCTGTTATACAAACTTTACCCTCATAAATGCTGATATGCAGATATGATATCTGGAATCTAGAAAAAAACTTTTCAATTTGTTTGTGATTACTAGATAAGGATTCCACTAACATTAAAGAAACATTTCTAGATGATCAAATATGTCACAGCTAAGAATCAAACTAATTTAAATATATGTATATACAAATTAAGGACTTTTCAATCACTTTTTAACAATTACTTTCCCTGGTTTGGAAGAACCATCTTCTGGAATCAAGTCTGATCACACAAACCCACTCACTTGGCTTTATGGATTTCCCATGTGACCTTTGACATTCAAAATAAGGATAAGGATAAATATTGTGGGTGGCAACAGGATGTCTAAAGAGCTTAGCAATAAAACACAAGAGTAAGCTCATTCATAGGTCCCATTTCACACCAAAACAAACCATCTTACCTTTATGATGTCAGAAGTGAGTATTTTTCTTTTTCCTAGCATGCACTGACATTGCTCCCAATCCTCCTGCAGAGCAGCCAGGTCTGTCTGCAGCTGCATCTGCGTCTGCGTGTCACTCACTGAGAACAGCTGTCTGCCTACCTCCATCACACACAGATATGCAGAGATCGACCTTTGAAACAACAGCTCTGTTCGCTTTACACAAGGATAGAGAGAGAGAAAGAGAGAGAGAGAGGGAGGGAGGGATGGAGAGAGTGAGGGGAGAGAGAGAAATGGTTAAACAAATAAAAAACAAACTGAACCTTTTGTCTTTGGCAATTGCAAGCATATTGGTTACCTAACGTAACCTCGGTTCTCTCTAGATGAGGGAACGAGTATTGGGCAAGTTATCTTATCTATGAGCGGAGCACGGAGGCTGTCTCCCTGGTTTTCATCGACTGAACTGAAAATCGCTCAATACTCGTTACCCCTTCTAGAGAGAACCAAGGTTACGTTAGGTAACCGATACATTCTGTTACGAGAGGTTCTCTCGTATTACGTAAGTTAGCTTATGCTACAGGAACCCTTTGTCGACAGTGTGGGCACCAACCATCCACTTCATGAGTCCCAGGGAATCCCAGGGATTCCAGATAAGCGGGGAATAAGGCGGCCAGCAATGCGGGCCGGCACAAGTACATAAGCGCTCATAGGGAATACAGAGCAGTGCCACCGGTCCGTAGCGTACCATATTAACCCAATATAGTGCAGCTCAACCAGGAGAGCTAAGTTACGTAAGAGTACCCTGCGCAGAATCAGACCTGGACACAACGTACATCTCATTTATACTGACAGAAGTTTATCCTGCAGGGCGGGAACTTCCAGGTTATAGAACCTAACAAAGGTGGAGGGGGAGGCCCAGCCCACCGCCACACGTGTCATGAATTGAAATTCCGCTGGACCATGACGAAGCCATGCCTCTAGTGGAATGAGCCCTGATGCCCATAGGGCATTGTAGACCTATTGACACATTGGCAGCTGTGATAGCGTCCACTATCCATCTGCACAGGCTTTGTTTCGAGGCAGCGAGACCTATGGTGTTCCCACCAAACTAAATGAAAAGCTGCTCCGAGCACCTGAAAGGGGCGGAGGACGTAATGTAAGCCCTCAGCGCCCTGACCGGGCAGAGGAGATTAACATCGCTCTCGCTATCTAATGATGGAAATAACCTGCACTCTGAACGGAGTGCCAAGCGTGCCGTAGACGCCGGAGAAAACTCGGTGGTTGGCTGGTAAAGCTTAGGACCGGGCTGGCGTCTTCCACCATGATTTTGCCTGGAATCCGTTCGGATTTTGGTTACCTCGCGCCGAGGCGCTCTGCGGACCCGATCGACTCCTGTTCGGTTCCGGTGGCTGGCTTGGAGTCTGCGGCTGCTTGCTTGGACTACACTGGGTGCAAAGGCCCCGGATCCAGCCAAGTTTGCCCTGGTGATGTTAGATCGCTAGCAAACAAAACTTTCATCTTGAAGGACTTCTTTGAGTCGCGTGATCTGGATTCTCTTTGTATAACGGTAACGTAGATTCCGGTGGGTGAGTCGAGTGCTTTTTGTGAACATTTATCGTTTAACTGTTTGTACTTTAACTCCCAGAGGACGTCAGATCGTGGAGGAGGACTAGCAAAAGTCTATAAAACAAATTTGAAGTGTAAACAGCTTGCACTCGCTGTATCCTTCGAATTTGTTTGACTGCGTGGTGTATATGTAGGCCACCCAAATACAACAAGGATAGAAGACACGGAAGCGCCTGTAAAAAACAAGCTGAGAAAAATCGAGACCGGATCCATGGCTGAACTATATCACCCGCGCTCCCAGACGCAAGTGTAAAAGGGTGGAAAGAATGTGGAAGAGGGATAAACTTATTTCAGATACTGTATTTGGAGAGAGTTGGCATTCTTATCAAAAATTGTAAAAGCTGAAAAGACCAAGCATGTTTCTAAAATTATTTCTACAAATGGTCACAATCCTTGAGTTCTTTATAATACCCTCAAAACTATTCTTAATGTCTCACAATTCCAGTGCTTGGAGAACCCATCAAAAATGTGTGAGGAGTTTCTTCACTTTTTTATCCACAAGGTGTTGAGCATTAGAGCCCTTATTGGTCCACCTTTGAATTAGCCTGGCATTTCTGTAACCTGTTCTGCTGTTTTGAACCAGTTTGAGCCTGTTAGGGTAGCTTGCCTTTTTTTTTTTAGAAAAGATTATTGGTCAGATGAAGATCACTGGGTCCCCAAATGATGTGATTCTGTGACGATGCTGCCCTTCTGGAAAGACGCGGCCAGGCGTCTGAGCCTTCATAGCCACAGAGTCCAGTCCTATTCCTAGAAAACGAAATTGACTGGCTGGGGAGTAATGAGCTCTTAGTCCAGTTTACTGTGAAACCCAGGCTTTCCAGATGACCGAGAAGCACTGCTCTGTGAGATAAAAGTTCTATCTCTGACTGTGCCAGAATCAGCCAATCGTCCAGATTCGCTAGTTCATAATTCGCAAGCCCTGATTTCTCAAGGGGGCAAGAGTCGCATCCATGCACTTTGTGAATGCACAGGGTGTTAAAGACAGGCCGAATACCATGACGGTGTATTGATATACCTGACCGTCGAAGGCGAATCTCAAGAATGGCCTGTGATGGGGTATTATCTGAATTTGAATTGTCGTTCGGGCGAATATGCGCAAGGATTTTTTTGCTCGTAAGCATTTTGGTCATCAACGGTCTTTTCACAAGAACTTTGTTTAAGTGACTCAGATCTAAAATAGGTCTGAGGGCTCCGTCCTTCTTGGGTACGAGAAAATAACGTCTGTAAAAGCCTGACTTGCTCAGAGAAGGCGGTACCAGTTCTATGGCCCCTTTGCACAGCAGCTTCACTGTTTCTGCGCAGAGTAGATGTGCTACTTCCACATTCACTGCTGTTGCAATACCTGCTCGAAAGTGTGCTTCTGATCACGGTACGTGCTTTTACGTGCTTCTGATCGCCGTACTGCGCGGGCTTGAGAAACTGCACCGGAGTTATGGGCGAGGCACGATCCCTCTGTGCTTGAATACGCCGGCTCGCTGAGCAGTGGTGGCGGCTGTTTCATATATGACGTCCCGATTGCTATGAATGGGGAGCGTTTTGTGATCACTTTGTAATGCACACGCAGCGCCATGGGCGAAGTGTTTGTTAGTAAGCGGGCACGCGATTTAGACTCATATGTGACGTTCCGATCGCTTTGAATTGGATGATCGTTTTGTGAAAACTCACCCGAGCGGCACCCGAGGCAAAGTGTTTGTCAGTAAGCGTGAGCGCTCATGAGCAGGCATGCGATTTACATAATGTGACATCCCGATCGTGTGCAGTCGAGCAGGTAGCATTACCGGCTCGCTGGCTACCGAATACACCGCTGCAGTAACCTATTTCCAAGGACTGACAGGGCGAGATATTTCGACAGCGGTCCGGCCGTGGCTGGACTTAACCATCTTTTCCTTCTTGCTGCCGCTGGAAGTACTTCACGTGCTTGCGTTGCTGCAAGGACGGAGGCTGAGCTGGATGCTGGGTAGCGCTTCGCGCAGGAGGCTGATCATGTGAGCAGTCTGCAGCTGAGCTGGAGCGTCTCTCCTTAAATCCGTGACAGATGGATCCGGGCCGTTCTCCTTCCGCCTCGCATCAGGCGGTCTCCGTGAACAGCGTTTTCATCTTGCGTGATCCAGCAGTGGGTGGAGTGACAGCTTCAGCATTGAACACCTCGAGTCAAGCCCGCAGGGTTGTCATCGGGAGTTCTTCGCAGTAGACGCATTCTCCTGATGAACAGTGATGACTGTGTATGGGCCCAGGCAGAGAGCGCAGATCACATGGCGGTCTCCGGTGCTGGGTGGGGCTCGGCACGAGCCACAGGAAGTCAAAAGACGAAAAACGTCTCGTGCTCTTTTAGAAAGGGGGTGCGAACATGCACAGAATAGAGCTCAGAAAAAGGATACGTCGCCGGATAATGTAGCTTACACGGATGGCTGAAGGCGGCGAAGATGACCGGCTTCTTCAGGGACTGTCTAAGCTGGCATTTTTGCTTCTTCAAGCGGCGGCTTCTCTCAGAATCCAGCGATGCGAAGAGCTTCACTGAAGAGATGAAAATCACGGAGACAGCCTCCGAGCCCCACTTATATACATGAAGCCACACCCATTCTGGCGGGCTAAGACACGATGAGGGCGCGAACGCCCTTCATTGGATGTGATGTCACACCGGGCTCAGTGGTAATCCGCAGCAGTTGCCGCAAGGCAGCCAATGAGCACGCTAGACAGCCTGCTCTAGGTCTGCTAGCAGCTGCATTGCTTTGACAATCAATTTCTCAAAAAGATTAATATTTCCCGTAGCATAAGCTAACTTAAGCAATACGAGAGAACCTCTCGTAAGAGAAATAAGGTTTTAGTACACCAAAACAGTATAGAAAATAAATAAATTCATTAAAAAACAACAACAACAACAAAAAAAATCTATGATGTAAAATGATTATGAAATATTTCAAAGGAAATAATTAAGTTTTTGAGAATTATTACCAGAGGAGATAACTGCAAAATTTTAAATGGATAAAAATGGATAGAAATGTATATGCAATGTTTAAGGTATAGATCTATATATGCACCACTGTTAAAAAGTAAAATTGAAATAATTTCCTTTTTTTTGGCAAGGATGCATTAAATTGATCAAAGTGACAGTTATAATCTATATAACTAAGATATCTATTTAAAAAAATGTTTAAACACAGTTTCCACAAAATATTGACTTGCACAATTGTTTTTAATGTTGATAATAATAAGAAATTTTAGAATAAGACTGTATTAATTGCTGCTAAAAAACCCAGCTTTGTCACCACAGGAATAAATAACATTTTAAAATATATTAACATAGAAAACAGTTATTTTTAATAGTAATATTTCACAAAATTACTGTTTTTTTTTGTATTTCTGATCAAATAAATGGTGAGCATGCGAGACTTCTTTCAAAAATAATTAAAAAAATCAGTGCATATACTTTGTCTTCATCATTGATGATAGTGATATTTAAAAATCATCTTGTTACCTTCAGATCATCCAGCAAGAGGCACAGCTGCAGGACGCTACAGTGCGTGGGACTGGTAGGCGACAGGAGTGTGTGTGTGAGTGTGAGAAGTTTGCGGAGTTTGTGCATTGTGTGTGTATAAAGGTGCCATTGCTGTATGAGCCCTTCCACAAGAGCACGTCGTTGAGCCGCTCTCTGCACCGCCCCCTGCCAGTGCTCTCTCAGCTGGGACAGTTTTAACAAGAAGTCGCTCCTGAGGGCACAAAGATCAGTATATATGAGAGCAGGAAATTTCTAAAAATGTGTTTATGATGGAATGATAAAATACAGTATTACACTATCATTCAAAAGAAGTCAAAAACAGTAATATTGTAATATATTTTCAAATGTATTATAATTTCAAAACTTCAAACTTCATGTTCTGTTATAATATATTTTAAATGTAATTTATTTCTTTAATGGTTACATTTTCAGCATCATTACTCCAGTCATCTGGTGCACAAGAAATCTTGCTTATATTTATCGTCAATGCTGATAACAGCTGTATTTGTGTGGAAACCATGAAACATAAATGGAAATAGAAACAAAACAAAATAGAACAAAATAAAAATCTTTCGTAATATTTTCTAAAACGTGTTTTTACTATGACGTTTTGATCAATTTAATGCATCTTTGCTCAACTAAAAAGTATTCATTAATTCAATTAATTTCTTCAAACTTTTGAATGGTAGTGTATGTCACAAGCAGAGCTCAAAAAGCAACACAAGGTCATATTAATGCACCGAAACATGCAGAGAATCGTCACCTGTCCTCCACATCTCCCTTTTGCAACAGGAGGAGAGATTCACTGATCACAGAGTGAAGGATCTGATGGCCTAAAGACAACTCAGCCTGAAAACACTAGAAGAGAAGGAGAGGGAAAAGATAGATTTTGTGTGTTAATCGGATGATCCATGATCCATATGAGCAGCATTTGTGATTGTTGTACCTGGTGTGTGCATTGCTGTTCTCTTAGTCCAGGGTAAGTTGATGCAATTTCTACAGCTAAACTGTCCTCCATGCGCTGTAGGAAAGCCATCCAGCTCTCACATCTCTGCTCAAAGCTTTGCCGATGGAGTGAGGCTGCCTGCAACTCACTAAACACACATAATATACACATATTAACACAGAGTAAACACGCAATACCTTGTATATTGTCTCTTTGTTTTCCCATTTATAGACCGACACCTCTTCTGTCCCCATGTTGAGAGAAATCGGGAGTAAGTGGAGAGGCGTTGTGTGTGTTGTGTGAACATGTAGCTCTCCTAAACTAAATGTGACCATGCATTTACTCATCTTACCTCCACAAATACTGTGTAAACACTTGTATGTAAGTATTTAATCTCACTTTATTAAACCATGTCTTTGCTGATGATCTTCAATGATTGAATTAAACCACACAGATCATTATTGCTGAATTAAGAGTTAAACTTTCTTCTGCAATCTAGACTGGCAGCACAGCTGAAAGGTTTGTTTGAGATGAGCCCTCTACTGTACACACATTCATTTGCATTTCCTTCAGTCTGAGGCTTATTAATTTCACTTTTGGTGTGAAAGGGCTTTTTCATTATTAAAAAATAAACAAGCAAGGCCAGCCCAGGTGAGAAAAAGTAACGCAAAAGTAACATTACTAACTAACGCAACTAGCTACTGTACTTTTTTAGGAAGTAATGCAATAATGCATTACTTTTAAAAGTAATTTTCCCAACACTTAGTCTCACCTGCACTTCTCCTGAGCATGTGCCGAGGCCTGTGCCCACTTCCTGTTGAGGTGCTGTAGCTTCTGTGTCATGGGGTCACTAAGGGTCAGCCTGTAGCTGAGTGTGTTTAGAAGATCCAGATCAGGAGAGAGAGAACTGATCTCCATCAGACCCAACTATAGATAAGGAAACACAGAAACCCTCAATACTGGGGATGTCTTCCATAAAAGGATGTTAGAGATATGCGTTTGAGAGTTTATCACCTGAGATATGTCTGTGTGTTCACTGTACATCCTTTGCTTGCTTTCCCACTGTTGTAATTGTGTTTCGAGGGACTGGTATAGCCTTTCAAATTCCTCAAACTGCTCAAGATCCTCCTGGACTCACACATAGTTTCAATTGAAGGAACAGTTAACAGTCACCTTTATGTCTTCAGAAGACAGACTACTATTATGGTAATTTTATGCCGCTATCATGGTGTTTTTGATCATGAATCTATGCAAATTTTGTGTTCAGTGGATTCTTTAAACACTTCCAGGCTTATTTAAACACAGATGTTAAAGGAATAGTTCACTTTTAAAAATTTTTTGCTGATAATTTACTCACCCCCATGTCATCCAAGATGTCCATGTCATTCTTTCTTCAGTCAAAAAGAAATTAAGGTTTTTGATAAAAACATTCCAGGACTTTTCTCCACATAATGGACTTCAATGGGAACCAAACGGTTCAAGGTCCAAAAGACAGTTTCAGTACAAACTGCAAACTGTTCAAAGGGCTTTAAACGGTTCCAGACGATGAATAAGGGTCTTATCAACCGAAACGATCGCTCATTTAAAAAAAAAAAAAAGATTTATAAGCTCAAATGGTCGCCTTGCTCTGTCCTGTATTGCGCGTTTGTGACTCATGAACATATCTTTTTTCGTGTCATTTGGTTTATTCAACGAACGAAATGACGAATTGACTCGGGAAAAGATTTGTTCATTTTGATGAACAAGTTCGAACAGGAGAGTCACGAACATGCAGAACAGAGCAAAGCGACCATTTGAGCTTATACAACTTAAAAATTATTATATTTTTTTAATCTAAATGAGTGATCGTTTCACTTGATAAGACCCTTATTCATCATCTAGAATCATTTAAAGCCCTTTGAACAGTTTGCAGTTTGCACTGAAACTGTTTTTTGGACCTTTGGTTCCGATTGAAGTCCATTATATGGAAAAAAATCCTGGAATGTTTTCATCAAAAACCTTAATTTCTTTTCGACTGAAGAAAGAACGACATGGACATCTTAGATGACATGGGGGTGAGTAAATTATCAGCAAAAGTTTTTTTTAAAAGTGAACTACTCCTTTAACGTATATGAGTCTTACCTGCATGTGTTCAATTCGTCCTTTTAGAGTCTGTTCTAACTGCAGGTAACCTCGTGTTAACAAACGACATTCTGATCTGATGAAAACTGCATCTTCATCATCCACCTGTTCAATCAGATCTTTAGACGCTTCAAGCATTTCATGAACATCAGTCTGCAGAGTCTCTGAACCTTTCTGTAACATCTAAGAAAAGAAAATAAGGACAATGAGTCCAAAAGACATTTTACATTCTTTCTTGTAATGTATAATATTTACATCATAACAATTAAAAAAAATCCCAATGATTTAAATATCAATTGTGGTCTGAAACTTTTTGGACACCACTTTAGTTTGATTATTTTATAGTTATAGTTTTTTTTTTAATGAATGGTTGTCTGTGAATTTGCATTGTACTCACAGTCTCCATCTCTGCGATGCTGTGTGCGAGTTGTTTATTGTCAGCAGGTGTTTTGTTGTGCATGGCAAGCTGTTCTCTGTGGCGTCGGAGCTGCTCTGAGCAGGTGCTTCTCATATCCGAGTATCTCTGCCACACCTTCAGAAGACTGTGTGACCTTTTCAAGGTGTGTATGACCTTTTCCTTCATCTCTGACCACCTAGAGGGCAAAACACAGGTGAATAAGCTTGAACATTCACATACACATTCATATTGTTTTGCTGGAGACGTGTAAAGTTTAACCTTGATTTTTCTTTTTCTAGGTGCTCAGATATTATCTGGGCAGAGTCTGTGCTAATTCCACCAATAAGGACAGATGTTGTCTTGTTAAGATCCTCCCATTGTCTGTCACCCTCCTCTGTGTCAGCTTTTAAGACCTGTATGTATCATAAAAGTAAATAAATAAATAACTAATACAACCAAATGTAACATCATGGCCCGGTTTCACAGATGAGGCTTAGATTAAACCAGGATTAGGCGTTAATTTAATTTAAATAGCTTTATTAAACATGCCTTAGAAAAAATATCATTACTGGTGTGCATCTTGCGAGATAAAACAATGGCACTGACATATTTTAAGATATATCAATGCAAGTTGCTTTTAGTAAAAACAGCTCAAACATGCATTTAAGAGTAAGTTTATACGACAACGATATGCTTGAAATGGAGAAGTTTTTTCTTTGAGATTTCCGCGTACAGACAACATTCTACGAAAATAAAAATGAACGGCCAAAACGTATAAAAAGTTGTACGTTTTGTAAGTTGAAAATGGTTTGGTGTAAACACCCCCAGGGACACTTTTTTATACGTTTTGACCAGTTATTTACATGACAACGTGTTTACACAACAAACATTTTAACTTTTAAACTTTTAAAAACGCATTTTAAAGTGGAAGTTTTTGAAAAAGGTCTCCGTAATGGCGTTACAACAAAAACGCGAATCTCTGAAGATGACGTTATTCACATGCGTATTATTTGTGTTTCATAGCCATCTAATGGCATTGGCCTGGCAGCAGATTACGGGGTTTTGTTTAGTCATTTTTGTGGACCCGTTTTGACAATGGTGTCGTCTGTATGCGTAAATCTCAAAGGAAAAACTTTTCTGTTAAGCATATCATTGTCGTGTACCCTTAGTCTGGCATAATATGTCATCATACTGTCTGTCACCAATTAGAAATATCTTAGAAATGACAAACTATGATTGATTGACAGCACCTGTAGCTTATCAATGTTGTTCTGGAGAGCGCCGAGGGAGGGCAGAGGAGTGTGGTAATACTCTAGTGATTGGCAGATCCTCATTGTGTTTACAGTTGCCTGGCTCCTCCCACTTTCAAACTGAGACCACACCTTACACAGCTCCCTCAGGGTATTTCCAAGACCTTTACTCTAAAAAAATTACAAATAATTATTATTTTCCTTATTAAAGTTAAACATACACCCAAATGAGAGTTTTGTTTTGAGTCACAGGAAGTTTCTATACCTGTTGAGAAAGATATGTCAAAGACTGTGAGAGCTTTTGAGCTTTTGAGACAAAGTCTTTATCCCTATCCTCTTCATCAGTGGTAAATCTCCTCTTTCCCAGCTCAGTAAGTACAGTGAATTTGTCCTTCAATTTTTCCTCCAGTTCCTGAAAATGAGAAAAGATTACTCTAAAATGTAATTTAAATATATTTAAATCAAAACTGAAACGCTTTTAAAAAGTTTTTACTTTAGTCATCATGAAATCAAAATTGCATAAAATAAGCACACCATTTTTATAAATGATTTATTCATGCATATAATTCTTTTTTTTTTTTAAATTCATGTGCCCTCATAATCTTTAACAAAATAAATTTCCCTCCCTCTTGCAGAGACATCTCATCTCTGATGATGTGTTTACTGCCGTAAAGGCGGGACGACCTGTCACTCATATGACATCCTAACCATCCAATCAATTCCTGATGCATGGACAAAATCAGTCCTGTCCAACATTTTTTCCTTAAGCCCGTAACACACTTAAATATATATCACAATCTAAGGCTATTGCAACTTCTGTTTCATGCAGACTTATCATCTTAACAACCAGAAAAAATCAGCGACTCACTTCACATTCCTTCAGGCTCCTCTCAGCAAATGAGCGACTGAAGGGTCTTTCAGCCAATCGGATCCATTGTTTTTGACCTTTGACCCAGCGCTGCAGGATGTGTAGTTTGTTATCTCGCTCTGCTCTTATCCTCACCTGTTCTTCAACATGTAGAATCTGTGAAATACATTAAAATATAATGTTAATCTGTGTTGGTTACCTATGTGTTTTTTTTTTTTACTAATAAACTTAATAAAGTCACCTGTTTTTTCAGGTGAGCCTGTAGAGTAAGCCAGCGCAGACTGACATGTCCCAGGCTTTCAGCAAATGCTGTGTGTTTGTACCTGCAGGTGTGAGAGTCAAAACCGACCTGCTTCAGCTCACACTGATTAATATAGTCAACAGACATCTCCTGACATGTCATCTCTCTCTTCATCTCCTGGACAGAGAGAAAATAAGAAAGACCACATTGAAATTTTGTTGAAAGATTCTGAAAGTTAAAACTACTGTATATTGCCATCAATAAATAAAATAAATAAAGTAAAAATGTGTTCTTTGAAAAATCATCTGTAAACTGTTACATCTTTACTCTTCTATGAAAATAGAAAAAATGAGAGAAAAAGTTAATTACTCTTGTTTAATGTTCAGCCTTCATAATTCATTCTTTTTTGTACAGTATTTGCTGTGTGTTACTTTCTAGATTTTACTTTGTACTTAATTTACACTTTTTCATTTCACACAGTTAAGCTGCAAACGCTTTGGTGATGTAAATTTGCAGTTTTGTCATGTCAGTAAAGCACAATGAACTGAAATTGAAAGAGAACAAAAAAAGAGAATTAAATTTTCATATTTTTTTAGTTACTTTCATAATGTTTTACTTTCTGACTGCTTTTTATAAGAGTAGTCTACATTAATTTAATTACATTTTTTGTTTAATTTTATATTATTACTTACAGTAGCTCTGTTTATATTGCAAACACTTTGTTTTGTCATGCTAATAAAACATAAGAAATTGATTTCTTTTGTTGATTCATAATATTTTCCTTTTTGTTATATTTTGTACTTTACTATAATTAATTACTGATTTTTAATTACTTTTATATATTGTTTCACTTATATTTGCTGGTCATTTATTTTCAATTTGTCATTCTTCAAAATAAAATAATAATCAGTTATTTTAGGACTATTTTTTCATTTTGCATAAAATAAAATCCAAACCAAAGATCATCTACAGTATTTTATTTGTTACTGAAAATATTGATCGAGAGAACAATGTACCTGATAAGTTCTGAGCAGGTGTGTGAGCTCTGCGGCGGTAAATGTGCAGTGACCTTCTCGTTCAGCCGCCTGTAACCTGTTCTCAGCACCTGTAATCCAGCCACACACATCAGCCAGCAGCCCTTCAGGAGACAGGCTCCCCACCACACTCTGAGAAAGAGAGAGAGAGAAAGCACAGAGACAGATGAGAGTGATAGACAGAGAAGAAAGAAAACCGTGGAGCCAGGTGAGGGGTGACACGTGTAATCAAAGAAGAAAAAGGGGATGAGAACAAGAAAGACAGGCTCATAACAGATGAAAAAAGGACAGAGACTATTCCTCACAGACTTCATCAGCTGCTGAGTGATACATGGAATCATGGTTGCTTGACCTTAATGAGAAAAGTTTATAGCTGATGTTCCAAACTCAACTCATGGATATTTATTTTTCAACCATTCAGGGAACAGCTTGTAGTGATGCAGTACATGCTATAATTTCAGACAAATTGAAGTACAGACTAAAATGTACCTGGTGCAGTCTCTGTTGGACGGCGGGTATGTGTGTCTGTATCTCCACCCAGTCTTGCTCCACCTGAGACAGCTGGGACTGTAGAGTCAGAAGAACAGGGGACAGAACCATCTCTTGTTTCACAGACAAATCAAGTGCAGATGACGTCGCTTCCTCAGCGATAACACCTTCATTCGTGATGTTTGCATATGATCTCTCTGTGGTTGAAAGAGTTTCTTCTGAGGTGTTTTGAATAGAGGAAAAGTTGGTTTCTGAAGGAAAGTCTTCAGGGTCGTTTGAGGTGAGATTGCCAGTTTCACTTGGCTCTAGATCTTCAGAGATTGTTGTGTTTCCGGAGGGAGTGGATGTTCTTGGAGCACTAGAGCTTCTGCTGATCTTCTGTGTTTTAATGATATGTTCTCTTTCACTGAGGAACAGGATCAATGATCCAGAACTGATCACCGATGCCTTTAGAGCAGATTTCACCTCCAGCTCCTTAATGAATTCCTGTGTCAAAAACATTGCAACCACTGTTGTTAACGGTAACTAAAACAAAACATATTAAAATTGTATTAATCGAATGAAATAAGTAAGTGAAATAAAATATGAACAAGAATTTATGAAATAACAACTGCAATAAAATAAGTTGAAGTACTAGCATAACTAAAACAATATATATATTTTTAGATTAATAAATTAAAACTAAATAGAATTTAGAAATAAAATTTTATTAATTAAAAAACACATTTTTGTTTAGGGATTTAAAGCGTAATGAACTTTTTGAAGTGACAAAATTGTAGTTGCGTGGACTGTCAATGGAGGGACAGAAACTGCTCAGATTTCATTCAAATATCTTCATTTGTGTTTAGAAGATGAACGGAAGTCTTACGGGTTTTGGAACAACATGAGGTTGAGTAATTGATGACAGTGAATTGAAAGAGTAAAATATATAGAGTATATATATATATATATATATATATATATATACACTTTAAATCCTCTATTAGATTAAAATCTAGTCTAGATCTATTAGAATCACTAGTTGACTGACTATAAAGTGATGAAATTGGGAGAGGGCGTCCGCTTCCTGTTCAGCCAAGTTCAAATGATCTCTCCATGCATGCAGGCGATCTCTGGCTCGTTCTTTCCACTCATTCAAAGCCTCCAAATCGGTATGGTACCTGGAAAAAAAAAGTACAGTGGTAATATAAAATAGGCCTACTTTGTATTTATCCTCTGTCCTTTTCCATCCCTCAGTCCTCTACACATCTCTCTCTCAACTAAACATTATGACTCAAAATATTGTGATTTTAAAAGTTCAAATACATGGCAAGAATGTTTTGTTAAAAGTCAAACTTAAATGTCCCTACAACATTCATCTTTACCTGTTCCAAAGGTTCTTAAGATGGTGGGTGGAGTCTTGTCCTTGCTCCACCCTCCTCTTTAGTGCAGCCAATCGCTGTTCCAGGCTTGCTGTAGACACACCCAATATGTGTACAGGAACAGTGACTTCACTACTAGAAATCTGCTCCAGCTGTCTACGGCCCTCATCCAGAACCAGACCGATACGTGCTCTGTTCTGCTCCAGAACCGCTAACACACTCTATCACGAACAACAAGAAGAATTCAGGGATCTTCAAATATGCCTGCATTCTGATTTACTGCAAAAGTATATGTGCGTCAATATACTAAATTTAAGTTTAAACCATTACCTGATACACATAAATATTCTCACTGAGCTGCCCTTCAGTTTGATCCCACAGAGGAGTTATGGGAAGCTGAGTCTCTAACCTCTGCAGCAGTGTTGCTAACCAGGAATAATTTTCATCCCAATGAGTGCAAATCTGAAATACATCAATACATGTGTTTTAACTAAAAAAAAAAAAAAAAAAGCTGCCATTGGTCAAATTGGATATTTACTCTAACAGTTCCTTTTTTCGTCCACTCATCAATCCCATTTGTATGGAAGCTTGTTTCTGTCGCAGAATAAAAAATAAAAAAGGTAATTGCGACTTTTTATCTCACAATTTTGACTTTTTTTCTCACAATTGTGTTTACATATCACAATTCTGACTTTATATCTCAGAATTGCGTGATATAAAGTCGCAGTTGCAAGTTATAAAGTCAGAATTGCGTAATATAAAGTCAGAAATGCGTGATATAAAGTCACAATTGCGAGAAATAAAATTGCATTTTCATCTCACAATTCTGACTTAATAATTCCATCTTATAAAGTCAGAGTAAGAAATAAACTCGCAATTCTGAGGATTTTTTTCCCTTAGAATTGGACTTTTTAAATCGCAATTGCAACTTTATATCTCACAATTCTGAGAATAGATGAGATCTAAACTCTGAGATAGAAACTCACAATTGCGTGTTATAAAGTCAGAATTTCGAGATATAAACTGCAATGTATTTCTCGCAATTGTGAGTTTATATAATTCTGACTTTATAAGCAACAAGCAATTGCGATTTTATATCTCGCATTTGTAATTTGTAAACTCGCAATTGTGAGACAAAGAATTTTAAAATGTTTTATTTCATTTGTTTGTTAATTTATTCATAAATCCCAGTTTTTTTTTTTTTTCTTGGTTGATGCAGATTTCCATACACAAAAACTATAAGTGTCTGATTTCTTGATTCCCTCGATCTGGTACCTGCAGTGCGGAGTGCAGTACAGTGCCAACAGCCTGAGCCTGTTGCAGGGCACTGGACACTTGACGTTCCACCTCAGACACCTCAGTCTCCCAGCCAGAGGAGGCGCCGTCTGGGATCCGCACACTCAGTTGCTGCAGTGTCCGCAGGTGGGCACCCAGAGATCGGAAAAACACCTGTAGATTTACAAAGTTACAGAGATGAATGAGGGATTGCAGGCCTTGCTCTGTCTGAAATCATAATAGTGCTAGTGCATGATTCATGTGTACTGTAATGCATGTTAGTCATGCATTTGTGCTGCTGATAAATTTGTTTTAAGCGCTGTACATGTGTGTATGTGTGTGATATGTTTACCGTGTGTTTGCTGAGGTGTGTCTGGAGTTGAGCTGGATTCTTAAACTCCAGCTGAGAGGTGCAGGCGAGTTTCTCTCTCCCAAGATTCAGGAGCATCTGCAGACCCTTCAGTATTTTTTCAATCATCTGCTGTTGATCGAGACTCCACTGAACAGTTCCACAGCGCTGCTCTAGATCACTCCAAACACTGTCCAAGACCTCCTAAAAAGAGTATATGTACTCTGTACTGTATATCATTATATATGTATATCATTTCTTATTGTAACCAATGTTGAAAACAGTTGTAGTGCTTAATAATTTTTGTGGAAACCATAACACTTTTTTATTTTTATTTGATGAATAGAAAGTACAAAAGAAGAGCTTTATTTGAAATTATTATTATTAAATTAGAGAGCTGGATCACTGCTACATAGGCTGCCGAAGGGATCGAAACTTGACGGCCCAGAAAGTCAATGAAGAAAATGTTTAAATATTCCATGTAACAACAGTGGCTCAACTATAAGTTTATCAAGCAACGAGGCCAGGCCGTCAAGTTTCGATCCCTTAGGCAGCCTATGTAACAGTGATCCACCTCTCAAATTTAATCAAAAATATCTTCATTTGTGTCCCGAAGATGAACGAAGGTCTAACGGGGTTAGTACAGCATGGGGGTGAGTAATTAATGACTTAATTTTCATTTTTGGGTGAACTAACCCTTTAATAGTCAATATGTATTCCCTAATCTAACATTTTATTCTAACATAATAAATTTCAAATTTGATCAATTAAATGTGTCCTTGCTGAATAAAAGTATTATTGGTAACATTTTACTCAAAGCCTTTATATATAATGCATTATAAAAGTGTACGGCAAAGTGTAAATGTGTAAGTGTTCATTTTATAATGCATTGTATGTAATCACAGTTATAATACATACTAATACTTATGTTATGCCTTTAGAAAGTATAATGCTTTAAAACACGACAAACAACCAATTTCAGATGTATCTGCAAATATTATAATGCATTTTAAATTTATGAAAATGTATTTATGAAAAGATTAAATGTAGTATAACATAATACATTATACATAAACGGCTTTAAGTCAATTGTTAACATTATTTTTCAACAAAAAAATGTACTAACCCCAACGTTTTGAACGGTATGTATATTTTGTTTGTATACTGTGTGAAAAATGTCTATAGGTGGCATACGCTAATGTTTCTGAAAGTATAAATATATTTATAATTCATAGAGAAAAATCAAATGTATCATTAAAAACTACACTTGCAGCATTTACTGTACATAACATTATATTTGTTACACAGTCATTAAATCTTAATTCTACTAAATTCTGATTTTATGAATTATGTCTCATGCTTACTAGGTACGGAATTGGAATTCAAACTCGTACCTCCAGTGTGCTAAGCTGCTGTGTGAGGGATGAAGGCTGATCTTGACTCTCTGACTCGTCTCGGAGTTCTGCAAGCTTTCTCTCGCTCTGCTCCACTTCCTGTTTGCGTCCAATGACAGCCTTCACATGCAAACACAGGTACAACAAAGGTCAAAGTCTCAGACTTCAAGCTCAATGAACAGTTAGAAGAACATCAATGTTCTAATACACCCCTGGAATGATGCTTGTCTAATCAAATCAGTGGATCAGAACTAATAAGAAAACTAAAGTGTGTCTGTTCCCAGTGCAATAAACCCTGACGGGCACAATGAGCCTTCAGGGGAAAAATAAAATGCTAGTAAATTGTAGAAACTTTTAAAATGCAAAGAAGTAAAGTGGTTCTGAAGTTAAATGTACAATGAAGACATCAGCAATTTGTCCTGAATATATGTTGAAAAATGAGACAGACATTTGAGAAGCGTTTATGGCTTGTCTCTTTCAGATATTCAGCACGCTGTTATTAGTAATGTTTAACAAATCTTCACATACTCATCCCCAAGTGTCACAGCCAGGCATTGTTATTCACAGGCGCTTGTGCTTACCTGCAGCTGTGTGTGAAGATCATGGTGAGTTTCTCCGTTAGTTGTAGGGAGAAGGATTGGCGTGTTAGTTAGTACTGAGTCATGCAGGTCTTTCACTCTCTTCTGCAGGGTTTTACACACAAGAAAACATTACATTTAAATACTGGACAAAAAAGGCATAAAATAAGAGTAGATTTAAAATATTTCCTTCTATCTTGTCTTAAATGCAGTGACAGAAGTATGGGATTACTGTAATCATACAACTCATTATGTTTGACATTGTGATAACAGAGGTTTGTGGTGTTTTTTCTTCTTCTTCTTGATTACCAACAAGTGAGTAGTTGTGACAGTTATGAGGGTGAGACATCTGAGGGTTTGGGGTGTAAAAACTTGCTAAAATGTAACTGCTGACACATAACACTGTAAACACATACAGTAAGCATCAATTTTCTGATCTACTTAGTGTAGTCTAACATAATCTGCAGGGGAATTTTTAAGTGGCTGAACATCCATCTCATTAGTTTGTTTTGGTAATAAATACATAGACGCAGACGGAAAGCTGACCTGCAGCTGAGTCGAGTGATTTATTCGCTCCTGTAGCTGCTCCTGTTTTTCGGCCAGAGTCTTTTGAATGTCACATACACGATGCGTCAGCAGGTCAAAACAGGTGGAGGATTCCTCTGAACTCGAACCTAACAACTTTATGACCTCTGACCCCTGGGAGGTCAATATGGCACCCAAGGAGCTCAGCTCTGCAGACAAACTCTATGAATCAGAGAAGAGTGAGGGATGAATGAATGGATGTATGAATAAACAGATAAATGGATAAACATAGATAGATAGATAGATAGATAGATAGATAGATAGATAGATAGATAGATAGATAGATAGATAGATAGATAGATAGATAGATAGATAGATAGATAGATAGATAGATAGATAGATAGATAGATAGATAGATAGATAGATAGATAGATAGATAGATAGACAAATGATGGATAGATGGATGGATAGATGGATAGATAGATAGATAGATAGATAGATAGATAGATAGATAGATAGATAGATAGATAGATAGATAGATAGATAGATAGATAGATAGATAGATAGACAGACAGACAGACAGACATACAGATAGACAGACAGACAGACAGACAGACAGACAGACAGACAGACAGACAGACAGACAGACAGACAGATAGATAGATAGATAGATAGATAGATAGATAGATAGACAGACAGACAGACAGACAGACAGACAGATAGATAGATAGACAGACAGACATACAGATAGACAGACAGACAGACAGACAGACAGACAGACAGACAGATAGATAGATAGATAGATAGATAGATAGATAGATAGATAGATAGACAGACAGACAGACAGACAGACAGACAGACGGATGGATACCTGTAGCTGCTGCAGCTGGTTTAGTCTGTCAGTGTGTGAGGTTGCTGGCTGAAACTCGAGAGTGTGTGTGAGAGAGCTGAGAGTGAGATTAACTCCACTCAACACTTCAAACAGACCTTCATCCAGAGACTGATGGTCCTGCACACAAACACACAGAGAGATCAATTCAATATGATTCTGTTATCTCTGGGCTGGATTGGTGTGTGTTTATACGTATATAATGCATATGTGTTTGTTATTGACACCTGCGTAGCTGCTGCGTTTTGCAGTTCTTTAAGTTGTGAAATGTTGGATTGAATCTCCTGCAGACAGAGAGAAACAGCAGCTCCACTCCACAAACACACCGATGGAGCAAGGATCTGTTCACACACACGCACACACATGAATTTGATAACATAAATTTGAAGGTTCTCTGATAAAAAATAACACTCTGATTCAATAACAATTAATATAAAACAGAAACCACAGATTGCAAACAGCCAACCCCCAAAATACAGTAGAATCAGAATAATTTAAAACTGAAATATTCATATTTATAGTAAAGTCAGGTGTGTTCAGACCTCAGAAGAATCCTGATCTTTATCTCCATCTTGTTCAGTCTCTGCTGTTTTGGTCAGTCTGCTGCAGAGATGTGTCCACTTCCTGTGGACTGCTAACTCTACTTCCTGTCTCTTGTCTTCATTCTCTTTTGCTGCCAAAGGCCTGCAGACAAACAGAGAGCATCATATTACAAAGAGTTGGCATATATTTGTGCAAATAAGTACAGTATGTGTATTTAGATACCCTGTAAATGCGTCTGTGCTCTGGTTTTGTGTTCGGGCTTTGCTGCACTGAACTGCAATAGCTTTAGTTAGATCCCTCTGTTCATTCAAACCATGCTCCAATTGCTGAAAAAGAGAGGGAAAAAACACAGTGAGAGATAATTATGGAAGATGGACTGACATAACATGTGGTAGTCTTACAAGCATTGATAGGTATACAATAATGTGTATGAATTTATAGCTTTAATGAAGTTATATTGCAGCTTTTATCGCAAATTAAATACCTATATATATATATATATATATATATATATATATATATATATACATACATATATATACATTAACCGGTAATATATTGCTGAAAATAAAATCCTGGTGGTATTTATAGGTTCTTATTTTATTGGATATTATATAATCTTTTTAATTATATATATTTTTTAATTATATATATATATATATATTTTGATTATATATTCTTATTAATATTGGAAGGGCAAGAAAAAATCTGATCCCATTGGGCTTGTAAAAAAATCATTATACTTGGGCCTTGTAGCGATAGTTTAAAAAAAGAGTATGTTAGAAATACTAATATGTTAAAGTGTGTGCATGAATGTGCGTGTTACCCTTTGTTGTTGAAGGCTGCTTTGTCTGAACAGTTTTGTTCTAGAGGAACTCAACATCTCTTGCACACTACTGCTGCGAGTCCTCCTGGCCTGTAGGGGGCTCTGACTCTCAACACGCACCTACAGAGAGAGAGAGAGAGAGAGAGAGATAACCATAGATATCTATATAAAGGCTAGATATCTCGTTCGCACTGCTAGCCAATGGAGGTCGACGTCAGCACCAGGCGGCCATCTTGTCACAGGCAGCTCGCTCACTGGTAACATTGTTTTAAAGGTGCATGTACTTTTTAAATCACCGTAACTTGCTCAATTTTCTACCGATTTTCAAACGGTCTGGTTTGTTATAAACGGCAGAGATGTAGTTATGATACTGCATACTTATGAATAATAAGTGTATAAATAAATAATCATCCAGAATTATAGCCACGTTAATAATGTTTGTAAGAAACCAAACCGTTTGTAAATCCGTCAATATTTCAACGAGATAAGTGTAATACTTCCATCAGATACCACAGAGCCCGCCAGAAATCTGAATCATCATGACAGAAATCGTCATCACTGTCTGTGACAAGATGGCCGCCGGTGATGACGATAAATACTCTGCCGTGAGCAGTGGTGGAATGTAACGAAGTACAAATACTTCGTTACTTTACTTAAGTACATTTTTCACTTATCTTTACTTTACTTAAGTAGAATAAATAGTGCATACTTTTTACTTTTACTTCGTTACATTTTGCAGCAATATACTTTCTACTCCACTACATTTCTACAACTTCTGTTACATTTTCATTACATTTCCTGATCAGTTTTTTCCCCTGCCAAAACGTAAACGTTGCACGTTTGTCTCGCCAGTGACGTTTGGTTGCCATAGATACATCAACTAAATGCGTCTTGCACGCAGTGTGTTTATCGTGCAATTTATACGCAAAATTTGTTTTTACATGCTTAGGAAACACACCGTGTGTAATATACGTTTGGTTAGGATTATGGCAAGCCAAGAGGTTCAGAATTACACCATAAATTAATCGCGTTTACGGCCAAACATAGTTATTAACATATAGTAAGGATATGGCTTATTGCCTAATTGCAAGCTTGTTTCAGAAATGGTGACAACAACTTTTTTCCATCATTATTGAACATCATTATAGGAGTATTAGGTTCAATGAGTTAGAATTAAATGTTTTATTAATCATTAGAAAATAGTCATTAAGAGAATCAATTATTATGCAAGTACTTTTACTTTTAATACTTAAAGTACATTTAAAATCAGGTACTTTTTACTTAAGTATGGTTGTCATTGTGTTACTTCTACTTTTACTAAAGTAAATATTTATCTGGTTATTTGTACTTTTACTTAAGTACTGAGATTCAGTACTTCCTCCACCACTGGCCGTGAGACATCTAGCCTTTATATAGATATCTATGGAGATAACACCTCAGACAGCCCTATTTGGAATATCTCAATCAAGGCACTTTGCAGCGTCTCGCTAGCAACTATACCGGATTTAATACCTCAGAATCTGCAAATGTGAAAATCGATCACTTTCACTAATGATCACTTTCTGTCATCACATCAATCTGTTCATTAAGTTCCTCAAAACACCTGGATTACACTGTCCCCAACCTTAAAAAAACAGACAATAAAATTTCAGGGTGTGTTAGTGTACGTGTGTGTACCTGATCTTCGCTCTGTCTGTCTTGAAGCTGTAACTGCACCGTCACCAGTCTGTTCTTCAGCAGCTGGAGTTTGCTGTTGAGCCATTCAGCCTCGAGTTGCTCCTGTTCTTTCAGTCCACATGCAGGAAGAATGGAGATCCTCTGCTCAATCTCCACCAGAATTGTCTACATAGACAATTACAAATCAACACACACTCATACTAAATTCTAAATCACTCCAATACAACTCATAGTGACAACAAGAAGTTACAATAAGAAACACCCATTGAGGTTGAGGTTCAGGATAGAGAAAATTCGATCAATCAGTAATAAACATTAAAGGTCAGAGTCCATCTCAGAAAATGAGCTAGCATGGCTGTGAGGCTGGTGACAGGTGTTTAATGCCCTGTTTTACACAATACTGAGTCTTAGAAAAACAATTTTGAACAAAAGTCTCATTAATAATCCAATAGACGAACTTTAGTTTGGGATTGGTCAGTTTGTTCTCCAGTACATCCTGCAGCAAACACTGAGTGCAATTGAGTGAACAATTTCTGATTTCCAGCACAATTTGATGATGATTCCTTATCATAACTTAAAGAGACAGTTCATCAATTCTGTCATAATTTACTCATCCTCATTTTGGTACAAACCTTTATTCTCTGGAACATAAAATAAGTCAATGGTCACCAAAATATATATATATATTTTTTGTGTAAGAAACTTAATGGTTTCAAACCAGGTGAGCAAATGATGACAGAATTTCAATTTTTGGGTGAATTATCCCTTTAACACTGTCTTCACCAGAACCAAATGTATACAAATGACCCAAAGGCTGGTTGATTTGGTTTTTTTTTTTTTTTTTTTGGTGTGTTTGAGTGGTAGTTAAAACATCTTTCCAGGTCAGTTTGCTAGAGCTCAGCTGAAGCTCTGAATCTTTGATGAAGGAGTCAGGTTACACACACTCTCACATGCACTCATTCATTCACACGCACGCGCTCACACACACACAAAGGCGTGAAGGGTACTGTATATCTGGCTAAACCACTTTAAAGTGACGTCACTTTCTAAATATACAGAATAAATGATGCACATCATATCCTGTTGCCCATTTTCATTGTGGTATACAAAGTAAATTTGCATGGTCAAAGTCTAGCATGACCACACCTAGTTTTAAAGCAAACCTCATCTCTAATATCAGCTCTAACTGCATTAAAGAGATGCAAAGTTCAACAAATCAGAAGAGCACAAACATCCATATTCCTTTTGGGCTCTAAGACACCGAAAAAGATCAGACAGGCAATTTCATTTGAACAGGAAATATATGAGAAATATACTTCTAAGATAACTTTACTGATAAGACAGATTTATCGCCAGCTATCTCTATTTAATCTGAGTGAAAGTAAACACTCAATAACTGAAGTATCCGCATAGAGAGATTCCTTAAGAAAAGAGAAGTCAAAATTCATGACGCATTGACACACTGATGCTTCTGAAGTAAAAAGCACAGACATGCTCATGCATGCCATGTGTATAACATGTACATGTGTGTTTAAAAGAGAATAAAATAGGTCGAGAGATAGAGAAAGGAAAGAAATAAGCAGGCATTGATATGTTTTCACTCCACCCCAAAGGTACATAACAGGCTCCTATTTTTTTTGGTTCATTGAGCCACTGTCAATGTACTGACTTGCTGTACATTTAGATTTCCAAAGAAACAAACACAGATATCAGAAGATAACTTCAGTGATTCAGCACTGAAAATAAACTATCCATTAGCAAATAAGATAATAAAATATGTATATTTTTATTTTGTTACCATAGTAACTGAAGTCATCTAATCTAATCCAATCCAATCTATTCCTGATTGTAATTCAGCCGGTCAGTATTTCTGTGCACAGCAACTATTATTCAAAACAAACATTCAACTTTCAGTCTAACCAAATTTAAACGAAAAAATACGTTTTTTGACATTTGAAAATCTACGGTTTTAATGTTTATCACTGGGTCATCGGATAACACTTTGATCTCGGAGTAGTAAAAGAGTTTACAGCTGTAAAACACTGCAGTAAAAGACAAGAAAATGAAAAAGAAAGTCATAAAGAAAAGGAGAGAGGCTTGATTATATAGAAGAGAACTGAATTCTACAGCAAATTATAATGAAATCTTTTAAAGTTAAAACAAAATGAACAGAAACTTTAGAAGATACTTTGATACAGAATCATATCTCTCTATAAATGTACAGTAATGCTCATAGCAAACAACTTTACATGCAAATATATCAACATGTATAATGTGACAAATCTCACTTCCTCTTCTGCCGAGTCAGCATTTCACAACAACAGAAGGAAGAGGATATATACATATGTGTGTGTGTGTGTGTGTGTGTGGACACTGCCCGTCCAAAAAAAAAGTCGTTTTTTGTATTTAAGTAGGCAAATGCTTTAGAGTCTATGATTGGATCATTATTGCTGCTATTATTATGTTTCTAGCATGTTATATGTTTGCCAACAATTCTTATAACCCTAATTGATGGAGTGTGTAGCTTTTCATTTCAATAAACAACCATGTTGGAAAACACATCATGGCCATATTCCAGGATGACAAAGCCAAGATTCATCAGACTCAAAGTGTGAAAGAATAGTTGGGAGGGAGCATGGAGAATCATTTTCACACAAGAATCGGCATCTTAACTGAAAGTCTTTGGGATGTGCTTGAAGAGACTTTACAGAGTGCTTGACTCTTGCTTTGTCAATACAAGATCTTGAACAAAAATGTACGCAACATGTATTTCCATCAAGAGGTGCATCGATTTTTGTTGCCAATTCATGTGTGAAAATGTTTGTTGACATTGTCATCCTGGAATATTGCCATGATGAGTCTTCCCACATTGTTTAAAGCAGCTCTATGCAGTTTTTTTTTTTTTACCTTAACTGAATAGCTTCAGAGTTATTGCAATGGTTATATGACTATTTTTGGGTTGAAATGAGCTAGCAGGTCTCGCGATGTAACGAATTGCTTTACATCAAGAAAGATCTGCTAAAATGAGCATCAAACAGAAATAACCCGTCACCGTATACATGTGGTGTTTGAGGCGCATACAGTACAGACTGCCGACAGTTTAACAGGGCGCAGCTCTTAAAGGGGCCACGCCTTATTTCCAGTCGTTACAGCTTCCATCCCACTGAACAGGTACTGGTATACAGGGGAAGGGGATCAGGCCGTGAGTGCAGAGACATCTCTGCGTGAGTGCAATTTACGACAGTGCAAGTACTCCACAGCGACTCTAGGGGTCACAGTTTGACAAAAACGGGAATCTTGCAAAGTGCTGCTTTAAGAAATGAAAAGCTACACACTCCATCAATTAGGATTTAAAGGGATACTCCACTTTTTTTTGGAAATAGGCTCATTTTACCACTCCCCCAGAGTTAAAGTCCCCGTGAAATCAAAATTGAACCTATTTACTTTGTTAGCGCATATTACTAGTCTTGTGGTGAACTTGTTTTACCTTGGTAATCTTTAATCAAAATCTGAAAAGTAACTTCCGGTCTGGAACGGTTTCTTTTCCTGATGACGTAGGTTTCACAGTTTGGGTGGGGAAACGCTTAACCACTCCCCTCAAACCGTTAGTTTGCTATGAGCGAGAGATGGAGAGGAGGAGCGCTAGAGTAAAACCCTGCCCTCTGTTCAATATTCCGTTTCACTTGGAAATACGTCACAGCACTGGAGAAAAATCGTTTGCAACTTCCGGTTCACGGGGACTTTAAACAGTTGAGTTTTACCGTTTTTGAATCCATTCAGCCGATTATCTGATATTTAGAAGAATGTCAGTAACCAGACAGTTTCTGGTCTCATTGATTTCCATATATACTATTGGAGTCAATGAGACCAGAAACTGTCTGGTTACTGATATTCTTCTAAATATCAAAAAATCGGCTGAATACATTCGAAAACGGTAAAACTCGACTGTTTAACTCTGGGGGAGTGGTAAAATGAGCCTTTTTCCAAAAAAAGTGGAGTATCCCTTTACTGTTGCCAAATATACAGCATGCTAGAAACATAATAATCACACTGCAAAAATGACCCAATAGAATCTTAAGCATTTGCCTATTTAAATACAAACAGCGTAATTTTTTGGGGGGTTGGGCAGTGTACAAATCCAAAAAATCCAAAAATACTACAAAGTGCAAATAACAGAATTACTAAATAAATGAATTATATATAAAATATATTTGACTATTTATTTGCATATATTAGTCATGTGCAGAGATAAATCAGATATGAAAGGCATGTGTGTGACATTACCTGGCAGGTGTGAAGTTGTTGCTCAATGCTGTGCTGCATGTCTGCGTCCCGAGCTTGCCATCTCGACCCCTCCAGGCTGACCTGTGCTCTCTCCAAACACTCCTCCAGCTGTTCCGTCCTCTCACGACAGGCATGGAGCAGCCCGTCACCGGACAGACATCCAGCAGAGTCCGCCTGGACAATCATACAACAGCAGCAGCTCAGAGACCAAAGAGTAAAGGTAAAGACAGGTGTACTGAGAGAGAGAGAGAGAGAGAGAGAGAGAGCACACCTGCTCTGGCTGACTGCAGGAGAAACACTAAGTTCACAGTACACAAACTGTCACACACCGGGTGTCTCCACTGACTCAAACTTTCACACTCTCACACACTCTGCTTTCTTTCTCTCTCAGTTTCTGTCTCACACTGGTTTAACCCTTTTGTTTGTGTTTCTCTGCCCCCGGTGCAGCCTTTCTCTTAGTAAACTGTCTCAGCTTTCATTTGTCAGGTGGCTTCTCTCTCTCGGTCTGTCTGTCCCTTGTTTACTCCACCCACCTGCGGCTACAACTACTTCCTGGAATGTCGTCACTTTCGAGGGCAGCTTGTGTGACAGAACACACTCACACACAGGAGGAACTATACTTTTGCCTTGTACTGACTCAGTTGACCTAGATTATTTTTCATCCTTTATACTCTTCCATTACACTAGTATTTCTTTCATTTCTTTCTAACTTTGGAGAAAAAAACTGCGTTTGTCTCTCTCAGGGGTCACAGAATATCTTGTTTAAAATATTGATATCACTGCAATTCATTGAATATACTGTTTTCTTTCAAATCAGAAATATAGCATATTCAGGAGTAGGGGGCAATGTAAATGTAATGCAATGTAAATGTAATGTAATGTAATGCAATGTAAATGTAATGTAAAATTCAAGAATCAACCACAGAAAAACTTATATTGGTAGACTGCTTTTCTGAATATTGGGGGGAACGTGTCCCCCTCAATGTCTTTCGTGGTTATGGGTCATATACTACATTAAAAAAAACGTATTTTCATAACAAAACAAAAATGTTTCCCAGTCCACAAAAATGTTGCAATGCTTATTTTGTAATTATACAATTTTTTGTGGACAGACTAAACTCTTAGCCTACTTAACAACGGCTATTCTGTGTTTAGAAATTGTGAGCTATTGAGAAAGAAGATTTCCTGCAGTAAAAAATCTAATAATGACATTTTTTTTTAACTTTAGCTCATTTCATATGCAAAGAGGCAGTGTTGTAGTACTCGAGACTCGGACTCGTCTCGGACTCGGTCTCGAGACCATATTTTAATGGTCTTGGTCTTGTCATGGACTCGTGTGCATTCGGACTCGGAATTGACTCGTATTCGAACATTTTTTTTTTAGCACTCAGACTTATTCCCGAGTCCACTCGAGTTCAATTCAAAATATTTTTCATGATTATTAATGTATGTTAATAAAATATTTCTTTAAATTGATTGACACACCCAGTGATTGGTGATTTTCTAGTGCGCAACTGCGCATGACAAATTGTAATAAAATTACTTTTAACACCACCTACTATGTGGCTTTTTTACCCTAAACTGATCATATTTTTTAAACTCTAAGTAAATTCAGTAAAAAAAAAAAGGATTTCTCTAAGTAAATAAAAGTAAATTAGGTAATCAACCCTCACTGGTCTCGGTCTCGACTCGGACTCGACCATCTCTGGTCTTGGACTCGACTCGGACTCGACTCTCTATGGACTCGGTCTTGACTCGGACTCGACTCTCTCTGGTTTCGGTATCGACTCGGACTCGACCATCTCTGGTCTTGGACTCGACTCGGACTCGACTCTCTATGGACTCGGTCTTGACTCGGACTCGACTCTCTCTGGTTTCGGTATCGACTCGGACTCGACTCTCTATGGACTCGGTCTTGACTCGGACTCGACTCTCTCTGGTTTCGGTATCGACTCGGACTCGACTCTCTATGGACTCGGTCTCGACTCGGACTCGACTCTCTCTGGTTTCGGTATCGACTCGGACTCGACCATCTCTGGTCTTGGACTCGACTCGGACTCGACTCTCTATGGACTGGGTCTTGACTCGGACTCGACTGTCTCTGGTTTCGGTATCGACTAGGACTCGACTCTCTAGGGACTCGGTCTTGACTCGGACTCGACTCTCTCTGGTCTCGGTATCGACTCGGACTCGAGTGAGGTGGTCTCGACTACAAAACTGCAAAGAGGGCATTTACATAGATGTCTAGAAGGCAAAAAAAATGTCTTTTCAGTTCTAAGGGGAAGAGAGAGAAGGGAAAATGATCATAAAGAAACTAAATTATGACTTTTTGATAAAAATAAAAAAAACACAAGTGGATCTTAACTGAAAAAATATGAAATATTTTTTATGCGTATGGGTGGATTCCTTACTTTCTGCAGTTAATGTTTTACACAGAGAAATAGTAGTAATACAAAATATTAATAAATAATGCGTTGAGGTGTTAATTATTAATAATCAACAATTAATGGAAAAATATTATTTTTTGAAGGAATCACCTAGTTGCAAAGGTAAATTCCTGTCACTGAATCCAATCCTTGACATTTGAGACTGCAAGAATAGCATTGAATTAGCTATTTTAGTTAAATAATAAATGAAAATAGTTATTTAAATAAGTTAAATAAATGAGCATTTTCTCCTTTGTGTGAGCAAAGAGAAATATGCAGATAAAATGCAGCACACACCATTTGAAGTCAAGCGGTGAGTGAGTTGATGAACACAAGGTCTGTGTCAAGTGTGAGTCAGTGGGGGGAGATTCGCCATCAGCATCTGTGCTTACCAAAGATGTGCTTGCAGCCAACGGCTCTGTCTTCTCCAGGTGGGGTTTGACTGCGATCGGTGTGTGTGTGTCGTGTTTGCTTCTGCTGTCTGACCTATGGTCTCCATCTGATGGAGTGTGTGTTTTGGCTGATGGTGTATTTGTAAGAACATATGGGATCTCATCTAAATGGCTCTGTTGACTGGATGTGGAATGCATTTCTGAGAATCCTACAAGTTTTTCTAAGGCCCCGCCCACCTCTTCACTAGAGGTCATGACATTAGGTGAGGTCAACGTGTCTTCTGTTTCTGTGGGAGGGGCTTGTGACTCTGGATGTTTGTGTGTGTTTTCTGGGAGGGTCATGAGTGTGTGTGTGTCACTGGTGTGTGGCGTCTGTTCCCCCCTCCATGCACCCTGCTCCTGACACAGACAGAGAAAGAGAGAGACGAGCGAGAGTGAATTTTTTGTTGGAATTTATTCTTTTTTTCAGACTTTAAAGAAGCATGACAGTGATCACACAGGAAGACGTATTAGAGGGAGAAATCCCGAGAATAAGCACAGGTGTGTATAAGAGTCAGTGCTTTTACATGGCACAAAAAGATAAATACTAAACATAAATAACATATACCATATCCTGCTCCTTGAGCAGGAAAAAAAAAACATAATTTTAGAGAACGTGTCATGTAAACAACAATCACTCAAGAAAGACAATATATTATTCTTAATACACATGCACTTAGACAGCTGTGCAGAGTGAGGAGTCATTGGCTAGCTATTTTTAAATGTTCACATACACTTGTTTCACTCAATCATACACTTGTTTCAAACAATCTTTTCACAGTAGCCATCTTATCTTACATTTGGAAGGAAAAAAAAAAAAAAAAAACCCCACACTGCTATACAAAACAAAAACAAAACACCAACAACATGCCATATAAAAGATTTTAGGATCTTTTTGACTTCATAGCATTGTATTTAGTAGTTAAAAATTAAGGACAAGATACAGTAACATGCAATTAATAAAATACACATTCACTAAAATGTGGAAAAAAGGTAATGAAAAATTTTTTTTTTGACTGGTACTGTAAAATGATATTTGTAAATAAAATAATTTTAGAAACTGATAGAAACTGGCTGGAGTAACTGTGCAGCATATCAAAAATAGCGGTTATGAAGCGTTAAAGGAGTTGTTCACTTTAAAAAAAAAAACTTTTGCTGGTAATTTACTCACCCCCATGTCCGTGTCATTCTTTCTTCAGTCGAAAAGAAACTAAGGTTTTTGATGAAAACAGGATTTTTCTCCATATAATGCACTTTACTGGTAACCAAACAGTTCAAGGTTCAAAAGACAGTTTCAGTGCAAACTGTTCAAAGGGCTTTAAACGATTCCAGACGATGAATAAGGGTCTTATCAAGCGAAACGATTGCTCATTTAAAAAAAAAAGTTTAAGTTTTATAAGCTCAAATGGTTGCCTTGCTCTGTGATGCGCATTTGTGACTCTCCTGTTGGAACTCGTTTATCAAAATGAACAAATCTTTTTTTCGTGTCATTTGGTTCATTCAACGAACGAAATGAATGAATTGACTTGGAAAAAGATTCGTTCACTTTGATGAACGAGTTCGAACAGGAGACCCTTATCCATCATCTAGAATCGTTTAAAGCCCTTTGAACAGTTTGCAGTTTGCACTGAAACTGTCTTTTGGACCTTGAACCGTTTGGTTCCCATTGAAGTCCATTATATGGAGAAAAATCCTGGAATGTTTTTATCAAAAGCTTTAATTTCTTTTTGACTGAAGACAGAAAGACATGGACATCTTGGATGACATGGGGGTGAGTAAATTATCAGCAAAATTTTTTAAAGTGAACTACTCCTTTAAGGTGCTGTTATATTTACCACAAAATTTTGTGGGCGAAATTTCAATAGGAATCGGCGCAATGAAGAATAACCTCTGATGATGAAAATTTCCCAACACAAATTTTACATCAGGCTCAGATTTGGTGAACTTTGACAACCAATAGCAAGCCTCCTAGTTTGGCAGTGACATCTGTGTGGGCAGGCTTTTGTAACATCTGTAGCAAAAAAAAAAAAAAAAAAAAAAATCGCCAATGGACCACAGAAATATCTGCTCATTTCTCTGCCCTCATTCTTGCAGTGCCCACTCAAACATAACACTACACTTCAATAAAATAGACTAAATAATTGCTTTCCAAAGAGACAGGAAAGCAGTCAAATACATAGTATTTTGTGGTATTTAATTTGCCAGCAAAATTTAGTTGAGTAACGGTAAATGGGACAGCACCTTTATAGTGTAGTTGATTATAATGAGATCTGGTTTTATTGGGCCACACCGCACGCGTCCAGTGCAGACACAGCGTGACATGTAAACATTGATATTATAGAAAAAGACAAAAGTTCAAAACGCTCTTTGGTATTAGAATGTCCTGACAAAATTAGACGACATCATAAAAGTTTGGGACAAAATCCACAGGAAGTTGCTTTAAGTCCTTTTATACATTGTTTTGTTTGATTTCTATAAAACCATTTAGCTTAATTATTCTCAGTTCTGGACTATTTGAAGATATTCTTTCCTCGGAAGTCCTTATTTTTACACATCTGCCATGTAAATGCACTGAAAGAGAGTTCTAGCACTAGAAACATCTACATCTAGGGGTTCTAGAGGTGCAGTTAGAAGAGACATGGAGGTTCTACAACTAGGAGACCAAACACCTCTGCAGGCCTCTGGAAGGGGATGTGGAGATCTCTGTAACAGAGGAGGTATTGGTTACCATGTCCGCAGGGAGAGACTGGCTTTCCTCTGTGGCGTCCGCTTCAGATAAAGACACACCTGTTCCCGAGGCCACAGATGGATCTACTTCTACCTGCAAATGCAGGAAAACAAGAGGTTACATATTTTTAAATCTGGCTACGGTCTGAACTTTCCAAAAGACTACAAAATAGTTTTGGAGAGTGACCCCTTTTCTTAACTTTTAAAGAACAAAAATTTGACGCATACACAACTCAGTGGTATTGATTTGACGGGTACACGCGTTGAGATCAAATTAAGAGAGGGTCTAGCGTTACCTTAGAGTCTGTTGCTTCTGCTTGCTCCAAAACCTGTTCTGTAGAAGAAACATCGTCCTGTACAAAACAAAGCACATTCTTTAATGTCAACCACACAAATAGGAACCCAAATCAGTATTAAAGTTCAGTACAGCAGCATAATATGCTGTGCCTATCATACACAATTCATGGTTTATCAAAGATCAATTAATTGTTACTTTTTTCTAATACAGATTAGCTTAATCTCCACATAAATCTTTTTATAGAAATATAAATAAGATTTTAATAATGTTCAAAATGATTCATAATGTGTTACATGTGCAAATGAAGGGAGCATCTGATTCGGAAAGATTAATAAATACACACTCGGTGAAAGAATGATGAAGTCCTACTGCCCCCTAGAGGACGAGGGATAACATGCACATCTTCATTCAGTCAGGTAGTGCAGCAGAAGAATAAAATCAAAATAATTTTTAGATTGAACTTCAAACTAAATTGAAAGGAAGAACAAAACTGAAATGTGATAAAGGAGAATCTGGAAGTGGAAGAAACAAGGACTTGGTGAAGATGACAAGGCAAGGGTGATGATAAATGTACTTTTAGAAGATGAAACTTTTAGAAGATGAAATTTTGATGGAATGGGAAAACGTGATAGTATAAAGCACAGGAAACATTAGGAGTTGTCGAGGGATGAAGTCTCTGATTCCTCTGTGTTACCTCCGTGGTCAGGCAGAAGTAAGCCTCAGAATTCAGAGAGGCGGGCGACCTTCGTCTTGCCTCGTCGTCCTCATTTTCTATGTGAACTTCACATTCTTCTTTGCTTTCATCAGAAGCGTCATCTTCACCCTCTTCTACGTCTTCAAAGAGCTCCTCCTCTTCATCAGACTCCTGTCCCATCGCATCACACACACACACACACACACACACACATGCACAGCAGCAGCCACAAAAGACACATTAACTAGGGTGATGGAGATGATTTGGCAGATAGACAGACAGTTATTAAAACAAGTCATGTGCTGCACTTGATGTTATTAACCTTAACAAATGTGAAGATAAGAACATTAACCCAGTGTTTACAGCTTCACGTTGTAAAAAATATAATTAACTGCTAACCCAGAACAAAGTAGAACAGTGAAATATGGAAAAAAACTTATCAAGAAATTATGCTAACTTGGGGTTGAAAATAATTTTGGGTTAATAACGTCAAGTATGAGAAGCCATTAGAACTCAAGTTCTTGCATTTGACAACATTAAAAGCTCTGCATTTTAGTACTTGTTTGAGAATATGAACCATTATGGACAGATGCTGTCCTCATTAAAAGCATACTCAAGGTCTGAGTTTTACTTTTTATCTGAAATATTGCCAGGTAGATTTGGAAATGAACATTAAATTAAAAAAGATATTTTGAGTGTTACACCATGTCTACATCAGTTGATGTATTTTATTTCCGTTCTGGACAAGGACAGTATACCGTACATATATTTTCAATGGAGAGACAGAAAGCTCTTGGACTTGGACTAAATCTAAAATATCTTAAACTGTGTTCCGACGATGAATGAGGGTGAGTCATAAATGACATCATTTTAATTTTTAAGGGTGAAGTAACCCTTTTTGGGAAGACTTTTTGAGGATAAAAAAAAGGAGTGAATGTATTTTTTTGTATTGTATGGTGGTTGTGTCCACACACTGCAAAGACACATTTATATGCAAACACCAATTGTGAATTTTGCATCAAATGACCCCTTTAAGACATGACTAATTTTTTTTCAAGGAAAAAATGTCATTTGGTGATCAAAAATTAGTTTTAAGGAACATAATTATTGGCTACAGGGGGACTTTAATATAAGTAATATATGCTAATTTCTGGTTGACGATTTTGTGTCCATTATATTTTTGTAAACGGTTTTATAAAAGCAATAATAATCTCTGCATGTTCTGGTAAACAAAGCATTTTATCCATGACAGTATTTAGTAATAATACTTTATGGTTACAATTTATTTCGATAGTCACTTTAGACGTTCTACTAACTATAAGTAACTTTTAAACTACATGTCAAAGTTGACTTGTAGTTGCTAAGCTACTTATAGTAAGTAGAATATCTGTTGGGGGACCAACAAAATAAAGCGTTAGCAGATATTAAGCTGACAGTCTACTAATACTCTAATGATAGTTAGTTGACATGTAGCGGCAAAGTTACTTATAGTTAGTTGAATGTCTAAAGTGGACTATCAAAATAAAGTGTTACCTACTTTATTGATTAATTATGACACCTGCATATCTTTCGGACTTAAAATTGCACACTTTCAACTATATAACACTAAAAACAGTATGAGAAATGAGTAGTATGTCCGAATTCAGTTTATTCATAAAACAGTAGGCGAAAAGTATCCAGATGACCTACAACTTCCTGAGCGATTTCAAAAAGGTGTGTTCATTCAATGTGTTCCCTCATACCTGTGTTTCTGTGGGGATATGGATGCTCTTCTCAGAGATCCAGGTGAGTCTCTGCTCCGGTGTGGATTGCTCCACGGTCATCAGCGTTGCTCCTGATTTTCTCAACACATCCTCCTCAACATGCACAATCTGAATCTGACCACTCTCCTGCACACCCACACATATCGCATATATATTATAATATATAATCTTTGCATTTGGAGCATTAGATTTGAACATAATATTTTGTCTAACCTGTGTCTCTTCCTCAGTGATAGTGGGCGGAACACTTGGGGCCGGGCCAGGAATATCCTGAACCTCAACTGAGTATTCTAGGGCCAGCTGAGAGGAGATGAACACAACACTGAGCACTGAATGAACTGTGTTTGCGCCTGTGTGTGTGTGTTTGTGTATATGTGCTCTACCTGCTCTAGTTCCAGCAGCTGTTTCTGTAGTAGTTCTGCTCTTTTGAACACTAGGAGTGTGTTTTCAGCTTTGTCAGGAAGACACAGACCATCCTTACAGTTCTGGATCTCAGCTACTGTCCTTTTCATTAGGTCAATCCTGTCTTCTGTTGCCTGCAAATACACACAAAAACACCCACAGGAATCAGGTGTTTGAAAGAAACTACATAATAACATCACCCCACTGACCGTGTGTAATGGTCTGGGTGTATGTTACTGTAAGACCCATGTTTGGGGTTTTTCCGAGTCTTGCATACGTGGTAAGAATGACGGAGGCAAATATATGCCGCACAATTCTGTCCTGCTTTGTGCTTTTAATAAACAAAACGGTGTCTTTTACAGCACACTATAGGTTACAACTGGTCAAATGTTTAAGTATACAATTATTTTACCTTAAGATTTTCTTGGCTGATATCTTCTTTGGTAGTCAGAGTAGATTTAATTTTGGCTATATCTTTCTCCATGACCTTCACCTCTGTCTCAATGGCATCCACTTCCTTAAAAAAACACACCAGACAAAAACAAATGTTTCACGAGAATCACCTTTCCAAAGCTGTGCATTTTTTACACAATAAGCTTTATTTTGGGGACAAAATTATCCTTAAAAGTGACATCCTCATTTGGAAAATTATGTATACATTAAGTAATTAAATTGAAAATGTACAAATTATATATAAAAGTATGTCTGCTCACTGCTGCTGCATGCTCCAGCTGAGAGAGGGGTCCCAGAAGGCTGTGCTGCATGTCTGCCACACGTCGATCAGCATTTGAGAGCTGCTCCTCTAATGGACTGACATCAAACACACTTCCCATCTCTGTCAGCACACTGCTGAAACCCTGTAGAGCCCGTCTCATCTGAGCAGAATCATCCAGAACCATCTGAAACACACACACACACACACACACACACACACACATTATTATTAGACATAAAAATGATACAATATAAACTAAAAACTAAAAGCCTAAAGGTGCAGGGACAACAACCTCTGCATCAATATGAAAAAAAGTAAGGAAATGATTGTGGACTTCAGAAACGACTCCCCCTCTGCATTGCGGGAGTGGAGGTGGAAGTCGTCTTCAGCTTTAAATATCTGGGGGTATATATAAACGACAACCTCACATGGAAAACCAACTGCAGCAGCCTGGTAAAAAAGGCTAACCAATGGCTGTACTTTCTGAGGAGGCTTAAACAGGCTGGCCTGGGAACTACAGTCCTGACAACTTTTTATAAGAGTGTGATGGAGAGCATTCTCACCTCATGTGTGACATGTGTAGTATGGGAACTTTCCAGAAGCTGTTGGACTATTAAAGGAGTAGTTCACTTTAAAAAAAAAAAACTTTTGCTGATAATTTACTCACCCCCATGTCATCCAAGATGTCCATGTTTTTATTTCTTCAGTCAAAAAGTTTTTGATGAAAATATTCCAGGATTTTCTCCATATAATGGACTTCAATGGGAACCAAACGGTTTAATGTCCAAATGACAGTTTCAGTGCAGCTTCAAAGGGCTTTAAACGACACCAGACGATGAATAAGGGTCTTATCTAGCGAAACGATCGCTCATTTAATTAATAAATAACAAAGTTTAAGTTTTATAAGCTCAAATGGTCGCCTTGCTCTGTTCTGTGATTCGTGTTCGTGACTCTCCTGTTTGAACTCGTTTATCAAAATGAACGAATCTTTTTTCGTGTCATTTGGTTCATTCAACGAACAAAACCAACGAGTTGACTCGGAAAAAAATTCGTTCATTTTGATAAACGAGTTCGAACAGGAGAGTCACGAACGCGCGTCACAGAACAGAGCAAGGCGAGCATTTGTGCTTATAAAAAGTAAACTTTTTTTTTTTAAATGAGCAATCGTTTCGCTTGATAAGACCCTTATTCATCGTCTGGTGTCGTTTAAAGCCCTTTGAACAGTTTGCACTGAAACTGTCATTTGGACCTTGAACCGTTTGGTTCCCATTGAAGTCCATTATATGGAGAAAATCCTAGAATGTTTTCATCAAAAACCTTAATTTCTTTTCCACTGAAGAAAGACATGGACATTTTGGATGACATGGGGGTGAGTAAATTATCAGCAAAAGTTTTTTTTTTTTTTAAAGTGAACTACTCCTTTAAACTCTGCCAAACACCAGAACTGATAAACTGAACTTTTTGTCTTGAGTTATGTTGCACTTGTATTGCTATGCTGCAAATTTTTCAAGTTTTAGTGTGTATATGTTTGGGTTCAATTGTGTATTTGTACTTTTTTTATTTATTTATTAGTTGCTAATCTTTTATTTACTTGAGATGGTTTCAATCGGACCTCAGTAATAATTTTGTTCCAGATCATGTACCATGTTTTTGGAATGACAATAAAATCCTAATAGACTAGGCTGGTAACTGAAAACGTGTAGGTTTAAATCCTACAATGGGATTATGCAGATTTCTTCACGGAAGACTTTTCCAGTCATAAGTAACTGTCAGCTAAATGATAATGATGTTTCTGAGAATAATACCTGCAGTGCGTTCACATGACTGTCGAGGCATCTGGCAGTGGTGTATGTGCAGGGTGTCGTAAGCCAGGACTGAGCCTCGGAGATCCAGCTCTGTGACCCCTTCACCATCTCCTCATGCTCCTGCAGCCAGTCACGGACCTACACAGAGACCGTGTAGATAACACACTTTTAGGTAACATGATAGAATGTGTTTTCCTTGAATGTCAATCTATTATGTTCAACTTCTTTGCTAATCTTTTAGGATAAATGCTCCTTTAATTTCTATTCAGTCTATTCAGGTGACCTTGCTGAGGAAGGTGGTTCTCTGTTCAGCCTGTTTGGTGAGGCGTGTGTGGGTCTGCTGAGTGTTGGCCAGGTTGTCCAGAATCAGACGGGTCTCGTCCGGATGCATTTCACTCACGTCCTGAAGCTCCACCTCAACTGCCGTCAAACGAGTGTGTAAATTATCCAGCTCGTCCCAGACTCTCTGTGAGGGAACAACATAGAAAAAAACACATTTTAAATCTTCCATAAGTCATTTAATCTGTTTCTTCACGGTAAAGAAATAATTAAAAACATTTTAAACACAGTTTCACAGAACTTGCACCAATAGGCCATAAGCAAATGCAGGTGCGTTTTGAGCTTTCAGACTGACAAGGTTTCTATAACATATCAGTACAGTATAGAAAAATAAAGTGATGTATGGGCTATTATATTGTGTATTTCCTTAAATCAATTTAATAAATCTTTAATAAAATTGAAAATTTGTTATTCGTGGTGTGCATAATCTGCTTTTGAAAAATATACTTTTCCAAACTATGTGTAAAGTACTTCACTACTGTGTATTTCTTCAAAATTTCAAAAAGATTGTTCATAAATTGGTTCATAGTGCATCTTTATAAATGCTAATGACCTCAGCATGCACCAATACAAACCCCCCAGAAAGCAACATAGTGTCGGCCCAGATCCGGCCCATATCTGGGTCTTGTGGAATCCACGTGTACCAGATGTGGGCCGACACACTGTTACTGTCTAGGACAGGCCCAGCACCGAAAACTGCTACACTTTATTCGCTTACAATAAAAAATTTGTGAAAGAGGTTTTAGATTAAGAAGACTAAACTCATTTCTGACCTTTTGTGTGCTCTCAGCTTCATTGAAGTTCTGGCTCTTCTGCTCCAACCAGCTTTGAACTGATCCCAGACCTGCTTTAATCTCTGAGATTTTAGCACCCAGCCTATGAAGTGGGCCACTTTTCTCCACGGCTGTCTTCACCTGTGACCGAGATAGATGGAATGGACATTGAAATGACCAAAAAAACAAAAAACAAATGTCAATTGAAACAAACAAATGTATCTATGACACAAAAACTCTAGTAAATGAAGTATGTGCGTGTGTGTTTGATTGTGTATATGGATGATGCAACACTTCTTACACCTGTGAATGTGTGCAGATTATGTGTCTCTGATGCAGGGATCTAGTGACATGTTCTCCTCGCTTAATTCATTAAAGATGAGATGAAACTGCAGCAAGTGTGATGTTTACAGGGTGTGTGTGAAGCACATTTAGTTATATGATTTCAGTACATTTTGAACAAGAATATTTTATAATAAATTAAGAAAATGTTTCTCTCATACATAAAGGAAGAGTTCTCAACCCAAAAAATAGCAGGTCTATTTTGATCTATTTTTTTTTTTTTATCTGGGCAGGTGGAGAAGTTAGGAATGCATCAAACCTGCTCCTCCATTTCCTGTAATGACTGCGAGACTTCCTGTAACAGTCCCTCTATCTCTTCTGGAATCGATGTGTTTTTGTCAGAGTACATCATTTTCAAGCTTTCTGAAATACGCTGCAGAACGGCCTTTTGGGTACATAGCTGTGAGTGAACCTCCTGTTGAGCGAAAAGGAACATTACTCATCAATTAGGTTACATTAGTAATGAGCACATCTATGTACAGCACAAATCATTTTTTCCATTTAATCCATTTCGTTTAAAAAAAATACTTCTCGGTACAAGAGTTTTTTCCAAAGCAGAGCTCAGCGTAAACAAGAATGGAAAAAAGCAAACACAACACAAGCATTCACTGAGGGCACAACTGACTCGGCAAAGTGCCTATAAAACATCCGAAACTTAAAGGGATAATCCACTTTTTTTTTGGAAATAGGCTCATTTTACCACTCCCTCGAAGTTAAACAGTTGAGTTTTACCGTTTTCGAATCCATTTAGCCGATTTTCTGATATTTAGAAGAATATCAGTAACCAGACAGTTTCTGGTCTAATTGACTTCCATAGTAGGAAAAAAATATACTATGGAAGTCAATGAGACCAGAAACTGTCTGGTTACTGATATTCTTCTAAATATCAGAAAAGCGGCTCAATGGATTCAAAAACGGTAAAACTCAACCGGGAGTGGTAAAATGAGCCTATTTCCAAAAAAAGTGGAGTATCCCTTTAAGGTTGTCCTTTGGTGAGAATGTAATTATATTCATTATGATATAAAAATAAAAATATATTAGTAGAAGTTTTATAGGTCACTGCCAAGTTCTTAGAAAAGTTATTTTAGACTACCTGAACTAACCTTGTCATATTGTAAAATGTATGTTCTTGTCCTTGTGACAACAAAATGGCATCATGCTTTTACATCAGACTAATTTACTATATTTAAAAATATGCATATTTTCATTCAAACTATTTTTTAAAAGAGAATGTCATGTTATCAGGACAGTTACTGTACTCCTTATTTTACTTTTGTCAAACAAAAATATCAAACTAATTATTAATTAGGAAATTGAAAACATATTATAAACTATTAAAATATGTATATTTTCCCTTCCATTTTTTTTGTTGTTGTACACAGTAATAAGTATTAGCAAACATTTAGCAGACTAAAATAAATTTCTACTTCTGGATACTAAATAGCAACCCCCATCCCCAACTAATATAACGAAGAAAAGACTTACTGTAAATTTATAGGATCAGCGTAAAGCACATGAAAACGATGCACAATGCGATATTCGGTTTATGCATATCAGTACCAGTACCACTCTTTAGCACTAGTCTCGCTGGTTGACCCAGTCACTGATGATGCTCTTTGTCCCTCAAGCTTTAAGATAACAGAACCAGGACAATTCACTCAAAAAAGCTCTCTCGCTCTCAACCCTATTCACCTCTCCGGCTCCAGTTAGTGAGATAAAGCTTCTAACCCCTATTTATATTATAATGAGTCATTTAAGATGGGAAGAAAAGCTGCATAAACAAGATCTCAAAATTACCAAAAACCCAGAGGGATTTAGAGTCAGAAAGAACCACGCTTTAGAGAGAAAGAGAGAGAGATTATCCATTCAGATCATTCTATATGGCGGCTACTAGGACTTAATTTCTTCATGGTTTTATGGTCATTCCTACACATTCTGTTCCTTTATTGCTTTAGCATTTTTTCAATATCATATGGGACACATTTGAGCAAACTGAACTGAAAGATCGATTGTGTGAGTAAGAGCGAGAGTGCATTATTGGCTTTGGGATGAAACCTGTGAGTATCCACTTACAGGTGTGTGTGAGTGTGGGAAAATCTGAATCAAAAGTGTGTGCTTGAGAAAAAGAGAGAAGGAGAGTGTGTGTATCTGAAACAGTGAAAAGAGAGATTGTGTGGGAATGTTGGACATGACTCAGCTATTTAACCAGAACACTAACACACTAGCCCTCTCATCTGTGTGTGGTAATAATGAGAGAGAGAAAACAACAGTGTCTACAGCAGTGAAAGAGAATAACTGTTTAAAAGTCTTTGAATCTTTTAGAGTGTGTGTGTGTTTGAACTGATTGGATGGAACAGCCTATTCAGCACAAAAAAAACAGTCTCTTTCACACAGAGTTCTGACTAGACATGAAGCGATAAAGCGAAAATCTTTGTCTTAACCAGCAACAGTTGTGTTACGCAATTTGTAGAAATGGAAATCAAAAATCGTCAAAATATCCTGTTGTTTGCAGCTTGTCACTCGAAACAGCCTGGTTGGAACAACCAATACTTAGCAATAAAAACCTGTTATGACTAAACAACACTTTATGCCAGAAGTACAGTATCTCTGCTGCCCAGACACAAACTACATTACGGCATTCATGTCTGTCAGTGTCCATTCAGGTTTGTTCATGTGTAGTTCGTCTGCACTTTTGTATGTGCTTTTGTTTTGCTTTTCCAGTATGTCATTAAGTTTAGTCTGGGGTAACATTGAATCTAAGCAACAATTTAAAAAAAAAAAAAGGAATCATTGGGGACCAATGAGGCATTTTGCTGCTGCTACACTCACTGCAATTAAAAAAACCAACATGTTTTGAAAGCAGATCGGCGGTCATGCTACTGAAAAAATGTAGTCAAGCTAGTAGTGTCGTTCATTGATGCTAGTTACTTCCCAACACAAAAGGGACTTCACATGTGAGAGGTATTATTCAGAGCAGAGATAATGAAGATTGCTGGCTGCAGTCAGGGACAAAATCCATTTAATGGAACATTGTGTCAATGGAAAATCTCATAAGCATTAGTAATTCTCAGGCTTGAACAATAGATTTTCTTACTGTAATAACCTATCCTGGACACGAGTTAAAGAATTGGATTATAAGTTTGCAATGTAAAAACAAAAAACAACAAAAAAAAACATTTAAAATGGATAAAGTTCATCAAAGTCAAAAGTCAGGTGACTAACCTGTAGCTGTTTCTTGCTGGGTTCGTGCTCTAGTACAGAGAGGAGGGAAGTGGCAGATTCCAGCCATTCTCTGACTCCCTCCAGTTGCTCCTGCACTCGTCCCCTTTCCTCCACCTCTGTTCTTACTGCCCTCTGACCCTGAGTGCTCCGCTCCTTCAGACTGCAGAACATAGTCGAAATACGTTAAACTCCCATTCAACGTCCATTAGAGGTAGACCGATTAATCGGTCGGCCGATTAATCGGCCGATTTTTGGCATTTTTTAACATAATCGGCATCGGCCAATATCCAAGTAGGCTATATCAAGCCAATTATTAGGCAGGCGCATCTGTGGGCAGCCTAGTGTTGTAGTGGAACACGTGTTTGATGCACACTGCCACTAGAGTCATTTCCCAGCCGAGTGAGCAGCAAACATAAATATGAACTATTGTTCGTTGAACACGTTCAGGCACAACACTGGCCGTTAGTTAGTAGGTGGATTAAACATGGTTAAAATGCTGGCCAAACAGTGTAAAATGTGACTGTATTTCACTGTAGACAAAAAGGTCCAACAGCGGGATGCCATTGTCTGAAGAACAACAGACGGATGGTGCGTTGTGGTGCATTTAAAGTGTTTGTAAAATATAATTTTCCCATCTGGTGGTTGTTTTTGTCGTTCAACAGCAATTTACTAGTGAAATATGTTATTGTTAGAAGTTAAATTTAATTAAATATAATAAATCTTATATATAAAAAAATCAAATCATTTAAAGTTTTTTTCTCCTTTTTTGTGATAATTAGGTTATGTCCATTTGTCTTTGTCCGTCAACAAACAAAACAAACCAAAAATACATGTTTCAGGACATTTTTGAGGATAAAATGTTTTTGTTGAGAAAGTTTGTCTATGTTAAGTAATTATCATTTCTTTTACATTTTATCTTTCAAATAGAGGTTAAAAACCAAGCAAATATCGGCCAAAATAAATCGGCAGCATTAATCGGATTTCAAAAGATCGGTATCGGCCTGAAAAAAAAAACCATCGGTCGACCTCTAACGTCCATGCTGCAAAAGCTCAAACGCTCGCCTTGCTCTGTTCTGTAACGCTCTCCTGTTCGAACTCGTCCATCAAAATGAACAAATCTTTTTCCGAGTCATTTGGTTCATTCGGCGAAAGAAACGAACGAATTGATTCAGAAAAATATTTGTTAATTTTGTTGAACGAGTTCGAACAGGAGAGTTACGAACGTGCACCACAGAACAGAGCAAGGCGAGTGTTTGATCTTATAAAACTTAAACTTTGTTATTTTTTAAAAAAATGAGCGATTGATAAGATTGATTTCGCTTGATAAGACCCTTATTTATCGTCTGGAATCGTTTGAAGCCCTTTGAACAAGTTTGCAGTTTGTACTGAAAGTTTCTTTTGGACCTTGAACCGACTGGTTCCCACTGAAGTCCATTATATGGAGAAAAATCCTGGAACGTTTTCATTAAAAACCTTAATTTCTTTTCGACTGAAGAAAGAAAGACATGGACATCTTGGATGACATGGGGGTGAGTAAATTATCAGCAAAGGTTTTTTGAAAAGTGAACTAATCCTTTAACGCATGAATCACTGGGACATGGAGTACACAAATGGAAATATCAGGAAAAAAGTCATTAATGTTTTGAGAAAACCATTATTAAAATATCTCAGAATATGATTAAAAAAAAGACAACTGAAAACCAAGTAGATTTCTGACCTATGGTAACGCTCCTGCAGGGCATGAAGTTTCTGGCACAGTTCAATGGGTGGGGCCTGTTCCAGGTGTGGGGGGACACCAAGCAACCTTGCAGCTCTTAATTCCAATGCAGAGAGAGCTCTGTGTTCACAGTCCAGTCTGTCTTGGTACTGGGAATAGAATAGCAGCAGTTCCTGCAGCTCATCACCAGTCAGATTCTTTCTGCCGCTGTCTGGAAGTTCTGCATCCACCTGCTCCAACACACCGGCTGCCTGCTCCACCTGTAGAATGACAGCAAAAGAAAACAAGCTTTTTATTTAAATTTCTTTGTTATTTCACATGAATGTTGATGTACAGAGGGTCAAATACTCAGTATCAGTTGTGGTCATGGCACTTACACTCCTTGTGACACAGCTCCACTCGGCTTCCATTTGTCCTGAGCGTGTCTGCAGATCATTGGCACAGCGCTGCAATCTTGCCACTTGCCCCCAGACAGCACTCACTGCATTCTCCCTGTTGGCTCTACATCCATATAGTGAACACCATTCTCTCAGATTCTCCAGTTTTCCAAGAAGCATGACAACCTCTTCCCCTACAGCCTAAAAAGATAGGGAATATGTTTGAATAAACTAGCCTAACAGCCAGACCATATGTATCTCATTGCATACGTTTGCAAAACAGATAAATGATACATATCTTTTGGTTATATGGGGAGCTAATGCTAACAAATGCTAGCCGTTCAACAGAAAAGGGTCTTATTTGCCTTTACCTTGAGTTTCAGTTGCTGGTCTTTGCAGTCTTTGTGTGAAGTATTTTTTTTGGAAGCACATTGTGATAACAATGTTTCTGAGTCTCTCACTTGCTGGCAAAGCTCCTCATAGCATTTACGAGAATGTTTCTGGCACGCAACACACCTTGTTATGGACAAGAAATGTGTTACTTTACACATGGGGCATTTAGAAATTGATGACAGAATAAATGGAGATGATAAGATTTGATAAGCACAGTGAGCATATTATATACAAAATAAATGCTTAAGTATCTCACAAATTCATTAGTGATTATGAATAATTTACTGTGAGGAAAAACTCTGATCTCTGTGTTCTTATACACAATTATATACAATAAGGTTTCCTATGTACCTCTTCAGAGATTCTAGATGTATTTGGGCCTGGGCCTTGAGGGTCGATAGCTTGACCAAGAGCTCGCCTAAAAGCTCTATGTGTAGAAATTCAGTTTGCTGTGGATTGAAGCAGGGATGCTGTGGGTTTTGAGATTGGAGCTGTGAAATATGTGACTGGAACTCTGTGTCTAGTGTCAATAAAGCCTGCTGAGTGTCTTTGAGTCTTTCTGAGCAGCTTCTAGCAGAGCAGATTGAGGGAAGAAGGACCAATGCAGCTTTTTGGAGGAACCGAATGGTATCAATCACTGCCTTGGTGTAGTTCCTTAACAGTTCTTTGGCTTTAGTTAAACTTGCCTGAAAAGAGAGCAAACATATTCCTTGAAGTCTATATGCTTAAATGTATATTTCTAAACATTTATATTTATACCAATTATATTGCAAAGAAATAGGTCCACGAAATTGTGAGTCAAAGATTAAACACATTGTAAACTCACCATTCGTTGATCACACCTTTCCAAAACCATATCTTTCAAGCAAGTAAGCTGTTTGGAGTCCTGTGGAGGTTGAGCTCCAATCTTTTTTTCAAGAAACTCAAGCACATGCATTCTAGATTCTACAGTCTTTCTGAGCACAAGGCACTTTCTTAATTGTTTTTCAATCACTCCTCCTTTTGGCTCAATGCAACAAGGCTTTTCTAGCTCCTCATTAGTGTCTTTGAGGAACTGCTGAAGGACTCTCTTTTCTGATGGGTAGTGAATATGTTTCAGCAGATCCCTTTCCAGTATCTGAAGATTATTGTTCACTGTCAATTCTGAGGTTTTGAGACTTTCCAAGATTTGCTCGAGTTTTATTTGTTCAGCAGAGATCTGAGATGGATAAAGATCTGCTATGATTTCCTGGAGTTCAACTCTAGTTTCCTCACACAAGAGTTGTATTAAAGGAATTTGGATCAGTAGGTTCTGACAGGCTCTGTAGCGTTCCTCTTTGTTGATGCTCTCATCTTTGGTCCTTGGAATCTGGGCCTCCATTTCTTCCTTTAGATCTTCAATACACTGACTAAGACTCAAGTACCTTTCATGAGCTTGTGCTTTGAGATCCAAATCGATCATTTTGTGGTGCAGTTCAGTGATAACACATAATAACTCTCTTCTCTTGTCCTCTGCACAGGGACTGACTTGTTCAACCTGAGATTTGCGCTCCACAATCATCTGTTTAAAGGGTTCGATAACAGAGAGGGTATCCTTGGTAACAGGAAACCTGTGTCTTTTTAAATCAACTAACATTTGTCTCAGGCTGTTCTCAAGAGATGATACCTTCCTTTGAGAGGATTCTTGGCTTTGTATGACATCCATAACTTTCTGGCAACATGCTTTCTCATAGATAACAATACCCTTGATGTCTTCTTGAAGGTTGGTGAGTCTTCCATGGAGCTGAGTACTCTCTGAGACATGTAGCTCTGACGCAATGTCATTGCTTTTCATCAGAAGAGCTTCAGTGACAGCGGACTGCTTTTCTGCCTCTCCAAGAGTGTCCTGGATTTGCCTCAACCTGCGATCCAGGTCTGCCGGACTCAAACTTTGATAATCCTCCCTCCTCAAAGCTTCCCTCCAGAGATGTCCAACAACCCAGGAATCAACATCTGCTATCTGCTCTGACATCTTCTCCCGGGTTTGAAGCCCTGACTCCATCTCGTGAACTGCCTTGGCCAGTTTTCCTGCTGTTGATTTGGACAAATCCTCTAGGGTTTTCAAGGATGAAGTCACCATTGAAACATCCTCCTCATCTAGGTCATGAATAAGCTCATTGACTTCCTCAACCAAAGCCTTTAACTGGGCTTGCTTGGAGCTCATATCTGACTGCAATTTCTTTAAATCTTTAATCTGTCGATGCACCTCTTCTGGAAGCAGAGACACCTTTTTCTGACGTCCTTTGATGTTAAATTCTGTCTGTTTGGCCCAAGCTAGAGCATCTGTAATTACTTGTACAATTTTACTTAACGTTGGGTTGCTGCTGCTAGGGGTTGCAGCTGCTAACTGTTCGCCTATTTGATCCAGCTGATCTTTGATATGCTGAAGGTCCTGCTCTATGCTGGCTGTCTCTGCCTTGAATTGGAATTCCTGGGCAAGTGCCTCAGAGGTCTGCTGAAGGTAGAGGTACTGCTGATGGGTGGAAGTGAGATCAGCATTTATATTCATAATTTCTTGAGCTCTCTTGCCATCCCATAAAACTGGCGAGAATTTCAATGGATCCAAGGTTTTCTGAATGTTCTTGAGATGGTATTTTAAGGCACCGACATTTTGAAGAAGGCTGGCACTTTCTTTAGCATAAGCGTTAACCATGTAGAGAGCAATCTCTGCATCCTTCTCCAGGGCCCTCCACTGGTGTTGCAAGTTGTTTTGCTGTATTTCCACTGCTTGTCTTTCAGACAGACTGAGGTGGGGGGAGAGTTTTGAACAAGTTTGAATCAGCTCACCGAGAGCTGTCCTTTCCTGTTCCATGTTTCTCAAGAAAGAGCGTAGCCTCTCCTCCTCAGCAAAACTGCTTATGGCTAGAGATCTAGAGATATATAAGACACATTTTTGTTTTCCATTCTAATAACCAGAAGTTTAATATAGTAATAAACATGCTCCGTTTTCAGAGTGAAAAGTACAAAAATTGACTTGCTTAATAGTAAATACTCACGTTCTTAGTGCCTCACGCTCAGTTTTGAGTCTCTCCAGAGTAGTTTTGACTTTTTTGGTCTGTCGGTCAAAATCTGTAACCATCTGCAATTGTACTTCCTTGGAATGAACAGAGCTTGCTGCATCCCACAAAACTGCGCTCCATTGAGCGCTTAGCTGTTGCATGCCCTCGGGGTCATGAACTGTGCCATTAGTGCCAGAGCCAATGTCTCCATTAGCCTGGTCTTGCCTAGACAGCATAGATACCTGTCTCTGGGCACACCTTCTACATTCCTAAAATAGTTGAACAAAATAGTAGAAAATATTGAATAAGCTCACCTTCAGCATTAACTTTGAATTTTTTTATAAGTATTAATTAAAAAACAAACAGTAACATTGCATTACCATATTAAATAGGAAATAGGCTAAGGAAAAATCTTAGACCCACCTCAGCCTCCTCTAATTGTTTAGCCATGTCTGTGGAGTTCAGAGCAGCTGGGCAAGTTCGAAGGTCCAGTAACTGGAACACTAGCCTTTTTAACTGAGCTTCAAGATCAGTGCTGGACGTGTCAAGAAGTTTCTCTGTACTTTCATGTGGTATACCCTACAAAATAAAAGCTTTCTGAAAGGACAGCTGACACAATGGACATTTTTTCCTGTTTATGTTTATTCTAAATGTACCGTAAAAAGCATTGACATGGTTTAAATCGATTCAAAGTATTTTGAATTTGATGTTATAGTGGTTAATTTTAAATGTTACCTCCATGAGTACACTTTTTAGTCCTTTTTCAGTCATGTTTTTGATCTCCACAAAGATATCCTTCATTGTGGGTCCCTTTGGCTCTTCCTCTGCTGGACTCTGCAAGATTTCAGTGTTAAAATCAACTTGCAGAGAAAAATCCACATCTTGATCCTGTGGCTGCAACACATATAACAGAATATAACAAAGTAAACTAATTGTTGAGCTGAAGAATAGCAACTACAATATTACTTGCACAGGATAAAAGATTGTAGACAACTGAGAAATCAGAGCAGTGAATCAAGTAAATTCAAGCAATCAAAATCAACTATGGTTTAAAAAAACACAAACTCAAAAAGCCATTCCAAACATACACAGAACCATACGAACGAGAAATGGGAACAGAACAGAGCATGACAATATTAAAATAACGAAATTAACTAATAAAAGGCAGTGCATGATGCAAAATGTGAAGGGATTGTCTCTGTGGTAAGACAGCCAAAGGCAGACCAACATATAAAGACACAAAAAGGATCCAATTCAGGAGCCACAGGTGTTAATGGAAACTTTTTTCCATCAGTTAAAACCAAATGTGTTAGCTGTGCTTGGTTATGGAGACAACTGGATTACAGCAAAAATGGACACTTCATTTTGTCCCTAAAAGCACATGTCCTCAGTTGAAGATCTCCAAGAGTCCAACATGCAGATACCACGCCATCATGCAGGTTTGTTCCTTTGGTAAAATCATGCATATTAAAGTTACCTGCATCTCACTGATGCTCTCTGTTTGGCTGACTACACTTATAGTTTCTGGGACCAAGGTATCAGAGTCCTGCCCCTCCTCTTGATGCTCACGACCAATCACACTCTTATTGTCACACTCTTCTTTATCTTCCTGTTTAGTTATTGGTTCAACATAAGTTTCCTCTTCCAGTTTTGCACAAACAATTTCATTCCCTGAACTTTTGTTTTGGCTGCTTGTTGGAGTTGGTATCACCTGTGGCTCTTCTGGCATTAATTGAACGCTGTCAGCTTCTATTTTATCTTTTATTTGGTTGGCTGGAGGAGTTGGTAGGACTTCAAGTTGACTTTTATAAGTGGTGGAGACTATCTCAGTCTCTGCTTGGCTGTCTTTTTGTCTCAGAGGGGGAGTTGGTTTAATTATGCTTATCTCTTCTTTTAATACAAAAGCATCGGCGACTATCTCTTTTTCAACTTTGCTATCTTTCCTTCTTATTGGTGGTGTAGGTTTCACAAAGGTCTCTTTCTCTTCTTGGTATTTGCAAATTGCTAATGTCGCATCACTTTCTATTTTACTAATTTTGCGTCTGACAGGTGGAGTTGGTTTAATAGTGGGCTCTTCGCTGTCTTTATGTTCATCAGTTTGTCCATCATCACCTTTTCCTAATTCTGAACTGTAAAATAATTTGTCACTCTCTGGCTTATCCTTATGTCTTCTTGATGGTGGAGTGGGTTGAGTGTCGAGATCCATTGATAATCTTTGATCTTCTCCTTTCTCTTTATGTCGTCTTGCTGGTGGTGTTGGTTGAGTCTCCAAATGAAGGGAAGGACTTTGATCTTCTTTCTCTTTGCGTCGTCTTGCTGGTGGTGTGGGTAGAGTCTCCAGACTGAGCGATAATCTTCTATCTTCTTTCTCTTTGCTTCGTCTTGTTGGTGGTGTGGGTTGGGTCTCCAGACCGAGCGATAATCTTCTATCTTCTTTCTCTTTGCTTCGTCTTGGTGGTGTGGGTTGGGGTTCCAGACCAAGCGATAATCTTCTATCTTCTTTCTCTTTACGTCGTCTTGCTGGTGGTGTGGGTTGGGACTCTAAATCAAGAGAAAACCTCTCACTTCCCATTTTCTCTTTACGTCTTCTGCTTGGTGGGGTGGGAAATATTTCTCCCTCTATCTGTGATTCAAAGTTTAAAGATAACCTATCACCTTTTTTTCGTCTGGTTGGAGGTGTTGGTGTGACATTCACCTTGTCAAATTGGACCTCAGTTTCACTCTCATTTCGTCTTCTGACTGGTGGTGTTGGTTTAGGCTCAACTTCAATGGATTGTGCTTCATAAACAGATGTGACCTTTTTTGTCACCTCCTCCTCAGTGATATGCATGGTGTCCCCACCGTCAAGTTTCTTCTCTGGTGTTGAGACTTTTCCCTTGTTCGATTGGATATCAGTTTCACCCTCATTTAGTTGACTGACTGGTGGCGTAGATTTAGGTTCAGCTTCTAGGGATTGTACTTTATAATCTGATGGAGCCATCTTTACCTCTTCTTTCACAATGATATCAATGCTCTCTAAACCTTCAGGTTTCTCATCTGATGTTGTTAAGGTATTCACCTTGTTTGATTGGATCTCAATCTTTTTATCGTTTCTTCGCCTGACTGGAGGCGTTGGTTTAGGTTCGGCTTCTATGGAAAGTGCTTTTTCACTTGTCTCTTCTTTTTTAATGATATGCATGACCTCTCCATCTTCAGGTTTCTCCTCTGGTGAAAAATCCACCTTTTTTGACTGGACCTCAGTTTCCCGGTCATTCTGCTGCTTAATTAAGGGTGTCAGTTTAGGTTCAGCTTCTATGGATTGCGTTTTATCACCTGATAGGGTCTTGTTTGTCTCATCCTCTGTAATGACATCTGTTGCCTCTCCAGCTTCAGGTTTCTCCTCTGATGCCAGTGAGACATTCATTCTTTTGGATTGTATCTCAGTGCCCCAGTCATTCTGTTGCTTGATTGGAGGTGTCAGATTAGGTTCGATTTCTGTCGATTGAGCTTCATCACCTGATGGAGTCTTTGTCTCTTCTCTCAAAATGACACCCACGGCCTCTTCCCCTTCAGGTTTCTCCTCAAGTGTTGAGACATTCATCTGGTTTGTTTGGATCTCAGTTTGTCCCTCATTTTGTTGCTTGGTTGGAGGTTTAGGATCACCACCTGACAGGGTCTTTTTTGTCTCTTCTTCTACAATGACATGCATGACAACCAGATTTTTGTTTGCTTCAACCTGTTCAGATTGTTCTGATGCTTCTAATGGTCTGTTTGTGTTGGCTAGAACCCCTGTTTTGGTTTCAGAAGATTTTGCCTCACCTTCTGTCTCCTTGGTTGGGGGTTTAGGATCTCCACCTGACAGGGTCTTTTTTGTCTCTTCTTCTACAATGACATGCATGACTTCTCCAACCAGACTTGTTGGTAGGTTTTGGTTTGCTTCAACCGGTTCAGATTGTTCTGATGCTTCTAATGGTCTGTTTGTGTTGGCTAGAACTCCTGTTTCGGTTTCAGATTTTGTCTCACCTTCTGTCTCCATTATTTCTGATGCTGAACTTTCTGATCCCTGAATCTGAGTCTCAGTAGGTTCTCTTAATGGAGTAGCTTCATGAGCATGATGTCTCTGCATCTCTGCCCCCTCAGGAAAGTCTAGAATAATATATCGCTGTTGGATTTCACGTGGACCATTATTTGTAGTCCATTCGCCATCTCTGTCAGCAATTCTAGCATTTGGTCCATTGTTCCAAGAAAATGTTCCAGTACTTCTTGAAGCATCATCTCCACGACCTTGTGTTTCAGCAAGTGGGGCTGTGGTTGTTTGCACTTGTCTGTTGGTGTCTATTTCAGTGAGCTGTGACTGTTCTGGTTCAATTGCTGAAATAATATGTGATGCACTCACCACACCTGCCTCATCAGGAAAAGACTGAATGCTGATTGCTTCTTTTGCTATGTCAGACATTTCAGCTTCTGGGGTAGCTAAAGTTCCATCATCTTGTTTTCCCATTGTTGGACACAATGTCTTCTCATTTACAATAGCACCAGGAGAGGCTGTCCTCACTAAACTGTCTGTGGGTGTGTCTACATTCTGTATGTGTACAGTATCAACATCTAAAATGAGCTCAGCAACTATTTTTATTTGTGCTTCACCCTTTTCACCAGGTTCCTCTTGAAAATTTAGACAATATGAGCCCTCTTCCTCTTTATCTGATTCTACAGTCACTGCTTCAATGTTCACACTCTTCACTTTTTCAGAAAAAGAGTCTAAGCTCACAACCTCAACAGACAAGTGGCTTTCTTGTCCTTTTGAGCTCAGACTTGGAATTTCACAACACTGAGAGTCTGTGTCAGGGGTTTCCAAGCTGTGGAGAGCTGCAGTCGAGGAAGTGGACTTCTTTTCATCAGCAACCTCATCATTATCAGCTTTTGTTTCCAAAGAAACAGAAATTAAATTCTCATTTTCAGCTTCATTTGCTCCATGGCTGCTTAAAGGAATAGCAGAATCATACACTCTTATGTCTGGTTCAGGTAGAATCTCCCTGGTTAACGGTACATTTGTTTTGACATCATCCTGTTCAGTTTCAGTTTCTAATATTGGTGGTGATTTTCTTGCAGCATGAGCTTCTGTTTCTGTTGCAGATTCTGAGATTACACATAGAGGAATCTTGCTTTCAGGGTTTTCAGATGGCTTTACCTCACGGTTATCCATCATTTTGCAGCTCTCAGTGATAAAGGATGAGGTACAAAGAAATTCCAACTGTTCAGACTCCTTGATTGATGGTGTCACAGCAGAAACCTACAAATGGTATTTATCATACATTATTGCTGCACATTGCCTGTTAGTGTGGCTTGATACAACAAAAGGCTAGAAATATGTTTTCGAATGTGAAAATTGTACCCGTGATTCCAACTGAATGCTTTGAGCCTCTAGGGACAACCTCTGAGCTTCCTGCTTCACATTCTCCTCTAAATTCTGAAACAAAAACTCATCTGTTTAAACCACTAGATATTTCATTTAAAGGGGAAATGAAGCAGTCAATCAAGTTTACATGATTTATAAGATGGATTTCCACTATAATCAACAATTATATAAGAAACAGCACAAATGTAAACAACATATAACAGAAAAAAAAGAAAAACGCTATATCTTTCACCACCAGGGCGCCACCATTGTGCAGTATTCTAATCTGTGACATCACGGGGTTGGTTGGCTTTAGTTTAACGGCTCTGGGCAGTGAATATCCCGACATCAAACAGTTTACACCACTGTGTTTTGACCGCGAACAATTAACGTTGTTTAACAATTATGTCTTTAGCTAACTAAGTGAAGTTCATTAGTACCAGACAAAAAGACGACATTATATGTCAACAAACTGCACATGAAAACATTGTTCGCAATGTCTGCCATCATATTCCTGTCTCTTGTCAACACCATGTAAGTTAGCAAAAGGGGAAATGAAATGTCCATGTTTTCATACTGGTAGTAGCTACATATATTAGAAAAAGTGTCTCCACTCTGACATCCTTCAGGGAAAGCATTGCCGCTTCCAACACGTCTATCTCCCGCTCCCGGCATAGCATGGTAAATGTGTGCACCATGGTGATGCAGGATTGACCACGCAATACGTGGTCAAGATCAACCTCTTGACAGCAGATGGACTCTGACTCTAAGTTGACACTTAGATGGACTCTAAGTTAACACTTAGGGGGCTTTCACACTGGCAGTTTAGATCGGAATGGGGCACGGTTCGCATAAAAAAAATAGCTAATGTGAACGCTGTCATGGGACCCGGGTGCGCACTGACTGGGGTACCGAATCCGAGATTACCTGGAGGAGGTGGTCTGAGTTCGGTTGCTTCCAACCGTGCTGCGGTTCGCGTGAATGTGAAAGCAACACGGATTCGCATAACAGCAGCAAATTAATAAAAAAAACACAATATATACCCACATTCTGCCTTCCAACATGTGCTGTGCACGTTTGCAATGACGCAAGATGCACGCAAACGCACCAGGGTTTGATAGAATCAAGATGAGTGTAAAACCAGACCAACGCTGTGGGGGGCGCCGAGAACAAACGCGCTCAGGCTCGGACCGCAGCAAACCAGCCCAGTGTAAAAAGTTAGTTGTTCGTGGTGTAAAAAGTTTGATGTCAGGATATTCACTGCCCAGAACCTTTAAACCAGGGGTGCCTAACCCTGCTCCTGCTGATGACTGTCCTGCAAGTTCATCTCCAACCCTAATCAAACACACCTGCCTTTAATTTTCAAGTGATCCTGAAGACTAATTGATTTACTAATTAGTCTAATAACTTGGTTGCTTCAGGTGTGTTTGATTAGGTTTGGAGGTAAACTGTGCAGGATAGCTGATCGTCAGGAGCAGGAGCATGAAGAAAATGTTTAAATATCCCAAGTGACTACCGTGGCTCAACTATATGTTTATCAAGCGACGCGAATACTTTTTGTGCGAAAAAACAAACAAAAATAACGAGTTTATTCGACTATTTCTTTTCTTCCTTGTAGGCCAGAACGAGACTTCCTTAGATTTCCACGACGCATGCGCGAGATTTGCGATCTGCTCACACCAGCTTACACTACTTCAGATCGCAATTCTCGCGCATGCGTCGTGGAAATCTAAGGAAGTCTCGTTCTGGCCTACAAGGAAGAAAAGAAATAGTCGAATAAACTCGTTATTTTTGTTTGTTTTTTCGCACAAAAAGTATTCGCGTCGCTTGATAAACATATAGTTGAGCCACGGTAGTCACTTGGGATATTTAAACATTTTCTTCAGTGACTTTCTGGGCCGTCAAGAGGCAGTCCTTTAGGAGCCAATGTGGTAGTTATACAGCTCTCAAATTTAATCAAAAATATCTTCATTTGTGTTCCGAAGACGAACGAAGGTCTTACGGGGTTGGTACAGCATGGGGGTGAGTAATTAATGACTTAATTTTCATTTTTGGGTGAACTAACCCTTTAAACTAAAGCCAACCAACCCTGTGACGTTGTTAGAAATACAACATGTTAGAATACTGCACAATGGTGGCGCCCTGGCGAATGAACCCAAAAAAACGTTTTTTTTTCTTTTACATGTTTACATTTGTCATCTTTCTTACATAATGGTTGATTATAGTGGAAATCCATCTTGTAAATCATATAAACTTGAATGACTGCTTCATTTCCCCTTTAAAACACCATCCCACATAATTGAGTCACACTCACCTTAAGATCCTGTTTAAGGTCATTTGTTTTACTTTCTGCCTCGTTTAGTGTTTTCAGTCCATCTCTTTCAAGTTTGCCTGCCAAGTCAGGGCCTAGACAGTCCCTCAGGAGTTCTTTATGGGATAGCGCCACTTGCAGGCTTTTACATAGTTTCACACCTTCCTCAATTGCAGCCTAAAGAGTAAAAATGTTTTATGTTTACGCTGAAACAGCAACCTTACTTGTTCAAATGGACAAGTATACTGCAGGTGCAGCGTTTTGTACTCACACACTGCATGCAAATGAAGACACAAACACACCTGCGTGGATGAGGCTGAGCTGGTGGGAGGATTTGCAAGAGTCATCTGGTTCCATGACTGTATGTTTTGTAAGGCTTGTCTCACACACTGCACAGTGCTGTCTGCACAGTCATTCTGCCTTTCCGACAGTTTTGATCGCAGACTGACAAAAAAAAATTATGATTCTCCAAAATGCACATCCAACAAATAATTATTGTTTATAGAACATTATGCTAAAACAGTGAGAGAAACATGCTATCCATAGTACAATGAAATAAACTGGATTCAGATATAAATTAGTGCTGTCAATCGATTAAAAAATGTAACTAGATTAATCAAATTTTTTTCTGTGATTAATAGCGATTAAAAATATTTTAATATATTTTACAATGTAATAACTTCACAGTTGATCTCCAAATTAATGTAAAAACAGCATTAATACAGTATATTTTAAATATTTGTTTAATGGCATCTTTTTATGAATGAAGGCAAAGTATCACTGATACTAATAGCCTACTACAACTGATGTCTCAATGAAATTGATTCCCCCTCCAATTTTAAACATTAATTATAGCCATTTAAAACTACAGTGTAATTAAACATTTATTAGGTTTCAAAAAATATAATAACTTTTAATTTAGCTGAACTTTAAATAATCCTCACATAAACTCTTCCTACCTGTATAAAAGGTAGGAAATATACAGTCTGCACTGCATAAATGATAAGTTATCCTTATTAAAGCTACAAAAGATCATTAGTCAAGAGCAGTGAGTCATTTTCTGTTACCTTTGATTAACTTTAATGACAGAGAGCAATGGCTGCTGTCATGTTAAGTTTCACACATCCCATTTTCTCACAACTTTTGAAGTTAATTTAAGATCTTATTTAAGATCATAATTGTGTGTTATTGTTCATTCAAGTATTAAAGAGAACTCAATACTGGTGCGTGTCTTTCTGTGCACGACACAAGTCATCTATGTGTCACAGACACAACATTCACAAACAGCGCATTCTCCTTGTTTGTCTTGTCGCACTTGAATGGTTAAAAAGCATTTGCGTGCGTGATCATATAATGTAACGCTAGCTAAAGGATGGCAGAAAAAATGGATGCTGCGTGAATTGTGTTAAATATTTTTTACGTGTTACACTGGAAAATGTGTTAACAGCACAAATTTAAACACATTATTACAGACCTTTCCGTTTTAAACGGCTTAATATTTGACAAGCAACATGTCTGTATGTACCTGCAATATTGCTGTTCAACTTTGTCCACTATGGAAATGACATCAATAGGGGGCTCTTCATCAGGTGGGAGCATTCGAAGGGCCTGACTAAGGTCACAAACTTTGCCCTCTAAAGCCTCAACGTCTCTCTCACATGTCTATGAGAAAATAATTTAAAAGAAAAATAGTAGGCCTAAGGTTTGGATACACTGTTTTTCTCTTCATTTTTAGAACAAACCAACAGAACATAGAATAATTAGCAAACTCCCACAATACCTTGAAGCTATGCCAGTTCTCCTGCAGCTGGCTGATATTCTGGCTACCCACCAGAAATCCTAAAGCGTTGTCCTGAGCACGGAGCTCATCCAGGAGGCTCTCTGCCTGTTCCCTGAGAATCTGTGCCCTTCCAGCAATCCTTAGATCGATTTCACTCAATCTGGCCTCACACACAGATAACCGTTCCCTCATCTCCTTCTCCGAGAACACACAGAGGTCATGAAGATGGCTGACCTCTAAGGTCAGAGCATCACAACCTCCTGGAGTGCAAAGGTCCATCAGGGAATCTTTAACAGCATCCAGTTCTTTCATTTCTCTCTTCTCCCTGTCTACGGTCTGAAGAAGTGCCTAGAAAGGTTAAAAAACATGATGATTTTACTCAAAGCTTACGTAAAATATTTATGATTTTATAAATGAACGGGTTTGACTGAAAAAGGGAAAAAATATTAGAGCTGTCAAATTTATTTCCCTTTATATAAGGGAACATTTAATTTTTTTTTATATACTGCATATTTAAAGCTACACTGTGTGATTTTCACCCCCATCTAGCGGTGAAAAGGTATATGACCATCCAGTGAATATTAGTTTCTGTTCCTCTCAATTCCGATTTCGTTTTAACTCCTACGGTGGCCAATATAGTCCAAGATTAACATGGCTTCCAGTTCGACCTCGTCCAAGAGTGTTAACTCAAACGTAAACGCGAAAGGCGAAGCTTGAATTAACGGGTATGTCCCTCTTTGGCTAATATACTTTCAAGATGGAGGGGCAACATGGCGACCGACATTAGAACCCCTTACCCGTATGTATTTTCAATGGTATATTATACACTCACGAGAACACTTTATTACGTGAACGAAGTAAATATACATTAATGAGCACATACTGTATATTTTTGAAAGAACTAAGTGTTTTTAGTTGAAAAACAAACTAAAAGAGTTACACAGTGTAGCTTTAAGTTAAATTAAACTAATGCATTAAATTGACAATAAATAAAATACATATAATAACAAAGAATTCAAACCTTAAGAGTGTTAATAGAGCCTTGTAACGCATGGCGTTCAGTGGGCAGGGTGCCGAAACCTTTGACCTGCTCTCTCAGCCAATCCTGAGCTACGGTGTGCTGCTCAACTAGCTGAGCACAAACTCGCTCTCTCCGTATTTCCTCTTCAAGATTTAGGCAAAACTCCTATGCAAGCACACATACAAAAAGAACTTCATACACATAAATCAGGTTTCGCTTACCTATTAGTCACTATTAGTCCGAAATATTTAGCACAGCACCCCCTACAGCCTTACAGTAATCTCTTTGATCAACTCAGGTATGGACTCCTCCATGGTGGCCCAGGATGGATCGATCCAGCTGGAATCACGGGTCAGCTGGCTCATCTCCCTCCCGAGTGCTCGGACAGCAGACAGAGACGGGGTCAGGGCTCTGGTACGGTCTAGTAGACTCTTGGCCTGCTCAACTGTGTGCCTTCGATCCCCTAAACCAGGCCAGGGGAAGTGATGTGGCAGTGCAGCTGTCTGCTGTTTCACCTGCTCCAGAAGAGACTGAAGCTGTTCTCTCTGACACTGGCAGGACACCAGGCGTTCCACTACACTTTTCAGCAGACTGTGGAATATAAGATTATTTGTAATCATTTGAATCATCTATTAGTGCTGTGTGCAATTACTATTTACATATAGAATTATTATATCAAACCTATGCAGCTCCTGTGCTTGCTGCTGTGTTGCCTTCCACTCCTCCTCTAAGTTTTTCATTTTCTCAGTGAGAGAATGTCTTGTGTCTTCATCAAGATCTTTACGGATACATAGATGGTCTACTGTCCTTTTCAGGGTGGCAAGCTTAGAGTTGCCCCCAGAGTGAAGACTTACAATTGCCTGAAAGACAGACGGTTATGCTTGTTATTGACTACCACATTTTCATCATTTCACTATGGACATCATGAGTAATTATAATATTAATTATATTACTTACTTGTACTTTGCTTAGTCTCTCCTCAATCTGGTTCTGTGTACCATGAGTGCTTGTTCCCAGTGAGTCTAGGCCATCTTTCTGGTTCTTAACCCAGGACCTGGTGGTCTCCTCCTGGGTATATACATTCTGAAGCTCCCTTTCGAGAGAATCCTGGAGTTCAGCCTGGTTCTTTAGTTTCTGAGCTCTTGCCAGGACCTTCTTCAATTCTTCGTCAATGGATCTTAGGTTCAGTTGGATTTCCTGTTTTCTCTTCTCCTCCAGACCTTCTCGAGAGCACATACCCTCTGCTTTCCTCCTCAGTGTGGCAAGCTTATAATCTCCCTCTGATTCAGAGTTCAGGATGGCCTAGAGTAAATAATCCAAAAAACATGTCAGTGGGTAAGTCAGACATATTTGTTGAAGGTTGAATATCCCGCTTTGTCTCTTACCTGAGCTCCATTCATTCTCTCTTGTAACGGAGTATCTTCACCTAGCAATTCAATCTTCAGATACTGCTCTTTGATCCAAGATTTAGTGTGCTCCTCTTGTTCTTGAAGATCCTGAAGGTCCTTGGAAAGAGAATTCTCAAATTCTGATTGGTTCTTCAGCTCAAGAGCATCCGTCAAAAGTCCTGTCCACTCTTGCTGTACATCTTGTAAAGTCTGTTGGATTGTCCTGGATTTGTCTTCTTCTAGATCTTCACAGGAACATAGACTCTCTCCCTTTGTCTTTAAGTCAGCAAGTTTCGAGTCCCCCTCAGATCTATGAGCTAGTACTGCCTAAAAAAAACAAAACCAGAATATTCATCAAGAAAATTTCTTTCATGTTTTATTTTCTTATGCATTTGTGCAGCCAATCGTAGCCTTTATGGGTTTCTAATAAATATGTACTGTTCCAGGCAAATTGTCCTGTTTCTTAAAGGGATACTCCACTTTTTTTTTTTGAAATAGGCTCATTTTATTCCCCCAGAGTTAAACTGTTGAGTTTTAGCGTATTTGAATCCATTCAGGCGATTTTCTGATATTTAGAAGAATATCAGTAACCAGACAGTTTCTGGTCTCATTGACTACCATAGTATGTAGTTTTTCCTACTATGGTAGTCAATGAGACCAAAAACGGTCTGGTTACTGATATTCTTCTAAATATCAGAAAATCGCCTGAATTGATTTGAAAAAGGTAAAACTCACCTGTTTAAATCTAAAAGAGTTGTAAAATGAGCCTATTTCCAAAAAAAGTGGAGTATCCCCTTAAAGGGTGAGTGTGGCGAGGGGGGCGTGGTTCAGTGAAGTCTGTAGCGGGAGAGCGAGGACGGAGCCGAGCAGAGTAAGTGGGTCAAGTTCAAATGATGAACACCTGTCTGTGACTTCTGTAATTGGCGTGAGGAGACCGCATATAAGAAGGCCATGCGGACAGAGCGATTGGGAGCTCGTGCACGCCGTCTGAGTAGCTGTGACCAGTGAACCGAGTGTTATTGAAAGCCGTGACCAATGAAGCTGTGACCAGCAGAAAGAGTGTTACTGAATCGGTGACCAGAGAATCTGTTTCCAACGAAAAGAGTACTGTTTGATGTTATTTAATTTGTCAAAGTGTTTGAGTTTATTGTGTGAGCATGTAGACGCACCGTGGGAAGAGAATTATAAAATAAAGTGCACAAGCCCCAGCATTCGCCAACGCTGAGTCTCCTTCCATCACCCACACATGAACCCTGAGCTTTACCACAGTGAGTTCACCCAAAAAAGTATCCCATGCTTTACTCATCCTCAAGCCATCCTATGTGTATATGCCTTTTTTTCCAGCCAAATACAATAGGAGTTATATTTAAAAAAATATCCAGATTCTTCTAATCTTATAATGGGAGTGAATGGTACCTAAGATTTTGAAGCCCCAAAAAGTGCATCCATCCTTCATATAGTTAATCCATATGGTTCCAGGGGTTAATGAAGGCCGAAGCGATGCGTTTTTGTAAAAAAATATCCATATTTATAACTTTATAAACTATAATCACCGGCTTCCAGTGTAATTGCCGTACGCAAGTCTAGTTCGGGTGGATTTCAACGGATGACTTATTGACAAACACATAAGCGCAGAGGAAAGAGCAAAACAAAACACCGACCATGAATTAAAAGTCTAAAACAAAGAATTTTAAGGAGAAATGTCAGAGGATTTCGATATTTTAGAGCAGAGGAGCTTGACTTTGTTGCCCAGCCTTATTTGTTTGAACCGCGAGAGACGTCTACTCTCACACGAGCTTAAGCTACTGCTACATCCTACATCCTAAGGCCTTTATTAACCCCTGGGACCGTATGGATTACTTTTATGATGGATGGATGGATGCACTTTTTTGGGCCAAGAGTGGGAAGAGCTAAGATTTTTTAATATATAACTCCCATTGTGTTTGGCTGAAAGAAGAGTCATACATATACACATAGGATGGTTTGAGGGTGAGTAAATTATGGGATAATTAAACTTTTTGGGTGAGCTAGCTAACCCTTTAACTAAGGAGTAAGACCCATCTTTTCACTTTATGCAACAATGATATTTGTGTAGCCCTCTATTTTGAATGTTTAAGATGTGTCGGCTACTTTTAGTCATCTGATATAATCTGTTTTTTAACATAAATAATGTCAAACAGTATTTTGACAGGGAACTACAAATATAGCTAATACATAAAATATCAACATTTAACTCAAAACCAGAGAACATACTGCCATTATTCTTTTAGATAAAGATGAGGTGAGTGGAGTTTTTAATTAGTGACTTGACTGGAATAGTTTCCCCATTTTCAAAAGACCTATTACATATTATCATAAATTAGGCCAACTCACTTACTGTACCAATTATGGGTTAAATATTCCTTTCTATTACCTCAACTCCATTAAGCCTCTCTTGAATGGAAGATGTAACACGAAGAGAATCCATGGTCTCTCTGAGCCGTCTAATCCAGGATTGAGTGTCCTCTCCCTGATCACAGAAGGTTTGTATCAATCTGTAGAGAGATTCCTCACGCTTGACCTGGTTCTTGAGCTCTTGGGCAAGTTGTAGCACTTTCCTCCACTCCTCTTCTATTGCTCTCTGGGTTTGGTCAATGTGGCTCCTCCTCTCATTGTCAAGCTCTTTATAAGAACATACATCTTTCCCTTGTCTCTGTAAACTGGCCAATCTGGAATCAGCTTCATCACCAAGGTCCAATACAGCCTAGAGGATATACAGACATTACTCCACAACACAATATGTGCATTGCAAGCAACATAACCTGATTTAGGTAGATAAAAATCATTCAAGATTCCTAAAAAGGACTTTTCAATTAAAATAAACTTTTTCCTCTGCCCTTACCTGTACTTTAATTAGTTTTTCCTGTGGCTGAAGTTCCTTCCCCAGACAGTGCAGCATTTGCAGTTGTTCTCTCACCCAGGATTGCGTGCTCTCTTCCTGGGCCTGTAGATCTTTTAGTTCCTGGGAGAGTGTGTCTTGAAGTTCTGCCTGATGTTTTAATTGTTGAGCCATATCCAGAACTCTCTTCCACTCATCCTCAATGTTTCTAAGGGTGTGAATGAGCTCCTGTCTTCTGGTGTCCTCCAAAATCTCATGAGCACATAGAGCATCACCCTCTTCTTTTAGAGCCACCAGTTTAGAATCACCTTCAGCTCTTAGATTCAGAACAGCCTTAAAACATAGAAACATCCGAAATACATTTCTTGTGAATAATTCCTTTTGGTGTTTAAGAATGTATGAATATATGTATGTTTTCCCCAGCAAAATACAGCTAAAAAAATCCAAATTGTGATGGTTAGGAGACCCACCTGAGCATCCATGTGTTTCTTTTGGTTTGGCGTGTCTGTGTCCATGCACTCAAGTCCTTGCTTTATATCTCTGATCCAGGCTCTAATCTGCTCTGCATTGTATTGGAATGTTTCAGTTTGATCATCGAGGGTCTTGTGGACTTGGGCCTGATTTTCCAAAAGAATCCCCAGGCTGTGGTATTGGTCTATCAGGGTCTCGCTGTCTCTAAGGAAAGGGTCTCCCCTCAGGCCACGCATCCTTACAGTGGATAACAGGTCATTGAATGCCTCTATACGACCACTGTAGATTAAGGATGAAGGTAAGAGTTGTGTAGGTTTTATGGGTGCACATAATCATTATTTGTTCCCCAAAACTTAGCACAGGTCATTCTTTTTTTTTTTTTTTTTGTGGAAAGATAATAATTAAACTGTGGAAAGATAATAATTAAAGATAGTAATTCAACTGCAATTTTTCCACCAATTATTGTGCGCACCAAAGCTTTCTGCTCAGTGAAAACAGGGAAACTGCAGGGGCTTCGAAGTTAATAAAAAAAAATAATAATAATTACATTATTAAATTGTAAAATTTCAAATAAATATAAGGGCTGTACAATTTAAATAAAGTTGAAATTGCGATATGGCATCTTGGAGCAGCTCGTAAACACTGCTCCAAACGAACTCCATCTCGTGCTGTGAGTTTTGGTCACATGAAATTGGATATGCATCGTGTTCCATGGTCATTTTATTTTCCTATTCATACAAATTAAACATTTTCCTGGACAGTATTTTTAAGATTTTAAAGCATAAACCTGTTGTCAACTAAAAACAAAGAATAAAAGTCTGCAGTTTTCCACCAAATTAAAAGCTTCAGAGTTTAAAATTGTACAAATATTAGTAATAATAATAATAATTATTATTATTTATATTATTATTATTATTATTTAGATTTATACAATTATAATTTGTTTACCTGCATGTCATAGAACCAAGAAAATGCAATGTGTTACATTTTTTAATTATAGTTAATTTTATAAAAATGTTAAAAAAAGAGTAAAAATTAGTTTTAAACAAAAATACAAAATGAACATTTTGAAAAACGAATACCTTTCCTTAAGAAACTCCTCTTGGATTTGTCGAACTTTTTCTCTCTGTGTTGGCACTTTCTCCCTGTGCTGAAGCCACTCCTTCAAATGGTTATGTTCCTCTTGCAAACTAAATACATAAAGACATGATTGGATTACTGAATGGATTAAAAAAAAAACAGTAACAACAAATCGCTATGATGTGAGCTAAGTCCATGTACCTGTTGAGGTTGTGGAGGATGTCATCTAGCTGTTTATGGCGTCCCTGGCAGTGAGCCCTGAGTGTGGCCAGTTCTCCTTCCTGCTCCTGGTGCCATGAGGAGAGCAAAGCTTGAGCCTCAGAAGGAACCTTTGCCTGTTCGCCTCTCTCAAATCTCTCCTTCAGCTGGGCCAGACGATTTTCTCCTTCTTTAGATGCCAGGAAACTCTGAAGAAAACACAAATTGTTCAGCATTGCTAATCAGACACTACTAAATTTCAATCCTTCCTGTTATTTTATAATTTTGACTAAGGCTGCAAACACCTGGTGATTCTTTGCATTGGATTGCTGTCCAATGTCCAATTAGTGTATTGTACAGTAAGGCTGAAAAGTATTTCGAAAAATGTCATTGCTAAAACCATAATCATAGGGCTGTGACCTCACTATTACTCACTGTCAATCTCTGCATGGACATTTCGACATCCTGCTTCCTCTCAGGGTTTTCAAAACACTCATTCACAGAGAGCTGCTCATCCTGCAACCATTCCTCAAATGACTGGAACTCTTCTGCAGAGAGCCAATGGGACAAAAAGACAAAACAAAAATCACTTAAAAATGTAAATTATTTCTCAATTAGTTTCTCCAAGTAATAATAGCACAATGCAAACCTTTAATTGTCTGAAGGAAGCTTCTCTCCCCCTGTTCCTTCTTTTGGTGAATCAGATCTCGTGTTTCTGCAATGCTGTCTTTGAGATGCTTGGTGTGATTGGTCAGGTCCTCCAAAACCTGCGGTCCAGTAATGCTGGACATGAGACTGATTTCCTTCAGCAAAGAATCGGCTTGCTCCTCCTGGTCCAAAAGCTGCTCACACAAGTCCTACAATAGAAAATTAATTGAATTATAAACCAAAAGAGAGTGTTTATACATGTCCGTCTGTTAATCATACCTGTAAATGCAAATCCAGCTGTGTGCGATCCTCTGAGCTAATCGTATCTACTGAGGAGCGTATATTCTTCACAGATGATTGATAAGTGTCAATCTTTTCAGCCAAATGAGCTTTAACTGTGAGGAGCTCCTGGAACACGTCAGTGCAGTCGGAGAAGAGTTCTTTCACCTGCTCCATTTTCTTCCTTAGGTTTGTTTCCATTACCTAAAGGAGACAGTGTGAGTATGGTTAAAGTTAGGAATAATTAGGAATTAGGTGAGCGCCATCATTTAATAAGCAGAAAAAGTAATCTGTACATTCACCTGTAACTCAAGTGGAGATTCTTTGCTTTGCAGCAGTTCCTGGATCTCTAGCAACTTCCTGTGAAAGTGTTCAAGGTTGTCCTCCTGATACTGAATCTCATTCTAATGAAAACATAAAGAACCTGTTAAGTCAAAACGATAGTCTTGTGCCTTTTAGTCCATGTATGTGATGTGTATGTGTATTTTAAATGCCTATGAAGCATTTTGTGAAGAAACACCTTCATGCTGAGAATCTCCGTCTCACTGCTGAAGGGGTGAGACTCTGAGAAGATGATGAGTTTAGTTGAAGTCCAGCTGTCCACCTCTCCACCCAGAACCAGCTGTTTCTCCCACAACTCCAGACCCAAACGCAGGTTATCCATGTAACCGTCTGTCTTCTCTGACACCTGCCAGAGAAACACACATATTAACCAAGAAGTATTTGTGATGCATGTGATGCATGTGAACAGATGTTTTTCATATACTCACATCCAGCCATGAGTCCACCAAAGCATCTGCCTCTATCTCAAAAGGAGTTTCTGAGCAATCAGGAATTTTCTTCAGCTGAGACTGCAACTGTCTGCACACAGATCTGAACTCTTCCATCTTGGGTCCGAGGCCATTAAGATCCTCCTTTATGCCAACAACCTACAATTATAATGCATAGTGTAAATATAATAAAGGACTACACTTAAAAGAAACTACGGTGGCCCCCCTTGTCCCACTTTGGCAAAAAAAATAAAAAAATAATTATAACTATCTTGTGGTCTCAAGATAGTAATTCGTGGCCTCAAGATTGTAACTCGTGGCCTCAAGATACTATCTCGTGGCCTCAAGATTGTAACTCGTGGCCTTAAGATGCTATCTCATGGCCTCAAGATAGTAACTTGATGCCACGAGTTAGTATTTTGAGGCTACGAGTTAGTATCTTGATGCCACGAGTTAGTATTTTGAGGCTACGAGTTAGTATCTTGAGGCCACGAGTTAGTATCCTGAGGCCACGGGTTAATATCTTGAGGCCACGAGTTACTATCTTGAGGCCACAAGATAGTATCTTGAGGCCACAAGATAGTATCTTGAGGCCATAAGTTACTATCTTGAGGCCACGAGATAGTATCTTGAGGCCATGAGTTAGTATCTTGAGGCCACGAGTTAGTATCTTGAGGCCACGAGTTAGTATCTTGAGGCAATGAGTTAGTATCTTGAGGCCACGAGTTACTGTCTTGAGGCAACGAGATAGTATCTGGAGGCCACGAGTTAGTATCTTGAGGCCACGAGATAGTATCTTGAGGCCACGGGTTAATATCTTGAGGCCACAAGTTACTATCTTGAGGCCACGAGATAGTATCTTGAGGCCACGAGATAGTATCTTGAGGCCACAAGTTACTATCTTGAGGCCACAAGTTACTATCTTGAGGCCACGAGTTACTATCTTGAGGCCACGAGTTACTATCTTGAGGCCACGAGACAGTATCTTGAGGCCACGAGATAGTATATTGAGGCCACGAGATAGTATCTTGAGGCCACGAGTTACTATCTTGAGGCCACAACAAGTTACTATCTTGAGGCCACGAGTTACTATCTTGAGGCCACGAGTTACTATCTTGAGGCCACGAGATAGTATCTTGAGGCCACAAGTTACTATCTTGAGGCCACGAGTTACTAACTTGAGGCCACGAGATAGTATCTTGAGGCCACGAGATAGTATCTTGAGGCCACGAGATAGTATCTTGAGGCCACAAGTTACTATCTTGAGGCCACGAGTTACTATCTTGAGGCCACGAGATAGTATCTTGAGGCCACGAGTTACTATCTTGAGGCCACAAGTTACTATCTTGAGGCCACGAGTTACTATCTTGAGGCCACGAGATAGTATCTTGAGGCCACGAGTTACTATCTTGAGGCCACAAGTTACTATCTTGAGGCCACGAGTTACTAACTTGAGGCCACGAGATAGTATCTTGAGGCCACAAGTTACTATCTTGAGGACACGAGTTACTATCTTGAGGCCACGAGATAGTATCTTGAGGCCACAAGATAGTATCTTGAGGCCACGAGTTACTATCTTGAGGCCACGAGTTACTATCTTGAGGCCACGAGTTACTATCTTGAGGCCACGAGTTACTATCTTGAGGCCACGAGTTACTATCTTGTGAGGCCACGAGTTACTATCTTGAGGCCACGAGATAGTATATTGAGGCCACAAGCTACTATCTTGAGGCCACGAGTTACTAACTTGAGGCCACGAGTTAGTATCTTGAGGCCACGAGATAGTTATAATTCATTTTTTTTGCCAAAGTGGGACTAGGGGGGCTCCGTAAGAAACAATATGAGATTAAACAGAAAAAGTGACCATGGTGGCATGATGGTTAACAATCTAAAGCTACTCATTCTAGATAGGCATGATCTATAACCTATAAGAATTTCGTTGATCCTACCCATGAACCCTACAGTTATTGAATTTTCAGTGTAGACCATGCAAAATCATAAATTACCAATTTGATTCATCATAATTACCCAGCAAACAATGTACCACAGGATATAAAAGGATCTGACCAATTATAGCAAGCATCTAAATGTATTAGAGAAACATTGGGGCCAATTCGTCAGCGCAATGATGAGAGCAGTTTCTTTCAGACTGCCGTAATAAAAGCGTAGATTATGTACATGTAGATGATGGAAACCTAAGACAACAAACAATTCTGAATTTTATGAGTAATGAAAAGACATTACTATGAGCGACACCTGCTGGTACAAATCATTTTTATGTGAAAGAAAACTGATGGTAAATTACAACAGGCATTTATAATATTAGCATTTACTGTATTGTGAATGTGAAGAGTTGGGATTAGTCTGAGGTTGACATACTTTTGCTAGGAGACGTTGCAGGTTTTCTTTGCCCATGTATGATGCCTGCTCATTGATCGTTTGCTCCGCCCTCTGGAGAGTGTTACTTAGGTAACTGCGACAGTTCTGAAACTTCTTCAGCAGCTCCATCAGAACCGTGCACTGCTCTTGTCTGTCAAATACACAAACAAACAAATTGGGTTTTCATATTTTATGGGGACATTACATAGACATAATGATTTTTATGATTGTTCATGGGGAACAAAAAAACATGATTAAACCTCTTGGTTTTTATGGAATTATTTTTATATACATTTTTATTTTATCTCTTTATGCACGATTTGAAGTGCTAATGAAAAATATCTTCTAAAAATCTGTCTTAATTCGTTTGGAAGTACATGAAGGTGAGTGAATAACTAACCCTATAAGGGCAGAAAAATGGGCAAATTTGATTAATTTAATTTTCTTGTCTAGAACCCACCTGTCAGATACAGCTTTCTCAGTCTCTTCCCAAAGAAAGTCCAGCTCTTCGTCTGCTAGATCAGGGTCCTCTTTCTGCTTCTTGATGCTTTGGTATTCAGGGCGAAGAGAGTTCAAATGTGATTCCAGATCGGACAGCGCTCGAATCCTAAACACAGATGCACACAGTGTAATTGGACAGTCTGTTAAAAAGAGGTGGCTATGGATCAATTAAATTGCTTAAGTAATTATATTATAATCACATGCTGATTAATTAATAAAATTAAGCTCAATTAACACTAAATCAATATTTGTTAAGCCCAAATAAAGACAATTCCAAGACACACTTGCACACAAAAGCATGAAACAATGTCAATACCGGTGCTGTACAGCTGGCATGGTTGGATCCTTTAGACCTTGTTTTTCTGCTGCCCCCTGCACCTTTCTCAGCTCAGCCTGCATAGTCTTCCTCCTCAGGCCGAGTCCCTGGTTCTGCTGTTCCTTCTGGAGCTCATTCTGTCGAATCATCAGACGATCATCTGCCTCTTCCACCCTGTGAACCAGGACGCCGACCATATCCAGACAGGAAACAGGGCTCCCGTCCTGGGTCACCTCGAGTTGTGCTCCGCCCAAAAGCTGGTCCAGCTGTGGAGCCTTATCCTTAAGGCTGCTGACTCCCTTCCTGATTAGTGCCAGCTTAGACCTGCTGTCCTGCAGTACCACATGATCATTGCTAGGGGCACTCTGCACAGAAGAGACATCGAGCTCCACGGTCTGCAGGGACATAAGGAAGCGGTCGAGGGCTCGGGCAGCAGCGTCGCTCTTGCGCACTTGTTGCCTGAGACGGTCCAGGCTGGATCTGTGGCTCAGAACCACTTGAGTCAGAGGTGATCGGTCTCGCAGGTCCAGATGACTGGGTTCAGAGTCAAATCGAGACAGACGATCCATCTCTATCTGGATGCTTTCATCTAGGTCCTGAAAATGGTAGAAAAGGGAGGACGAGGTAGATATTTAGATAAAAAGATCTTAACATGCAGTGACATTGCTACGGGATCTATTACGTCCAACTTCCATTTCTCTCAGATTTTATTATATTTAAATAGTAATTGCACAAAACACTGATAGATGATTCGCATGGGGAAGACTTGTTTTACCAACGTTTATGTTACATCAGACTGCAGCAGCCTATCGAGAGAGGCCCTTTGGTGACGGTTTAATGGGCGTCACACTCCTGCAGAACAAGCCTGGCCTAGCCCTATAAATATAGCTTGATGGGGTGATATAACTGATTTTTCATCTCTTCAGCACAGCTAACGCATCACTGGATCCGGAGTGAGAAGCCGCGGCGTTAAAATACCCTTCTGTGGGACGAGCCTCTGCATCTGAAGCCGCTGGCCTTCATCTCGCCGCCTTCAGTCACCGTTCTATATCCTTTATACTCTGCATAAGTGTATGTTTGCTGCTGTGACTCACACTTTTTTCTCTAAAAGAGCTGGCGTCTTTTTAAAGATGCCATCCTCCTGTGGCTCGTGTTGAGGTCCACTCATCGACAGGGACCGCCATTGCCGTCTGCAGTTTTGCTCCTGCTTCAGGTGTTGGAACGAATCAGGGAAACCGGATGCTAAGTGATTCTTGTGGCTCCGCTCTGGACAGACCAAGCCTGGTTCCCAGTCCTGATGCAGCTGACGAGCACTGCCCCATGGCCAATACCGTTGAGGAAAGACCCCCTCTCTCAGGCCAAGGGCTCGATTTGGCATCCTCAACTGGAGCTGTGGTCCCTGCACGCATGAGCCATCAACGGGTACCCGCAAACCTCCCCGAGGGAGTGTTAAATACGATCACACAGGCTAGAGCGTCATCAACTAGACGACTCTATGCCTCAAAGTGGTCAGTGTTTGGCCTGAATCAATATCGGCCAGTGAGGCGGCGGAGTGACAGAAGTGCTCTCCTTCCTGCAACTGGATAAGGGCAGAACCCCATCCATGCTCAAAGTCTATGTGGCGGCCATAGCTGCGTTTACAAAGCCCACGATTGGCCTGTCACTGGGGAAAAACGATCTGGTCATCCGCTTCCTAAAAGGAGCCAAGAGGTTGAATCCTCCCAGATCCTCCTCAATCCCCATGTGGGACCTTTCCACGCTTCTGGAAGCCATGAAAGGTGCCCCGTTTGAGCCAATCCAGATGTCGCATATGAAACACCTGTCATTCAAAACAGTGTTTCTTATTGCTCTCGCTTCAGTAAAGCGCATAGGGGATTTACAAGCACTCTCGGTGAGCTTGACATGTTTAAAATTTCGGCCAAATGACTCGAAAGTCATACTCAAAGTTATGAGCAGTTATGAGCCTAAATCCCTCAACACACCGTTCATGGCCCCGGTTATTTCCCTGTCCGCCCAGCCGGTTTATAACGAGGAGATAAATGCGAGTCTCGTTTGCCCAGTCAGGGCATTAAGAGCCTACGTGTCTCGCTCGTACTTTTTCAGACAGACTGAGCGGCTTTTTGTTTCGGTCAGCGGTCTTGCTAAGGGCCTAGCCGCATCGAAACAGAGCCTATACAGATGGATAGTTGATGCCATTGCGCTGACATACACGTCAAAGGGCCTCAAGTGCCCTTTAGGTGTTAGAGCGCACTCCACTTGAGGTATGGCCTCGTCGTGGGCTTGGTCTAGCTGGATTACCTTACAGGATATCTGTATGGCGCCAGGCTGGGCCTCCCCATCTACATTTATAAGGTTTTATAACCTAGAGGTTCCCGCCTTACAGGCTAAACTATTGTCGGTATAAAATCGAGTTATGTCTGACCCGCTGCTTCGGCGCAGAATACTACAATCGCTTGAGCACAGTTCGCTGACCGATAAAAATGTTCCCCGTGGGTAAAAATAATACCCTTACTGTTACTCAGTTCAGGCCGAACGTTTTCACCCTGACTGTATGTGACACTGTTATAGTGATTAGGTCCTTTGGAATGCTAACTTTTTGGGAAGCATAAGATATTACGCAGTACGAGAGAACCTCTCGTAAAAGAACATACTCATTTACTAACGAAGCTTCGGTTCTCTCTAGAAGAGGGAACGAGTACTGCGTATCTTACTGTGCCTGCAGCACTCTGGTTCACTTTGGCAATGAAAAAACAGTTATATCAGCGCATCGAGCTACATTTATTGGGCTAGGCTACTCCCGCTTCACGGGAGAGTGTCGAAGTGGGAGCGAAGTGCCGCCATTGGACCGTCACCAAAGGGCCTCTTCGATAGGCTGCTGCAGTTGCCGCAGGACAGCCAATAGGCACGCCTTACCTATGTCTGCATGCTGCCACAATGCGTTTTACATTAATTCAAAATTAAGGATAATTTTTGGCTTCAATATCTCGTGGAAAAGAGGTTTTCCCCTAGCGTGAGATATTACGCAGTACGAGAGAACCTCTTCTAGAGAGAATGATGTTTGCGATAACGCCGTCAATAACGTGTTTAACTGACAGCCCTAGAATAAATGCTATAAATAAATTAGAGTGACAGATAATAAAACTAACTACATTAAAGGGTTAGTTCACCCAAAAATGAAAATTAAGTCATTAATTACTCACCCCCATGCTGTACCAACCCCGTAAGACCTTCGTTCATCTTCGGAACACAAATGAAGATATTTTTGATTAAATTTGAGAGCTGTATAACTACCACATAGACTTCCGGGACTGGCTCTTGACGGCCCAGAAAGTCAATGAAGAAAATGTTTAAATATTCCATGTGACTACAGTGGCTCAACTATAAGTTTATCAAGCGACGAGACTACTTTTTGTGCGAAAAAACAAACAAAAATAACGACTTTATTCGACTTTTCCTTTTCTTCCTTGTTGGCCTGAAACGAGACTTCCATACGATTTCCACGACGCATGCATGAGAACTGAACTGAAGTAGTGTAAGGAGATCGCAATTCTCGTGGAAATCTAAGGAAGTCTCGTTTCAGGCCAACAAGGAAGAAAAGGAAAAGTCGAATAAAGTCGTTATTTTTGTTTGCTTTTTCGCACAAAAAGTATTCTCGTCGCTTGATAAACTTATAGTTGAGCCACTGTAGGCACATGGAATATTTAAACATTTTCTTCATTGACTTTCTGGGCCGTCAAGAGCCAGTCCCAGAAGTATATGTGGTAGTTATACAGCTCTCAAATTTAATCAAAAATATCTTCATTTGTGTTCCGAAGATGAACGATAGTCTTGCGGGGTTGGAACAGCATGGGGGTGAGTAATTAATGACTTAATTTTCAGTTTTGGGTGAACTAACCCTTTAACAAAACAAAATATAACCATAAATAAGAATGATAAATTAATAAATAAAAATGTCTCTCACCTTCACATCTTTCAGAATGACAGGGTTAGCTAGTGTATATCCTTTAATGTCTTTGGGCTCTTTAATGAACTTCTCCAGCCTTTCAGAAAACTCCGAGATTTTCAGCGTAATGGAGTCCATGAGCTCGAGTGCTGCTCCAAGTGAATCCACCCTGACAGAGAGCATAGACTTATTTTAACAAACAACACAATGTGCATACAGACAGTCTGGCTACAGGACATTTTCTCTGGAACTCTTTGATTTGAGTGGATCATATGATCATTCGGGTGACACTGGGTGAAAGAACAAAATAGAAGCTGTAATAGTGGTGTTATGTGAATATTTATTTCAGCTAACTAGTTTAAAGCTTAGCTTATACTGCTTTGAAAGATGAAAGTAATGCAATGTCTGAACACACAAACTTTCATATGACAGGGTTGTTTTCTTGATGCACACACATACTGTACCTGCCCTGTAACTGTGACCTCTGCTCTCTCCACCTGACAGTAAGCTCCATTCGGTCTTGCTCAACAGATCGTTCGTTGAATTGAACACATTTCGTACACAGTGTTTCATACTCCTTCCACAAAGTCTCCGTCTCGTCCCACAGAGACTAAAACAAAAAAGACAGGGGGTAAATTTAGTGATTTTTATATCAAATCCGCATAATATCAAATCACTTTAAAACTAAACAAAACAGTGCATTACCTTTAATTCTCTTAGTCTTTTCTGCAGGTCTGTGGGAGTGACTGATTCTGAGGGACGATCTCCCAGCATGCATTGCTCATTTCTGTTTAGCTGAGCTTGTAATGCAAATCTGGAGCTGCGGTACCTGAGCAATCCAAGAAAAAGAAGATGTAAACCATAAGAATCTGACACAATATCACACACACAACCATATACAGAAACATAAACAATATTCTCTTTTTATCAATACCTGTCCTCTTCTGTACTCGTTTGTTTCACTATCTCCCTCTTCTCCACAGTTCTCGGTCGCTGGGGGCTAACCGGTGAACCAGCCTAAAGCAATATCCCCCAGACACAAAATGCACCAATATATATTTATCAGGGACAAACTTTATTATAAAAAAAGAAAACCTATGTCCAAACACTATTAATATAACTGTACCTCTGAACTAACTTCTTTGGGCTTCTCAGCTGGTGGTGAGGCTGTAAGTGCTTTCTGAGGGGATGGCTCAGGGGTTTGCTCTGTTTGTGAACTATTAGGCATTTAAAAAAAATGTTTTAATGGCAAAATGTTTTTATCATACAAAAATAACATATGGGAGAGGCTCTTTCCCCTCCTTTTACCCAGTGTCCGGAGGAGGTGTATCTCTGTCTCCACTAAACTGCCGCTGGATGGCAGCAAGCCGTCTCTCACATTCTCTGAGTTGGGCTTGTGCGAGCCTGTGTGCGTCCTCAGGGCTCAGAGTATCACACAACTCCTTTAGAGCTTCAAGCTGCTGCCCTGCCTCTGCCAGACTGCCCTCTGCTGAAAAACAGGCCTGCAGAAAGCAGGAAAAAAACTGTATCACTAAACTTGTATCACAGAAGGATTATTTTGTCATTTAACATTTTTATTTAAAGTGCCCCATGATGCTTTTTTTGAATATTACCTTTCATTCAGTGTATTATATAGCTGTCTGTGAATGTAAACGATCTGCAAAGTTGTGAAACCGAAAGTGCACAATAAATAAAACAATTGTTTCTCAGAAAAAAAGAATTGACTCTAAACTCTAAATTTTAGTAAGCTTACAGAGCTGAAGTTAAATTATGGTAATAAAGATTTCATTTCCGACACACGTTTTAAGTAGACCAATCACAACTGACTGGGTCATCAGGCTAATCATAGCAGAGTAGCTCACAGAAAGGAGGTATTTAGAGAGACTGAATCACCGGACGAGTCGTTTGAGAATAATTGAAAAATGTAGGGATATAGTGCATTATATTATGAGAAAATTAAAGTTTTTTGACCTTTGATGCATGTAAACCGGTTGTAGGAGACCTTTAAAACAAAATTATTATAGGATTAGAAACCTTTAAAATAGCATTATAGGGGCACTTTAATGCTGCTACTTTGTTGTAAGCTCTTTTTTTGTTTTAATTGGGCAGTATTTTTTTGTTGCCTTGTAATACAAATGATGTCATGCCAAATGAGTGAGTAGCAATGTGGTTAAGAGAAATGTAGGGATTAATGGAACCCAAATTAAAAGTTTAATTAAAAAAATGAAAGGAGGAAATAAAATGTAAAGAAAGAGAGAAATTTCCCATTTGATCATATGATGTTCATGCTCTGTGGTAAGTAAGTTTACCTCTCCCTTTGATTCCGATATTGATTCAGGCCTAAGCCTGAGTTTATCCCTCTTAAAGTGCATCTCACATATCTCAACCATTCGGTTAAAATGCAGGCGGGTTAGCTCAAATCTTAGTTGCCTCAAAAATTCTGATATTTGCTCTCGAACAGCCTAAAAATATTAATTAAATAAGATAAACACACAACACACAAAAGGACACACAATCTCTTAATGTTTGAGTTAGTTTAACTTCACATACAGTTCAATATACTGTCAAGCATTTCAGTTAAACAGTCTCTAAGGGGCCTGTTACACCTAGCCACTTCATGCGTTTTCTCAGATCGGACAGCTATCTGATTTATCAAAACGGATATAAATCTGATCTTCAATTCCCGCGCTATATGCGGATTTAATGACGTGCACGTCACCGAAAGCAACAGATATGAGCTGCATTTTATTGATCATTGACTAATTTCAAAATCAGCAAAGACAGCAATAAGAGAGACTGGCAACAGAACTGGTAAGATCATTCCGTTTCTTTACTTTTAATGAAGATGGTTGTGTTAATCGTCTGCGACTTACTTTCACTTTGATTTGCGATAGATTGCGGCGTGTTGGCTTGATGGGCGTTCAGCTGCTCATCTGAGGTGATGCGTGTCGCAGTAGCGTCGTCATATCTGACTAAAATAGCAAGACATATAGCCTATAACACGCTCTCACGCGTTTATTTTTAGCATTTTTGGGAGTAGTAACATTTACATATGTGGTTTCAAGAACCAGATGCATTTACACTTGTCCAGTTTCGTCTGGAATGCGGCCCAGACCACCTTCTGAAGTGGTTTGAGCGATCGGATTCAAATCCGTCTCGAATGCTTTTCGGGGGGCATTTACACCTGATCTTTACACGATCGGATAGCTATCTGATCACAGAAAACGCATGAAGTGGCCAGGTGTAAACGGCCCCTAAAATAAAAATGGTTAATAACATTGCAATACAGTCACACTGCAAATATAGACACACAAGCACCAATATTACTACGCATATACCTTCCACTGTGTTCTGACAGATTGTGTGAAAAACTCCATGTCTCTAAGTTCAGATGGGGTGCAGAAAGCTTCCATCCCTTCTGCAGCCCTCAAGAACTCTTCAAGGAGTTCAGGGTCCAGAGTCCGAAGCGTCTCCTGAAAACAAAAAAAAAACAACACAGATACTTGAGAAACTGAGACATGTTATTCTCTTATAAAAGACCCAAGCACAACAGTACATTTTCATGAAATTTGGCTTTTTGGCTCTTGAAAACACAAGAGGAAAACAAGCAAAACAAGTCATGTGTAAAAGGACATACCTCCTTAACTGATGCCTGTTCGTCTGTTATTCGCTTATCCTTGAATACATTGATAGCTTCGAGAATGTGCTCTTGAAGACAGTGCTTGGCTTCCTCAAATCTATTCCTAACCAGGGCCTGTGCCTTTATATAAGCCTCAGTATAGGCTTTAGGGGGAGCCTGGGCAAGTGCTGGCTGCTTAACCCGAGGAGCTGACTGCTGTTGGGGCGGTTCCTGTACTGGTAACTGAGGTTTTGTCAGATCTTGGGACTGAGGCTCTGTCTGAGCAGCTTGACTTTGGATGAGAGTTTCAGATGGGGCCTCTATCCTGGATGAACCACACTTCTGCTGACTTTGCTGAGGCTGCTGTGGACTCTGAGATCTTATGGGAGTTTGAGCCGGTGGCTGATTCCATGGAGCTACTGGCTGGAGAACACTATGAGACATAGTCTGGGAAGAGACTTGAAACTGATTTTCTGGTCGGACTGGACCCCACTGCCGTTGAGGACTTTGTGCTCTCGTAAGGGCTTGATATTGGGGCTGAGGATATGGTCCATGCCCTTGAGATTCAACCTTTGGGTATACTGGGCTGACTCTCTCTGGACTGACAGGTCTCCATTGCTGAGAGGGAACCATATGCTGTGCTGGATGTTGGGGTCTTATCTGTGATTGATCCCAAGGTGATACTGGTCTAGCAGGGGGCCACTGCTGAGGCTGTGGTTGCGGCTGAGTTTTAGGGTAAACTGCCATTTGAGATTGAGTTTGGACTTTCTGACCTGAAAATTCAACAGTGGAGTAGGTCTGGGGCACTATACCTGGTCTTATTGTTGACCACTGCTTAGGTTGAGATGGAGGGACACTTTGAGGCTGGGGATGAGTTTGGAAATGGGCCAGAGGCTGCATTTGGGCAGCAACAGAAATTGGTCCATGGACTTTGGGGTAAGTTTGGGAGACATCTCCTGGTTGATACCACTGTGGTTGCCCGTGTGGTTGAATCATAAGTGGTGCACTTCCCTGTGCTTCGACCTGAGTTTGGGATTGAGATTGAACAGGCATCTGGGGTCGAGGCATAGAGATGATTCTGGGTTGTATGGAGGATGCACCTTTGTTCTGAGGGGAAATTACAGTCGGATTGTGCAGTGTGGGTTGCTGGGTCTGCACTACACTATGTGGTGACTGTTGTCTCTGCATAATTACTTGTGGTTGAATAGGATATGTTGGGTACTGCTGCCCTGGACTGGAAATGCCTTGAGGCATTGTTTGCGTCACTGGAAATCTTTGTGGTTGCGGCAGTGCAGGATGAGATTGTGGAAAAGTCTGTAGTGGCTGCCATTGTGGTTGCATGGGAGTCATGGATTGAGGTTGTGCCTGTTTCAGGGTAATCACTTGAGGTTGCTGTGGTGTCAATATCGGTGTTTGAGGTTGCTTTTGTTGCTGAATAGGTGCAGTTGCTTGTGAGTATTGTGTAGTTGCTTGTGCTTGAGTTGATATATAGGGTTGAGGTGGATGTTGGGTTAATACTTGTTGACTAATCAGTGGGGACACACACTGTTGTGGTTGTTTTTGAATCACTGGTTGTGCTGCAACTGCTGGCACAGTTAGAGGTAGTTTTTGTGTCACTATAAGGGGTTCCTCTTGTGCAAAAGGCTGAGCTTGCTTCATGCGTTTCTCACCACTCTCAACAATGCTTTTAGACTGTGTTGTCACCATGCCATGAACAGGTCCCTGAGCTTCAGGTGAGCTAACAGCCACTATATGTTGTGGTGGGGCTTGAGGACTTATTTGACCCTTGTCCTCTGGCTCTGATTGAGATTGTGGCACCAGTTGAGCTGGTTTTTGGGTAACATTTTCCAGTTGACTCCTCTGTTGAAGCCATGGTCTGTTTTGCAGATTTGCCTGGGATTTTTTTGCTTTCCTCTTCTGCTTTGGAGCTTGATGTTGACATGTAATATCTTTCTGTGATTGTGTTTCTAATTGGCCCTGAGGCTGTGACTGGATTGCCGTTTGAGCTTGAACCTTCTGCTGTTTTGTAAGTTGAGTTGTTTCTTGTTTTTGGATGTGCACGTGTGGCTGTGTTTCTAATTGTTGTTCATTAAGAACTTGTGATGCTGCTTTTTGCAGGTTATGTGAGGGATGGCTAGCAATTGGAGCCTGCATCTTCCACTGGTTGTCTGTCTGTTTTTGTGTCTCAGACTGTGGTAAAGATGTCTGGCTTTCAACATGATGCTCTTTGATTTTTGCTTGAGCTTGGACACATTTCTGTGCCTTCACTTCAATGGACTGAGAGCCTTTCACTTGCTCAACAGACTGAGAGTCTTTCACTTGCTCACAGGGGTGCATTTGGGGTTGTGGACTCCTGTTTTCTTCTTCAAAATCTTGTACAACAATCATAGGCACAGGCTGACTATATGGCTGGCTCTTGAGATCTACAGCTTGAGAAGGTACTCCTGATGGTTTCTGAGAAGGTACTGGGACTTTTGCTCTGACTGCAGGCTGGGGTTCAGTTTGGCTAGGGGCTCCTGAAGCAGAGATAGGCTGGGAGGAGAGCTTCTCGGTTTTGGACTCTTCCTCTGCCTCCTGATATTGGACAAAAATTTTGGAAGGGGGCTGGTCTCCAACAGGGCTTCTGTCTCTGCAAGACCCCAAAGAGCTAAGCATGCCTACGGCTTCCTGTAGAGGTTTAACAAAATTTTAAAATAATAATGCATTTGCATACAATTCTAAAACATGGTTATTCATTCCTTGGCATTACACCGCGTTCCAAATTATTATGCAAATTGGAAATAAGTGTCATAAAAATGTAATATTTAGTTTTTCAATCAAACTCATGGAAAGTATTGTCTCCAAGTTCTTTGGATCACGGAAAAAAATCTCAGACACCTGTGATAAGTAGTTTGCAAGGTGAGCCCAATTAAAGGAAAACTACTTAAGAAGGATGTTCCACATTATTAAGCAGGCCACAGGTTTTAAGCAATATGGGAAAGAAAAAGGGTCTCTCTGTTGCGGAAAAGAGTTAAATAGTGCAGTGCCTTGGACAAGGTATGGAAACTTTAGATATTTCACGAAAATTTAAGCGTGATCAATGTACTGTGAAGAGATTTGTGGCTGATTCAGAGTACAGATGGGTTTGTACAGAAAAAGGCATAATGAGGAAGGTTACTGCCAGACAAATGCATCGGATTTAGGAGAGCACTGCTATAATGCCATTACAAAGCAGCAAACATGTATTTGAAGATGCTGGGGCCTCTGGAGTCCCGCAAACCTCAAGGTGTAGCATCCTCCAGGGCTTGCAGTTGTACATAAATCTACTATTCTGCCACCCCTAACCAATGCTTACAAGCTGAAATGGTTGCAGTGGGCCCAGAAATACATGAAGACTAATTTTTAAACAGTCTTGCTTACTGATGAGTGCCGTGCAACCCTGGATGGCGCAGATGGATGGAGTAGTGGATGGTTGGTGGATGGCCACCATGTCCCAATAAGGCTGCGACGTCAGAAAGGAGGAGGCGGAGTCATGTTTTGGGCCGGAATCATGGGGAGAGAGCTGGTAGGCCACTTTAGGGTCCCTGAAGGTGTGAAAATGCCCTCTGCAATGCATCCAGAGTTTCTGACTGTCTTCTTCTCACTTTCTTCCATGGTACAAAAAGAAGAACCATGCCTTCCATAGCAAAATTATTGTCATTCATGACAATGCACCATCTCATGCTGCAAAAAATAATTCTGTGTCATTGGCTGCTATGGGCAAAAAGGGAGATAAACTCTTGGTTTGGCCCCCACACTGACTTCAACCCTATTGAGAACCTTTGGAGCATCCTCAAGCAAAAGACCTCTGGAAGGCTATTCTGACATCCTGCAAAGATTTTGAAGCAGAAATCTCCATAAACTCCCAACTTCAATGGATACAGGAATTGTGAAGGTCATATCAAAGAAGAGGTCTTAGGTTAACATGTAACGTGCCCTGTTAAGATGAGTTTGATTGAAATAGCTTTTGATTTCAGTAAATTTGACCTCCTAATGCTGCAAATTCATCATATTACCATTTTCAGTTCTTTACAACCAATAAAATGTTTTCAAACTCTTTTGTGCATAATAATTTGGAACAGTGCATTTTGAGTTTTTTATTTTTTCAAAAAATACTGTTTTCGTTGGGTGTTTTGTTCTATGAAATTCAACTTATACCCTAGTGGTTGGTGACTGGAAAATTATACTGACTGTCATTTGCATTGACTATTTAGGAAAATCAGTGTAAAATATCATTTGCATAATAATTTGGAACGCGGTGTATATGAAATTAACAGAAAACATCATTTATGGCACAATTGATAATTACTGAAAGAGCGATTTCAATGCTGTATATTATCTTTCAAATTAATATTGTATATTGTGCTGTTATCTTTTTAAAATGTTCTAAATATAAAAGCGATAGACAGACCTGTGACTTTTCAACCACAGAGCGGACCCTGTCCTGCATGGTGGATGCAATGAGATACTGCAGTGGTGAAGTCTTCTGACCAGTCATGACCATCACCTGCAGATCCTGATCTTCCATAACCACTTGACCCTCTAACTGTAGCCCTCTCGAAATTAACAACTACAGGAAAATAGAGAATTTATTTCAATTCAGCCAAGTAATGAGATATAGCGAGAATAGAGGGAGAATTAATGAATATTTTGCGTCATACACTTGTATGCTCACCCGGGCTCTAGGGTCTTGACCTCTCTTCTGCCTGTGTGTTTCCTCCTTCAGGAGCTGATACAGCTCTCTGGCTTCCATCTCCCAGTGTAACAGTTCAGCTAGACGCCCATCCAACCCACTCACACTCACACGCAGCTCATCGCACACCTGTTCAGCCTCACAGAGTGTCTGCAATACCTATTTATACAGGGATAGATATAGATACATAAACAAATAAAAAAGAAAATAAATAAGAAATTAATACAAGCATGAGAAAAGATCATAATTAGAGTTAGATTAACCCTCTGGGGTCTAAGGTGTTTTTGGGGTCTTTGAGATATTTTGACATGCCCTGACATTTATGCATTTTCAGTTGCTTATAAACGTATTAATGGCAAAGGTGAAATTACACTCTATTTAGCACAAACAGGGCTACCATAATATGTGAGCAACATGTATGTACATGTTTGCATATTTAAGAGAATATTGTTTATGGATGGTTTTTGAAAAAAAAAAATTAAGCTGGATCCATTGCTCCTCGAAATGAAACTACCAGCACTTCTGAGGTAACTTTTCCATTATTCCTCAGAGCGCAGCAAGACGAGGTAAAGTACAAGATTCTTAGTAAACTGGATGTTTTATCCAGCTGATGTGGAAGTTTTCATGGCTTACATCAACATTTGCGTTTGAATAGCGTGCGCTCTAAGTGGGCGTGGTCACATTAACATGTCATATGGTATAATTAGCTGAAAGGAAGAAGACTTGACATCAGTTTTAATACAGATTACATAAAGAGAGAATATTTGTTTTTTATATGAATTACTTAATTTAAAAGAAAAGAATTTCAGCTTCATAATGAAAAATATTTTGTGCCTGCATGACAAGTATTTTCTTAGCTACAGTTAATTTTCAGACGCGTTTCAGAATGAACTTCACTGACAAAGAGAACGCAAAATTCACATCATGTTTATTTATTTGACAAAAAGCACAACACTTTGTTTTTATTGTGAGTATCTACAAAAAATAGACGCTTAAAAAGACCTAATGATGTACAACACTTATAAGTAAGATCAAAATTTGATTACACTTAAAGAGTAATTTGAGTCTCTTTTGCACTGATAAGCCGGCACGATAGCCGATCCCAGAGGGTTAACATATTTTAAAAACAGGATGATCTGCTAATATTCTCGGGTCCTGTATAATTTGATAGTAAACTGATTTTACAATCACCCAAGGGCCACCAAAAGCAATGAATTTGCTTACCTCAGGAATGGCCTGCAGAAGTTTGCTCAGGGTTTCTGGAGAGCAGTCTAGAGATGGGGAGAGGGCTTCTAGATCCACATCCTTTATTTTCTTCATCATAAGCTGGGAGAAAAAACTATTTGAAGCTAAATCCTTCTTAGTCTAGTCTTACATTTAGAAATCAAAAAGGTAAAAGTAACATAAGCACAAATAGCTACTACAAAAAATGGCAGTTCATATATTGTATGCTGTTATTTATGCGTGAGTGGGTGCATAAGAGTTTGATCACACACTACGTACCTGTAGTCTCTTTGTATAAGTACGTAGCGATCCAGAAACCACATCCACAGGTTCTTTCAGTAACTGAGTAGTCTCCCTCATGAGGGCCTGAACAGTCTGAGGACTAGATTGGCCAGCACTGGGCTCCTCAGCCAAAGACTGAAATATACAATTTGGTTTAAAACACTATTAAAAAAGTTGCATTCATAGCTTTACCATCCAATCTGTGTTAACCTATTTTATATTTGTAGAAGCAAACAAGTTAGTAGATTCTCTGTCCAACACAATCGAACAAAACAACTCATTGTCCTAAGTCAAGGTAAGTGCACATTTTTCAATACTTTACTTTTGAATATGTTTTGTACATAGACTATTCAAATTTGAACATGATGGGTGACTCACAAACTGCGCTGTTTTAGCAAAGTCAGCCCAGAGCAGATTTATCTTGCAGAGTTCGTCTGAAATAGCGCGGCTAGTCTGCGGGTCTGTGACCTCAGTCAGGAAGTTGGCCACCTCGTTCAGGTGAGCTTGCCGAGAACTCCACTCTGACATCACTGACAATGTCACCTAAAAATAAAAAATTCAATGGATAGGCATGTTTTTATTCCAATAAACGGAAAAAACCCTCACAAACAGCTATTAAAATACTTAAGGTTTTTCTGCCCAGTACATTTTTTTATAGCATTTAAAACTACAATAGAAAAGTAAATTAAATGTTTTTGTTTGTGTGTACCTCTGTTCCCTGTCCAAGTCGCTGACTATGTGGACCCTGCTCCAGCCATGCGCGCATTGAGGTATAGATATCACTGTAAGAGTCCCATGCTGCCAACACACGTCCCATAGTTCCCCTCATCATCCGTATACCTTCCAGAGTTGCCGTCACATCTGCCTCTATATCAGCCACCTGGCGATTTACCTGTGTAGAGTCTCCAGCTAAAGCAGACATCAGCTTATCAATAATTATTGATTAACAAAAACACTTTCTAAAAAATGCCATTTCATTGTCACATTTATTTATACTGTAATTGCTATGCACACACACACACACAGTTTCTTTGTATTACCCAAGGCAGCCTTGCTGGTGTATTTGTTAGCAATTTGTTTAAATCTGTGGAGGGCTCCATCCAACAAAGAGGTTAAGTCCTGTTTGTTCACCGTCTCCTAAAAACATTAATTGTGACAAAATTTTAAAGCTTCAATGATTTCAATATTTTAATGTAATAGCAAAGTAATGCCCAGCAGCAAATACACTCTTAGCCTTCTGTCTTTTCACTTACATTCCAGTCTTGCATTAGCACACGTACAGACTCCTGGGAAATGTAGGCTCTTTTCCAAGTACGCAGTTTAATTTTGAGTTGATTCAGCAGGTCTAACACTGTGTGTCTGCGCTCATGGTACTCCAGTTTAATACCATGATATTTAGCTGTTACACGGACACTGGTGAACCTGAAAATGGACACGAACGCAAAATAATTAAAAGCAGTTTACTGCTGTTCATGAAACGATAACAGAAATATTGTTATTAAAAGTAATGTTGTTTCATTCCCAGTAGGATTCATATCTGATTAAGCAGTCAAACTCACCTTCTCTTCATCTCTTCCATCTTGTCTGTCGGCACCAGTGTCTCTCCAAACTCATTTGTGTTTTGAAACATATTAAACCTCTTGATGTGATGTGACATCTCCTCCAAACACACCTGCAAAATTGTGGCACAAATATGACATCAATTACATTTTCATGAATGAACAGCTCTATAGCATAATAAAATTAACATATGGAAGTCAGTCAAACCTTTAGTAGATCGAGTTTCTCACGGGCCTCCTCCGCAGCTCGAGCATGATCCATTCGCTCGCCCTCTTCGGCAGATAAAACCTCTTCAATACGCAACAACCAGCGGCCCACAACGTCCAGTGGAGATGGGAGACTCAGGTCCAGCTCTGTTTTATACTCGCGCAGCTACCAAATACACATATATCAGTGCAAATCAATTAGCAAACGACTTCTTAGTATTTCTACACACTATGAAGCTTGTTCATCCATTTAAATGGCACACATTTAGACATACTGTATATATTCATTATTTTTTTAGTTTTCAATTGAGTCTAATGAATCTCCGCACATTGAATAATCAAATAAAACCCATCCGATATCAACACAACAGAATTTTTTTGTGATGCTGTGAACCCTAACCTTCTCAGCAAGAGTGTCCCATGCTCGTCTGAGGGCTTTCTGCTCTACACTGAGCTGAGGTGTCCTCTTCATCGCTGTTAGTAACGGCATTACGGGGCGCCTCTGCTCGTTGAAGGACACAATGAAGGTGTGGAAGACCTGAAACAATGTAAATAAACATTAATGCAACAAATCAACAACAGAAGTAAAACATCATGTACAACAAAGCCAATGTAAATCTAAAATGTGTTTATTATTTACCAGGATATTATAACTCAGTATTTCAACACAGTCAATGACACAATAGGTATTAGAAAACAATTCAGTAAATTATATATATATATATATATATATATATATATATATATATATATATATATATATATATATATATATATATTAGGGCTGTGCAAAAATTAATTGCGATTAATCTCATCCAAAATAAAAGTCTTTGTTTACATAATATATTTGTGTGTGCTGTATATAATTATTTTGTATATATAAATATTTATTCATGCATGTATATATTTAAGAATTATTTGCACTTAAATTCTGTGTATATATATATATATATATATATACATATATATATAAATACACAATCTATATTATATAAATATTTTATATACGAATAACACATTTTCTTAAATACCATACCATCTTCTTCCGCTCATTTTCTTAAATATGAGCGGAAAAGGGGGGTCCATTTTTTTTCTTTTTTTTTTCTTAAATATATACATGCATATGTGTGTATTTATATATAAAAAATAATTATATACAGCACACACAAATATATTATGTCAGACTTTTATTTTGGATGCGATTAATCGCAATTAATTTTTGCACAGCCCTAATATATATATGAACATGTAATACACATACACATGACGTCACCATTCTCTCAAATTCACATTTTTGCAGTTTACACAGAGATATAACGGTATCGTTTTCAAAAACTTGTACTATGAAACCCATTTTCAAAAGTTTGTGCTTTCAGGGCCCAAAAACGCTAAATGAACAGCCAAAACGCACCAAAAACTAACTAATCAAGCATTTTTAATGAAAAGTTTTTAGTTAAAACCGGTGTTGTATAAACGTCCCCTCAAACATTCATTGAAATTCAGGTCTTACTTGGTATCTTTCAGCATAGCTCTCTCCCTCTGTGGAGTCCCATCCCTCTATCAGCTCCTGATAGGCCTGATCCAACCAGCATGTGACCTCCTGAGCCTTCTGATTGGCTGAGGTCTGGACAGACAAAAAAAAAATGTTTTTTAAAAAAAAAAAGCACGAGTTAAATCATTTGCACTGCAAACTAAATGGTAAAGCAGTCAAAGTTTAGTATTGCAGTTCTCTACAGGAAGCAAGTTCTTAACACAAACCAACTTTCTCAGCATGTCTGTGATTAAAATGCTCAATTTTTACCAAGTACCATGAAAGCTAAAGTTCAGTGTATTCGAATATTCAAACACAAGAGGGGCTTTATTAATTGAATTATCTCCTTAATTTCAGAGATTTTCTCTGGTTTTAATGGATTAGCTCTGTAATTCCTGGGATTATCTTCATAATTGAGTTTATAGTCATCAGCGTGTTGATACATGCAAAACACTGGTATAAACACTGGTTACGGAGCATTAGAGGGGGTATTTTAAAAAGGGGAGAGGGGGGTTGATATTTTACCCCAGGGCCAGCTGCTCTAGCTGTATCAGGTGATTGGGGAGGGCCTGATTTGATTGGACAGGGCATTAACAGGTGAGCCTGATCAGAGAACATATCAAGTAAAACAGTTAAAAGTGGGCCAAGGCACTCTTCAGTCAAAATCAGTCAGTTTCAATCATTAGACCTAAAGGAAGACATAAACTTTTACTTACACATTATTTTACATTTTAACCCACAATCTTGATGATTTAAAAGAAGTATATAAACATGTGTTAACCACTTACAATAACAGTAGTGTATTCGCTCACAAAACAGGTTAAACAGGGCGGACAGAAGTTCAAATGAACCTTTCATGGAAAATTCTGAATAATCCTATCACTGAAAGCAAAAACAAACACACCTATACCAAACTAAAAGAGAAAAAGGAGTTAATGAATGAATCAAGCACCTAAAAATAACAGAGAGAGCGACAGAGAGATAGAAGTACCTGTCTTAGAGGTGACGCAGATATAGAGGGAGTAAAGTCTGATGGCAGATTGACAGGAGAGAGACGCTGAGGAGGAGTGAGATACTAAACCGCCATACAGAGGCGGAAAAAAAAGAAAGAAAAAGAGATAAAGAGATAAGAGAGCATAAAGAGTCATTTGAGCATTTAGATTTACAGTGTAAAATGTTGGAGGAATACAATCACTTGTTAATTATGATTGAATAAAAAAAGTCTCACAAATATAGTATTACATAAATCTAATTTCGAAAAAATTACGATTACGATTTATTAAATTGTGTTTGTGATTCAAAATTGTGATTTTTGTTTTATCTCGATTAATTGTGCAGCATAGTTAATCCTACTAAAGGAACAATTCAAGGAATAGTTGAAACATGAGAATAAATAAATAATGACAGAACAATCATTTTTGGTTGAACTTTTTCTTATGAGGACAGTGTTCACTAGTGAAACTGGTTCAAATGACAAAAGCCATCTGTAAAAGGTCAAATTTAGGGTATAGTAATTGTACACAGTGAAAAAAAGTCAACAAGAAATCTTCAAAAGTATACAAGAAAGTTTAAAAGTGTGTGTGTGTGTCTAACCTGCATTTCTTCATCAGAAACAGAAGTATCTTTAGAGTACTGTAGAAACTGAGCAACATAAGTCATTATAGACTTTTCATCAGGATCCCTAACATCAACATCTGAAATACAAATAAACCGCTGTTATATGATAATTTCATATAAAACAGAAGCACAAACGTATTACTCCGTTACACATACAAAACAAAACTGCACAGCATACAGTACATTTGCACTGCCCAAACACACACTTACCGGCTGGATCTAGTAGTCTGGGGATGTGAAGTTCTCTTTCAGCAACGTGGAAGGCTTCCTCCAGGTTCTGTCTGTTCGTTCTTGTTCGGGCTCTGGTTAGGTTCACTATGTTCGGCCTTAGAGCATGAAGTATAGCCAAAAATACAACGCCACTCCTCCAGCTCACCTTAAAGTCCTTCACATTCAGAGTACAACCAGCCCTGAAAAGACAGAAAAAGATGAATGGTTTTATAGTACAGAATCTCACAGTTCCCAAGAAACCCTTTCAGCAGGTTGTTCCTCACCTCTGGCACTGCTCTCTGACCCACAGCAGCAGGGCTTTCTTGGCAGATATACGGAAACGTGCGTGCAGGGGTGAACCACGGGGTGGCACTGGACTGCTGCGGGCACTGCTGCTGGTGGAACGAGAGTCCAAACTCGCCAGCGACTCCAGAGACGACTGACGAGAACTAAAGGACAATGTGCTGGCCAACTCTTCAATCTAAACAACGGAGAAGACCCATCAGAAAAATCATCCAACAAAACTGGCAATCTATCTAGGGGTTGATATAACCCAACACTTTTGTTACACTGAGACGGCAAACGTACATGAAAGTGCATGATGATGGTCCAGACCAGACCCAGAATGATGGAAGGCTTGCCGTCCATGATGTCCGAGACATTGATGTTGACCAGTTTGATCTGCAGGGTAAAGATGCTGATAAAGTTATAGATGTTGATATTAAACTTTCACACGGAAGTGAACTAAAACTAGGGCAAAGAAAAATTTGAAAAATGTAATTTTTCTTCAAAGCAGCAGACTATAATCTTTGTTTGTTAGACTATGATCTAACAAACAAAAATGTAGTTTCAACACAAATTAAGCTTTTTTTGTGCAATTTTAAACTGATTGAAAGCTCATTTAAGCACATTTCCATGAGTTTTTTCCAAGTGTGGCATCTTACCGATTTCCTCATAAGGAACGCTAGAGCTTTCTCAATGTTTGATCTGTGCTGAAATGTCCCCCTTCCTTTCTCCCGGCTCTGTAATGAAGGTTGGTTATGATTATTAGAAAATAAGGTGAGGGTGAAAGTTTTTGCTCATTAAGTTTTTGTAATAGATTCTTATATTTGCCAATATTTTGCCATTTTGAGATTATCGGTTTGCATCGGTTTGAAGATTGTGTGTACATATTGGGCGATGGCCATCTTGCACTCTAGTTATTGAAAAATCAGTTAATATGGTGAATATGAAGATGATGAAGATGATAATGAAGATATTTTGCAGAATGTCAGCAACCAGACAGTTGATGGACCCCATTTACTCCCATAGTAGGATACAAAAATACTATGGAATTCAATGGGGTCCATCTACTGTCTGGTTACTGACATTCTTCAAAATATCTTAATTTTGTGTTGAGCTAAGAAAGAAATTCATATAGGTTTGAAACAACTTGAGGGTGAGTAAATGACAGAATTTTCATTTGCAAGTGAACAATTCCTTTTACAACTATTGAACTAGTCACTTACCATTCTCTGACCACTCATCACCTCCAGCAGATCCAACAGTCTGCTTCCATCTCTGAATTCATTGAAAAGATCCAGCACAGTAACCGGAGGACTCCTCTGAGAGAGCAAAATGAAATATCCCATATTAAACACCAGAACGCACATAGTTTCATATTTAATGAAACTAGTCTCATAATTACACCACAGATCTCACCTCAGAATTAAGATATAAAATACATTTTGGCTGCCATCTTTGATCTTTTTATTTAATTTTTTTTTTTTGCATTGTGGCTTAAATGGGGCCAAATTTCCCCTCAAATCTACCCAAAACTTTTGGAATAAAATTGTATAGCTGGAATATTGTATAGTGTCCATTAGTATCAGTTTTGTTAGGTAACAGGAGTCAATGCTCACGGCCGATATTCAAATTATGTCTAGAGGACAAATCAGAGAAGCTTATGCAAACTCAACCTTTTCCATAAAACTGAGGGGAGACAGAAATGAGCATATGAAATGATCTGAAATGACACCTTGATGTCTCTTTTATGTGTGCACACATCCCGTTCATGCCTGTAGGACTCCAAGCCACGTCAAACTGATTGTGTCATTTGCTCACTTTATAAGTAGCCGTGGCTGTGAATACGTGTGTTCACAAGTGTGTGCGCTGACACAACTCCTGTTGCTGTCTGTCTTTCTGGGCCCAGTTTGAGAAGATTATATTTACCCCCTGCACACCCCTCATTCCCTCCCCGCTATTGGAGAACCTGCAGGAATGACCTCTACGAACAACACGTTCCATGTGCGTCATTTATCTGTAGTTTAGATGCAGTTTCCGAAGTGAAAAAGTCCTATGTGTTATTCGCAGTTAGTACAAAATATTAAAAATAATGCAAGTGAAGTTCATGACGATTCAGATAAACACTACATAGATTATTACTGATATAGATTTTTTAAGTCAAGATTATCTTTGAAGAACTTTCACCCTCACCTTAGACAGCTGGGCATTGATCCAGTTGGTGAAGGTTCTCTTCTGAATTTGTTCCTGTTCCACTGAGGACAGAACAGACAGGAGAAAAGCATGAACACCAGCATGTACAAACATAGTGAGCGAATACATTACACACATTACTCTAATACGCTGTGTTCATTTCATTTCAAACAATGTCTAAGAATAGATCTTATAAATGCATGAGCAAGAAATAGGTGCATTTGTATTCAACAATAACATTTATGTAAGGCATAATAACACTGGTCAGGTTTTTCAATTTCAGTTAATTGAATGTGTAGCACTTCGAATGTAAAAAAAACAAACATTTTAATCTGTAGAGGAAAGAAAATGTGTTTTTACACATACAGTACAATTTTTTAATTAATTTGTTCATTCATACAAACTTTTACGGTAACACTTTACAATAAGGTTCATTAATTAAACATTAGTTAATGTATCAACTAACATGAACTAACCTTATGAACTATTACTGATTTTGTTATTCTTTGTTAATGTTAGTTAGTTCATACAAATCCAGCTGTTCATTGTTTGTTCACAAATGTTAGTTCACAGTGCATTAACTAATGTTAACAAGATTTTAATAAAGTATTAGTAAATGTTGAAATTAACATTAAGAAAGATTAACAAATGCTGAAGAAATATTGTTTATTCTTATTTAATGTTAACTAATGAACCTTATTGTAAAGTGTTACCACTTTTACTTGTCTTAATAATTTGCATGTGGTTCCCATGAAATGCAATTCAGACCTACAAGCAGTCACGTCAAATCGAGTGCGATTTACGTTTACCGTTATAAAGTTCCACAAAATCAATGAGCTCATCGGCTGTGTGAAGAACCTCTTTATCCTCCATTCTCTGACAATCCACTTGTTCCATTCTTCTCCTTGAACAAGTACCTTCGAATCTCTCACAATACGTCCAAGTCGTATCTGTTTTCTCAGAGTTGTCAACTCTCTTCTCAAACGAGCACGTAAAATCCACAACCACTCTTTCTATGAACCCAATAAGACGAATCTGATCGCCAACCTGACTCTGTTTTAAGCAGCTATTCTAAAAGAGCTCTCCCTCATTAACTGCTAAACATGGCCACACTAACTATGAATAAGACTCTCAGGTCAGTTATCAGGCTAACGTTGACCGACTGACCCACAAAGAGAGAACGAAAGAGAGAGAGTGTGTGTTTGAATGAATTCTTAATTAGTTCTTAATTCATTCAAACACACACTCTCTCATTCTCTTTTTGACAGGACTGACAGCCACTGTTTCCACACTCCTATATCAGTAGCACAGAATGAGGGAAAGCTTTGAGATGGTTAAAGTTATCAGCTGACACCCACCCTCAGTTTCCTGGGATTTATTTAGAGTTCAGCTATCAAATACGAATGCACTTTTACACTTGACACAGCTGACCCAGAGTCATTTTTAACCTGGGAAAATGATTTGTCAAGCACTGAGGAAGTACATAATACTGTATGTTGTATAGGTGGTTTGCAGTCACGTGATTGTGTTGACGCGCGGAATGCAGATGGAGGGCAAGGAGTGAAGAGCGCAATGGACGAGATGGAGGAAAATCCGTACTGTACTAATTTAGACGCTATTACAAGAGAAATATATCAACAGAAAATCGAAACATTTGTTGGACGTGATCCTTAGGTTATGAAAAGGACCGATTTTCAACTGAATTGAGAGATTTGCCTGCCATCGAGGCTGTAGATATCAGCAACTAACTCGTCTTACAGACATACTTTGACTTTACAAAGTTCGGAAACTGGTACGTTACACAAACAGCCACATAAGTGTATTTAAACACCTGAATAATGTAATTATAAGCCACATAAATAATGTATTAACTCACATTTGACGAAGTGATCACTGCACACACACACAGGCATTTTCCCATTCGGCTCCTCCCGACCACAGACGTAGGTTTGCAAGGCATTTTTCCCGGTGTTTTTCTGTCAATTTCTTGTATTTTTTCCCCCCTTATGAACAACAACTTTGGGCATACGATAAAAAATCCTCGTGGTTTGATCGATTTGAGAAACCATAAACGACGCAACACATTTTGCATTTTGAGTGTGTTATAGTGCTTCCTAAATATAGAAAATCACTTCCTGCCCTCCATCTGCATTTTGCGCCATGGCAACGCGTGACATCACGTGAAAACAAGCTATTGTTAAACAACTTGCTGTGAAATTGTACAGCTGCAAGTGTAGGCTCAGATCCGGCCCACATCTGGTACGCGTGGAATCCAAATATACCAGATGTGGGCCGAATCTGGGCCAACACTGTGTTGCTGTCAAGGTAACCATAGTGTTTTCTTATAGTAATAAAAAATATATGTATTCAAAATTTGTTTATGCATATTTTCAGTCAAATTTAATTAATGGCATTTATTACGGTAAATATAAAAAAACTAAACCTCAGGTTGCTAGTATTGTTATTAAGTAAAAGAGAAAACAACATAGAGATCAGGTATGGTTCCTGGGATTTGTAGCAGAGTTGATGTTACGTTTTAATGTTTCTCTAGTTTTGCAGAGATGAATATGAGCTAACTTTCCTTTAAAACACTCACATAAAAATATACTTCAAACACAGTGAGACGAGTGCAGAGAGGGACACACAAACTCGTAGTATCTTTCACCAAGGTGTTGAAACACCTTACAAAGAAAGATTTGAAAACAACAAAATTCTCTCTGCAAACACTCTCCTTTACAGGTGAGTTAATTTAAATGAACTACAGAAACACAATGACAGACTGGAATCTTTCCACTGAACAAAGGTCACATGTGTTCAATTGTTTTTTTTTTTTGGGAGGTTCATAAATAGTTGCAACACCTAAATAGTTACATAAATAGTTACAACACCTCCCTTTGAGCAGAACAACAGAGGGAGGGGAAACAATGATGGAACGATCAAGCAGATAAAAAAAAGAAAAGCCCCATAACATGCCTTTGACTGACACTTCATTAAGGCGGTACAGAAGCCGTGAACAAATTACTGATTTATAGTTCATAATAATAGCGAAATAAAATCAAATGCTCTACCACAAATAATATACTCATTAATTAACCCGGAAGACCTTTACATGATATACAATAAATTTAAAAAAAAAATGTATAATTGATTTTAAACTGTTTTATTATGTTAATCTAATCTTTTGCCAATTTCTGTAAGACTGCACTGCAGAATGAATGTGCAATACTTTTATTATTATGCAACACTTTTATTATAAGTACCTCACCTTGTGATCCATGTTTCTTCTTCTGAGACCTTTCAGATGGGGGTTCAACCCCGACAAAACGAGGCAACTTCTTTTTGTTGTCTTTTAGGGAGACATCAGAAGTGATTGCCCCATGATGTTCAGATATACATTTGATAGAACAATATTATGTTATTCACAATGTTATTTTATTGTCCAACTAGTTTCAGAGCTACTACAAACTCACCCATAACGTCATCAGATTTACTATCCAAGAATATCCTGTATCATAATCAGTTGTTGCATGTTGGAGTGTGCAATGGTAAATGCTTTATAAACCAGCCTCATCTTGCAGTAAAATCAAATCAGTACAAAACTCCTGCATCGAAAATCTGGAAAGCATGTGTCAGCGAAAGAACTGAAAACTACCGTAAACACATGGCACAACTTGCCCGGTAACCTTTAGCTAAGTAATTCCAGATCAAGTGCCAGTACTGCAGGTTTTAAAAAAGGCTCCGCCTTTTACCTATGTCAAAAACAAAAAAAAAACAAAAAGAAAGAAACGCACACAGCATGTCCACACAGGAGCTGATTAACGCTTCTCCTAATGCAGTTCTACTCTAATCCTCTCTACCCTCAAGGGCACTTCAAAATGAAAATTCTGCCATCATTTCACCCTCAAGTTGTTTCAAACCTGTATGAATTTCTTTCTTCTGCTAAACACAAAATAAGATATTTTGAAGAATGTCAGTGACCAAACAGTTAATGGACTCATTTGACTTCCATAGTAATTTTTTTCCTATGGAAATCAATGAGGTCCATCAACAGTTTGGTTGAACATTTGGCCGAGATATTAAAGGAGACATATCAAGAAAATCTGACTTTTTCCGTTTTTAAGTGCTATAATTGGATACCAAGTGCATCTACCAACCCAGAAAACATGAAAAGTGACAACCCAGTAACTTTGTTTTGGTAAGCATTTCTCTACATTATTTATAGACCATTTTGCAAGATGTAAGCAACACTGGTCCAGAAGCACTTCCTGTTTCAGTTTTTTAACACTACATAAAAGCTGGGATAAAATACAACCAACAGAACATATAAAACTGAATCAAAAAGTTAAACAAACATCTTTAAGATGTTTTCTTTACTTGTGAAATAAAGAAAACAGTTACAAACTGAAACAGGAAGTGTTTCTAGACCAGTGTTTACATCTTGTAAAATGCTCTATACAAAAATAAGCAGACCAGATTTCACTCCCCATCTGATGTACAGGTATGAAGGGGATCTTATTATAATATTGCCGCCCCTTAATCTGCAGGTTTCCATCCAACCAGTTATAACACAACGGCAAAAGTTCAAGCAAAACATCAACTGTTCTGTCGTTGCTGCACAGATTAGCATAGGTGTCTTATAAATCTCTCAGGGAGCTGTGTCAACTTGTGTGAATGTTAAACATGATGGTACATGCAAGTCGATCGGATGAATCCATGTAACTCCACAACAACTACACACATGTATCCACTAACCATTCCGAAACGTCCAGGTGCGTCTAAAAGTAGCAACCTCTTCATGAGTCTCTTGGTTATTTCTGAGATTTTGGATGAGTGAGATTTGCATGTTTTTGTTATCGTATCCGAAGATTGTTATAAACGACCCTCTTCTAAACGGAGGCGGGAGGAGCAGCTCATTTGCATTTAAAGGGACACACAAAAAGGGTGCATTTTTACTCACACCCAAAAAGGGACAATTTTAGAAATGGGTTGTATTTTTAGCTGAAATTTCACAGAGACATTCTGAGGACACCAACGAATTATATTATATCTTGTGAAATGGGGCCTTCAGCTGAGACACTTCAGATGTGCAATATTCGCCATGATGGTTTTGAATTGCTTAAAATATGATTGGAATCACCTGCTACGGAAAAGACACTGAAGTGCAACGTGCAGCACAAGTCTGTCATATAGGCAACAAAAAAATATAATGAGAACATTATAATTGTGTTTGGGATTTTTTAATGGTGAAACTTTTGTTTTTGTAATCAGGTTCTCAAAAGTTATATAAAGATGTGGATTTAGATATATCATTTTATTATATATATATGAAGAGTTCAGATGCAAAAGCCTCTAAATGCCATTTGAAATTTTCTTCAAGAATGTTAATTTTTATCAAGCTTGTATATGTAAGTTCAGTAATTTCACTTAAATGGCAATGAATATTACTTGCCATTTAAGTGAAATTACTGAACTTACATATACAAGCTTGATAAAAATGATTATTCTAGAAGAGAATTTCAAATGGCACTTAGAGGCTTTTGCATCTGAACTCTTCATATACTGTATATATATATATATATATATATATAAAATTTTCATATCGCTAACTGAAAATGAAATAAAAAATTACAATTTTCATATCGCTAACTGTTATCGGTATTCATATCCCTAATCTCACTCATTGTCAACATTTAATTCACAGTGATTTTGACTGCTGAAAGTAAATTGACTACAATATAAAAGTACTAAATCTTTATTTGTTTTTCCTTATGTCTTCTGGAGGAGCTTAACTGACCCCTCAGCTCTACAATAGAGCAAGGAGCATTTATGGTTTTTCAGAAGCAAGCATCCCTTAATATTTGCCTAAATTATGTTAATTAAGAAATCACAATTTGTATCACCTTACTCTGCAATAGAGAGAGGGAAGATTTCTGAGGATAAAAAACAAATCTAATAACCCACACGTCGCATGCTGGTAAAAAAAAAAAAAAAAAAAAACGTTTGTGAAACTCTTCATGACTCACGGCAATAGAACTGCCTGTTTCAAAACAATCTGCAAAACACGTGACCACGCTGTAATTATGCCTTAATAATGTCATTCATTTCATCCTTTCAAAAAGCATAACATGTTTGGGTGTGTGTGTGAGAGAGCGAGATCTAGAGCAATTTTAACCCAAACTGTTCAGTATCACCAATAAATTAGTTTAATCTGCTCTTGAGGAGACCAACAGTTTGAACAAATAAATTCATATAATCCTCCAAAGTCCGATCAAAATTACATTGCAATACATATAGTGTTAATAGACCTAACAGATAATAAGAAGGTTTTATTTTAGTTGTATGCTCAATCAGAGCTTCCATCTGACCTTGCAGCAGTATGTGGACATCATCGATGTCTAGTGGGAGCGAGCCACGTTCAACGGGCGGGTCTCCAGATGTCCTCTGTGATGTCATGGTTCCCACGGAGACGGTTCAGATGAGAACCACCTGAGGGGATTGCAGCATCTGTCAAGGGGACATATTAGTGTCATATTAGTCCAGGTTCATTTTAACATTCCTTTGACAGAGAGTTATATTCAAATTTCTGTTATGCATTTCTTTTTTTGGCTCTAACTTTTATGAAGGGTTTGTTTTGTAATTTAAGGAATCATTTCTATAAAATAAAAATATACACTAATCTTACAGAAATATGGTCTGTTCAAGCTGTCAATTTACCTGATAAATAACCTACACAATATTATGAAAATGGCAAATCCACAATACTGATATTTGAGCTGGAACCTTCCGGCCAAAAAATATACGTTATTAAAAAAACAAAACAAACAATAAATGGTGTACTAATTTAAAGCAATATTCTCAATATACTTTAGAATGTTTAATTTGAAATATTTTGATTAGAATCAATATTTTTTTTTTCATATTAGTGGTCATAGGAACAGAGTTCCTTAGTTTAATATTTTATCCATTATAACATATATGAAGAGTTCAGATGCAAAAGCCTCTAAGTGCCATTTGAAATTTTCTTCTAGAATGATCATTTTTATCAAGCCTGTATATTTAAGTTCAGTAATTTTACTTAAATTGCAATGAAGATTACCTATTAATTGTCATTTAAGTGAAATTACTGAACTTACATATACAAGCTTGATAAAAATGATCATTCTAGAAGAAAATTTCAAATGGCACTTAGAGGCTTTTGCATCTGAACACTTCATATGATGAGGAAATTGAACATACTGAATTGTATTGCATACTGCTGAAGGCACCATGAAATCAAAATTGACCATTCCTATTTTATGGAATATTGCAGTATTTATAAATTATGTATGCACATTTTTTTTATTATTCAAGTGCACTCGTAATCTTTAATCAAAATAACTTCCCCTTCCTCTTGCATCTCTTCTGTGATGACATGTTTACTGGTGCGAGGGCAGAGCCAACGATTTAATTAATTCCTCATGGACAATATCAAGTCCTACCCTATGTTTTTTCACTCAGATATGTCACAATAATGAAGAAAAGATTAGCACAACTTAAACAAAGTCATGGTAAAATGTCATTGTATGTCCTTGCAGCACAATGCGACTGTTAGAGTAGTACACATGGGTGTGCTATCCCGAGATGGAATCCCAGGAACACACACAGACAGAGAGAGAGAGAGAGAGAGAGAGAGAGAGAGAGAGAGAGAGAGAGAGAGAGAGAGAGAGAGAGAGAGAGAGAGAGAGAGAGAGAGAGAGAGAGAGAGAGAGAGAGAGACTGCAGTGCACATACTGGCATAATGATGTGGAATGAAAACACACACAGCATGCATTAACACGAACACATTCCCAACGATCAAATATTATAGTGTGCTGGGATCACAGTCAAATCACACTAAATATGACATGGAAACTTCCCCACGGACTGACCACCACAGCATCTGAAGCATTTCACATGTAGGCTACACAACATTACCCCAGGGCCCAGGCCCATAGCCTATGCAATGCAGAGACATCTTCTATGGAAACATATGTCACTGCCTTTGAACAAAACAGTTTGATACTGTCTTTGTTTAAACAAAATTATGGGTAAACAATGAAAGATGTTTACATGCTGGGTGAATTATCCCTTTAAATTGTAGCTAAATTAAGCTCAATTCCAAATTGTGATAGAACTGCTACAGCTGATTGTGTAAACATCTACTTTAAACCACTGCGCAAATAGGGATAAATATGTTTTATCTACTTTTTATATTTATGAGAGAAATCATCAAACAACAAAAAACAGCGCTCATCCATAGAAGCTGAAAGTATTAACCAAGCTTCCAAGCTTTCGTCCAAGCTGGTTTGCATCTTCATATCTGTAGGCCTACCCAGAATTGAGTCAATGGCATATAGAAATGTCTTGTGACAATGACAGAAAAGGTCTGTCCCGCACACGGTCCAGAATAACCAGCGTGACCTCTGACACACAGATGCCTTGACTCGAGAGAGGGGCGTCGCGCGCTCCACGGGCACCAAAATAGCGCTCGCGCGGGCATGTCGCTATTACAAAGAGCTCAATATCAACTATCAAACACATTCAATTGAACTTCATAACTTTAGTCATTTGAGTCCCGAAATTAATGTTTTAAACTAAAACTAGCTACTTACACAGCTAGGCCTATTATTATTATGCTTAAGTTAGCTATATCATAAA